ATGTGGAAACATATGCAGGAGAAATGGAACCACAGAGAAAATCAAGTACTAAAAATCTAGCTTGTCTCAACTGAGCAAGCAAAACCTGCAATTTTTCAGATTTATAAGGCCAAACCTGTGTGGATTTTCAGACAAATAGCAAAAAACCCCAAAAACAAAAAAACAAAACAAAAATCAACGACAAGAAAAACACAAAAAAATCCACCAAAACTTTCTTACCCAAGATTCATTTACAAAGACATTTTTAAAATACTTAATAAAATGGAAGTTCTAGCCTCATTTAGAACAAGGAAATTGTTAACATTATAACAAGTGGTCTGAATTAATTTATCTTAAATTTTTTATTACCAGAAATTACTGAACTATTCTGTCTGGAGTCATCTGTTGAGAAAATATAATCTTGATTATTGAAAAGACCATTTTAACATTTAACATTTTAATAGTCGTGATTTTGGAATACAAAGACCCATAAAATAGATTTTATAATGAGGAAGATGGAGTCAAAAGAATAAGCAGTGGTTTCATTCTATGATAGGAGGCATAGTTAGAGAGTGAGTAATATGAACTATTTTCTGAGGCTGTAATCCTACAAAGAGGGTGTTCAAAATGAGAAGGATACTCTGAACTTAAATTTGCCTTTAATAAAAAATGTTACTTTAAAATTGTATGTCTTGAAATTTAAAAGCTCTAAATGCTCTTAAAATTGAAAAGCTCTTAAAATGTCCAGAGCCACATTCTTTATCTTTTACAGTGGGACAGGCATTTTCTGAAGGAAGGAAATACATAATTTAAATAAGAGTGATGGAATGATCCCTAAGTTTTTCCTTTAAAACTACTTTCTAAACCTGCCCAGCTACTTTCTAAAACTCAGAATCAGTCTTTATGTATTAGTAGAAACATTCTTGGAGAATTTGCTTACCCACAACTAATTGTTCTCCTCTCTTTAGAAACATATTGCAATAGCAGGTGAGGAACATTTTGTCCCCTCACTTTTTCACCTTGGAGGGGCTGCAAGCTCATGGTTTAAATTTTGTGAATTAATTCATACATTTGCCAGGAATAGCTCATTTTTTCCAGGCTTCTGAAGGTCAAAGGATTTTTACTTTCACTTACTATACTTTAAATAAATCTTCAGAATCCTTTGGGTCTTTCAGCTCCCACACCCAAGCAGAAGATGGTAAGCTCAGTTCACAGAGATTAAAATTCCCATTTTTTATCTGGGCATAATTCCTGTGAAACAGGAAACAAAGGGGAAAAAAAAAAAAAAGAGAGAGAGTCTGGAGTATTTTTTTTTCTTTTTACATTGGTCCATAAGAAGGATCAGGGTTGTTGCATGCAAAAGTGTCTGACCACTTCTCAAAACAGTCTGGGAGATGGCTGCCTGACTGATTCCAAGCTATATATGATACAATGTTCATGAAGCACTTAAATTTCTCATGCCATTTTCTCTGGTGTTGGTCAGCCTCTCCCAAGAACAGCAAACCTGAGAGTTCAGTGGCTCTGAGAGGGCTCACCTGCAGAGGGAGGATGCTGTCCACACCCTGCAGCAGCCCTGGGGAGCTCAGCCCGTCTCAGTTTAGGACTACTGCTCCCTGGGTCACAGGAGAACTGGCTTTAGTCAAAGGAACTTTTTGTCTTGGCAGCAATTTGGGTCAGTAACTTTCTTTAAAGGTTGGGTAGCAAAACTGTTGTTCCTCCCAGGTAGTTATTTCATTAGTTTAGGCAAGAGAAATGACTTTCCAAGTCTGTTCATTAAGAAACAGTAGGCTCGTTAGCCACCGTAAGTTAATGGGAGCAGACAGTGTTTCTGATGAGCTCAAGGCCCATGCCCAGCAGTATTTCTGAGAAGACTGTGCAGCCCAAGGAGAAGGGAGGAATGCACCACCACAATGAGATTTTATTGAAGTTTTTATTCAGTAAATTACTTTGTGTTTTGCTCTAAGTGCTGCCAATCAAGTTTGTGCTGCATATTCATTAAATGCTGTATTAAGAATAGGTTTTGATTTAAGAATGAAACTGTATCCATATTTAGGCAGCTTTTTATTTTGTAAGAATAGCTTTCCTAGCATTATATAGCTATAAAATTTTGACTTCAGCCTGTCCTCATTGTTTTTCATTCTCTTAAAACATATGATTAGAAACAGCCATCACAATATCAGATTATATCAGATATCTCTATTAATAGCGGTGCTATCCATGTACTATATACAACACCTTAAAATTCCATGTTTTCTCACTTTTTTAGGAACTTCAAAGAGATTTTATATAAATTCATAAACAAGAACACTCACAGGTTGTGCTGTTTGGTCGTCTATCAATATGATTTATGAAAATCAGAGGTTTCTATTCTTGTTTGTCTTATATAGATTATTTGATTTTGGGAATATTCTTAGTGCTGTAGGTCCTGCACACTTAAATTTGGGGTTTATTATGGGATGAGTAATTGATATAATAATCTTTGAAACACTACTTTGGTTTTGGTTTTTAATAAAAAGAGTGAGCCATAAGCATTAGGTCAGTAGTTGCCCACTTCTAAGTGTTTCATGTTCTGTTTACAGCTAATTCCACTGATTTGATAGCTGTTCTTTCATGTGATTTACAGGATAAACAAGGGTGGGCAGTTATCTCCTGGAGAGAAAACAGCACTGACAGAAGCAGTAGACATGAAATATAACAGTGCTTATATGTATTTTTAGTCAAGTCAAAATCCACGGCTGACTACATGGAGTGTTTTTATCCTTATAGACATTTTACCATGTTACAATTTTAGAATTCCATGCTTATATATATTTTTTTTCTAGTCTTTTTCTGTTTTCCTTATGTTAGAAAATAGCCTGTTTTTTTTTTTTATTTTCTTTTATTTTTTTTTATTGAGAACATAGTTTGAAATACCTGTCAAGAAACTCTTTAACTCTTTTGGTTTCTACTTTTATTAGAATATGTTTATCCTTTTCTACTTCTTTGAGAGCTATTACAACAGATCTGAAATTAGTTTAGGCACAATTTTTTTCATATGAGGTCATGAGTCCAAGATTTTTAAGTGCTCTTCCGTCTAATATTTATATTAGCATGAGAGAAGGCAGAGAAAATGCTAATCATTAGCAAAAATTATACTTAGTAGTTGTTCCTCAAAGTGTTGTTTGGGGTCCTTAGTTAAAAATTTGTCATACATGAGACAATTCAGTGTCTGATCTAGAGAAAGAAGGATTTTTAGATGAAGAATTTTCAAGCAAATACAGACAAAATAGATCATCAGTACAAACATGACATCCCTAACCTCACTCAACTGTTAAAGCTTTTTTTTTCTACACTGTAACAGATATGGATATATAACATGAAATATTGTTATGGAAAAAAATAAAAAAATATTACCTGTGAAAAGCACTGATCAAGTTATCCCTTTCCACAGTGGAGAAAATTATATCTTGCTGCAGGAATGTGATGTGGTTGGGTACAATTTCTTATTGCGTTGTATATTATTTGAAATCTAGAATTGCACACAGTTCAAAAGTTAATTTGTGCAGAAGGGATATTTGCAGACCATTTTCTGTGCTACATTATTTATATTTCTGTAAGATAGTATTTCCTCTTAACAAAAAACAACCAACCACACAAAAACAAAACAAAAAACAAAACAAACCTAAGCTATAAAGTTTATCAGATTTCCAAGCCTGCTTTTTCTGATGGGGTTTCAGTTACTGACCACTGTGTTTCTCACAATGACAGAGTTACTTTACCTGGCCTAACATGGATTTATGGATCTGCATAAATTTCATGTGATTAGTAGAGCTATGCAATTCCAAATGAAGCTGTTGTTGTGAAGATTGAAAATTTCATTTTTAATGATTACCTTGCATGCATTGCACTTCCTGAGGTCAGCCCACTTGGCTGAGCTCTAATCCCATAGGGGCCATTCACGTAAGAGTTGGGCTCGATGATTCTCTGGGTCCCTTCCAATTTAGAGCCTGCTGTGTTCCTGCTTGTGATTCTAGTGATAAACTTTAACTTTTAGTTCTCAACTGCAATGAAAGGCTTTATTAGCTGCTTTGAGCATTTTATTGGCACAAGTTTGTCAGTGGAAACAATTTTTGCCAACTATAAAAACATTAAGTGCCTTGGTATATATATTTTTTTTTTTTATAGAAGCATAAGCATATTTATATGTATAATTTGTTTTTTAAATTAAATTCCTAACAAAGTAGCTGAACTTGTTCAGAACTTTTTGAAAAACATATGGGATGGTATCTTCTGTAGCAAATTTCTTTGTTTGTTTGTTTCTCTTCTGTCCTTATTTTCTATTGTTACACTAATCAATAAATACTTGTTGATTTCTCTTGACTTTAAGCAGTAGACGAGAAATAAGATTTCTGTTCTCATAAGTGACACTTAGCTTCTAAAAAATAATTATAAGGTTGGTCTTTGCAGAAAAGAGAAATCAACAGTAATACAGTTTTGCTTGGTTTTAAAAAGTTATGATTTTGCATGAGTTTTTGAGCTTTTTCAGCTTCCTAGAATGGTTTTCACAAAATATGTGTCTGGTTTTCAAAAAATATGTGTCTGTGGATTGCTCAAGCTAGCATTGCATGTAGTGTAAAGGTTTGTTGGTTTGGATTTTTTAAATACCATGTTTTCCATAGATTCTCTGCTAAGTCAGCAAGTAACTTCCTACATAGTTACTTATATTATTTATGAGCTGCTATGGTAAATACCTCTTTAAATACATGGTAAATATTATTTCCATTACTCATTTTTCTGAACAGTTGATAGAAGTTTTGAGTAACAGTGTGAAGTATCTAATTGAATGTGAGATTTTTGTATTTCCTTCCATCTTAACTGATCTTAGTCAGTTAACTGATTTTGTATTACAAAGTACTTCTATGCACTAGCCATCTGATTTTTTATTTTTTTTTCTAGAATACAATGATATTCTATTTATTCCTTTGTAGGGCTGTCTGAGTAGATGGCATTTTCATTGCTCTCACAATTTTGGTTTTGATCAGTTTTTAGAAAGTGTTGAAGAAAAGAAATTTAGCACCATGCGGATGGGGGCTGGAGATCTTGAAAACTACCAAACTGCTTTAGAAGAAGTACTCACATGGCTTCTCTCTGCTGAAGATGCATTACAAGCACAAGGAGATATATCCAATGATGTAGAAGTTGTTAAAGAACAATTTCACACCCATGAGGTACGTGTTAATACTAATCTTTCAATCACACCCATGAGGTACGTGTTAATACTAATCTTTCAATATGTTTTTATTTCTTTCCTGTTTGCTTTTTCGGAGGGGATTTGTTTTTGTTTTTATTAATTTTGATCGAAAGAATGTAAACTGGAGGCTCTGCCTTAGAGTCATAGAATTGTTTAAGCTAGAAGAATGTTTAAGCTCATGTCCAACCATTAACATAACACTGCCAAATCCGCTACTAAATCATGTTCCTGAATTCTTCATCTACATGTGGTGACTCAACCAGTTCCCTGGGAAGCCCATTCCAATATTTGACAACATTCATTGGAGATGTTTTTTCCTAATATCCAATCTAAATGTCGTCTGGTACAATTTGAGGCCATTTTGAAAAAATTAAAAAGAGGGTTGAAAATCCTGTTGGCAAAATGCTGAGATTCTGTTCTTTCATTTCAAAGAATGCAACTGAAAACTGGAGGTTTTTTTTAATATATTTTTTTAATTGTCAGGGTTTTATGATGGAGTTAACAGCTCACCAAGGACGTGTTGGTAATGTTTTGCAAGTTGGAAGTCAACTTTTAAACACTGGAAAACTTTCAGATGAGGAAGAGAATGAAATCCAAGAACAAATGAATCTACTTAACTCTCGTTGGGAAAGTCTCAGGGTAGCAAGTATGGAAAAACAAAGCAAGTAAGTAGAATGTCAGGTGAAAGATTATATATTGATTTTGACTGAAACAGTCCTGAACTTGACTAACAGCTGGGATTTTCCTTCACTGTGAAAAAAAACTCCATCTTGTATCTGTTTTAACCTGAAATTTGATGTGTAGTGATTTTGAACCTTGCATGTTGTTTGGAGCCTGCAAGCCACACAAAGCAGTAGCTATCAACAACTTGGACACAAACTTTAATCAAAATTTGCATAACCTACCTCACCTTTTTCCAGCTGTTTCAAAAAATATTGTATTACACTATATTGAGATACAAAGGAAAGAATCTTTGTAAAGATAAAATAAGAAAAAGGCAAACAAATCTTTTAACGCCTCTAAAACTCAATCCCATTAAAAGAATAAATGAGAGCTTAGCTTTCCTGGAAATACTGCCAACGTTTTATCAGAGTGCAAATTACACAATTTTGAAACGGGCAAGTGCTGTACTTTAAAGTTGAATTACAAGTAGAAGTAGAGAAATAATCTATTAAACATTTACAATCATCTTTGGCAATTTTTAATATTACTATATCTGATTTTGAAATTTTGATTGGCATAGTAGTTTGAAGTACATAGTTCTTACCTGGGATAAGAAATTCCATAAATGTTGGACTTTGTGATTGTGCTACAGAGGAGTAATTTGTTTTACAGGATACAGAGATAAAGTTTATATTTTCTTACTTTCTTCATAAATATATATTGAACATATTTCATCTTCCTCCTCTTTGAGCTTTTTCCAGTTCTACCTTACCTTTTTGGAGTTGAGGGGTTTGCCTATTGCATTAAAAAGCAAACTGTGATTTCAACAGTTGCATGACATAACTCTATTTCTCCTAATATGTTCTTAGCAATTCCAAACATTTGTTTTCTTTTAAGCTTGCTACTTACTGAGTACTGAGAATGTTTCCTTTATTCTGTCTTCCTTTGACTATAAAATTGTTGATGGGTTTCAGATGTTTCAACCTAACTTATTCCAGTTCTAGTATTATTTGGAGAGAAAAAATCTATGATGCTTTACTGTAGGGAGTTTTTATTGGCCATACTTATTTTCATTGAAATGAACATGTACAAGTAGCTATGTTCTCAAATGGTGCTTTGTCTCCTTTAAATGTCCTTTAACCAGTTGTTATACCCATCTCCCAACTGCAGCCGTAGGTCATTGCTTGGGGAATTGAATGGTGTAGTATCTTCTAAAGCAGGTCATATTTGGGTAATAAGAATTCAGTAGAAGACACAAAATGATAGGAGCTTCACAGAGAGTGTTGTGCTACTATTTAATTTCCTATTAAAAAAAAAAAAAATCTGTGATAAATTTAATGAGATTTGGGATAGGGCAAGAGAAAATTTCTCAGGAGTGAAATACTTAGATATAGTTAATTCTGGCCTTTTGGTCAAAACCCTGTGTTTCAAGAGACTGGCTGGAGGATTATAAAAATCTTTCATATCACAATATAATATGTTTCTGGGTTATTATACATAATTTGAACTCTCAGGATCCATCTTCTACTTCAGCTTAAAGCACAATCTTCTGAACACATTGCTGTAATCTTGTCTGTCCCTAAAGCACTCTGACACGTTTGGCCAAACTGGGATGATTTTTGTGAAGATGAGAACAGCAAGGCTGTCTGACCTCTGTAATGGTAATAGGAAGTGTGAAAAAAGGTACCACATTTTACAGCTCAGGGAAAACAAAAGCAAGCAATAAACAAGGACAGGAGGAAGATATTCTGATAAAGATGCTATAAAACTGAAAGGGTCTTAGAAAAAGTGATTTAGGAGGTGAAAATGTCAGAAGAAGTTTGGAACACAGTAATGTTTTTTGTGTAAAAGCAGCCCAGATTTGATTTTTCATGTATTCACTATGTATTGAAAGTATTTTACTCTTCTAATAAGTGATAAATATGCCACTGTAGAGAAAAACAATACAATTTACCACTTTATAGGGAATTCTACAACTTTTAAAACCTATTCAGTTCAATGAAAAAGGGATTTTTTTAAAATTTGAAACTTATGAGAGCCATACTGTAACCAAAAGTTTTGATAATCTCCTGAGGTATATAAATAAATACTAAACCTTCATATCATATGTTTTTTGAAAACAAGGAAGTACATGGTGAATGGTAAGAAATAAGCATCATTCTTTTCCTTAGGAATAAACTGTGATTATGTAGTTTTTAAGTTTATGCTCCTTACTTCATTATAATATCAATATTATGTGTAACATGTGTTTCATCATATTTTCATTTTCTTAAAGTTAGTTTACTTTAACAGGTTTTCTGTACATTTATTTAATTTATTGCTAAGAGCAATATCTTCAGGATGAAGCATTGTACTTTATAATATGTTAGTTTAGAACATCAAGACAATAAAATACAGAGTTGAAAATGAAGGACTGAGATGTGAGAACCCTAATCCCTTGTGAACCATGGGTTTTATTGAAATAGAGTATCATCTTTCTGTGAGCTATCTGTATTTAATAGAGAGATCAGACTGGAAACATACTGTATGAGTCCTCTGGTGATTTTTTTAATATATGATTTCCAGTTTAAACAAAAGATAAAAGAGAAAAAAACAAATCTGAAATCATAGAATGCAATTGATGAAAATTTTGTTCAAGAAAGTTTAGAGAATTTCTGAAGAGGCAAGTGTAAGTGAAAATCTGTAGTGGATTTTTGACCAGATCATTTGGATCTATGTAATTTGATTAGGAAAAACTGAAGTATTTCCTGCTTAATTTTTCAGAATATTCTCCATTGAATAAGTAAAAATATAATAATTTTTCTATTTAATATCCTAAAATAGAGGAAGCCTGTTAAGGCCACCTATTTGAGCAGTTTTCAAAATACTTGTAGTGGATAAAACAGGATTTAAAAAACAAGTATAGAAATTTTGAATTCCAGCTGTGTTGCAATTTGGTGTCTTCAACCTCAGAACCAGACCAGCCGGGAGTGGCAAAGTGAAATAGGGGTGGGTACGATGGAATAGCCCAGAAAAGAACTTAATAATGAGTACAACAGCAAAAGAACAAAAGCTATGCACAGTATAAATCAAACTCCAAAGAGCCAGTAGCAAGATAAGCATAACAATACATAGGGTGTAATATGAGGGCAGGGGTCCAGTCATTAATGAGAATAAGAAACATTACCTTATATGTAACATCCTATGAACCAGGAGCTAAAAGCATAACCATGTATGTAGAGTAACCTTATCTACATAACAATTCCCATGATTCTATTCTTCTCTCCCTAACCTGAGTGTCTCCCATCTCAGTGTTCCATTTCCCAAGGCCTTAAGTTGATGTTTCCCAGGCAAGCCATTGAGGCTAGCTCTCTCTCTGTCCCTGCCGGTTCCATTCCTACACAGCTCTAACTGAAACACAGCTGGAAGACAAAGCTTTAACAGAGCCAGCGTTATATAATGTAGTCAGTTCCTAAAGAAAAGGTTTCAAAGGTTGTTTAAATCAGAACTATTTCAAAGAAAATTCATTACCTTCTCCACAGAACCATAAAGGTTGGAAGGGACCCATTGGGGTCATCGAGTCCAACTCCTGGCCCTGCACAGAAACTCCAAGAGTCATGCCCAGTGCCTGAGAGAATTACCCAAACACTCCTTGAGCTTCGTCAGGCTGGTGCTGTAACCACTTGCCTGAGAAGCCTGTTCCCTTTTCTATGCATTTCTTTCTATTCTGCCTTCAAATGTGACCTTGTGAAAATCTGTTAATATATGGGGCAGATGCTTCTGCCTGTTTCCTTCACTTAGAATTGCTAACTATTTTTTCTTTGTTTTACAGTTTACATAAAATCCTAATGGATCTGCAGAATCAGCAGCTAGCCCAGCTAGGTGATTGGCTGACAAAAACAGAGGAAAAAACAAAGAAAACTGACTTGGAGCCCTTAGGTCCAGATCTAGAGGACCTAAAGCGTCAAATAGAAGAGCATAAGGTATGCTGTGGTGTGCTTCCAAAGGCATAAAAACCAAATTGAGTGTTTGACATTTTAAAAGCTCCACTCCTGCCGTTAGAGCATAGCAAAGTAATATGGAATCTTGGTTTAATATTTATTATTCTGTACAGTTAACAAGCTTTTGTAGACTTACTTTATCACAACTGTGAGTTTTATTCTGATATTAAAAAAAATTGCTTTCTTTTTATATATAAGCAATATACTAGAATATGCAAGGCAACTGTAACATCTTCTCATTACATTACAATGAAAATATATCAGTTTTTTTAATACCTCTGTATTCTTCTTTTTCTGTCTTCCTTTTTTCTCTTACATGTTGTAGCACAAATGATGCAGTTATCAGACTACCTAATACGGTTAGGACTCCATAGATTCGAAATATATATTTACACTGAATATGTATTAAGCACTGTAAAATGCCCTACTTCCTAACAGTAAAAAATACTTTTTGGTAATGTATTTAAATAACAGAAAAAAAAACCAAAACAAAAAACCCACAAAAACCCCAAAATAACTGCCACAAAAACAAACAAACCAACCCAAAAAAAAAAACCCAAAACCAACAAAAAAAAAACAAATCCAAACAAACCAACCAAACTCAGGAATAGAATATAAGATGGAATTTGACCATTCCACATTACGTATATTTTTTTTATTGTAAGAATTAAGAACTAAAAAGGGAGAGAGGATAGCTTATGTCATAGGTTGATTTCATTTACTGGATTAGATTGCCTTGTTTCATATTAATTTAGATTTAAAAATAAATTTATATATGTGTCTATGGAACGTGATGATGATAAGGAAACACAGAAAAATATAGAAAACAGGTGATTTGTGAGGTGGTGGAGATTTAATATGATGACCTGTTAATGTCTCTGCATCAATGGCTCAAAGCAGTTCCATGTCATGTTATCTTCTGAGATTTTAACACCTGATGCTTCGTGACCTGTGTCAGTGCTAATCCAGGTTTTAGAGGGCAGATCGTCCTGAAAAACAATTCAAACTGAAATCAGCTTTTACAGTTCTTTTAAAAACAGGTCAAAAGCTGCAAAAGACTTCATGATGCACTTGTGTGTTAAAGATGATTTCTTTGCATTCTGATTAAGGAGTGCTACTGAAGAAGAATACAAATTCTGCAGCTCCTGCTGCTTTTAGTGCTGTCTGTGCTTACCCTGTGAGGAGACAATGCGTTTCAGTGTGTGGGTTTGCTAGCTAAGGACATTTTCTGACATTAAATTTTCTTTTTAAAAAAGACAGCAGGTAATTATGAAATGGTAATTAGAAAAAGAAACATGAAAGATTTTGAATATATCAGTACTAAGAATTGAATAACTTTCCTCCTATTTCTATGCATTTTATGCTTGAGTACTAACATAAAATGTAATCCCTTTATTTATGCAATCTCTTTATGCTTCTTTCTAATACTGAGAAAAATGGGTATTTAGGTTGTATCTGAAGATTCTGAGTGAAGACTTACAGAAATCTGTTTTCCACATGCTTGTTCATCTTGGTGTGTTGAGTTAGTGAACATTATTTATTTATGTGTATTAATTTTCAAAACTCTTTTGTGTGTGAGAGGCAATTTAGCTAGAAATGATGGAAATAAAATGGTTTGGATTTAATTTTAATTACATCTATATTCATTTATCACTTTCCTTATTCAGAAATCAACAGGGTTTTTCATTCTTTCAGTTATTGAAAGTGCCTTATAATTTTATTGTATTTTACATACAGCAAAGCTACCTCCTTATAGCAAGGGTTAAAACAATGGAATTTTAATAGGATAATTATTTCTTTGTTATTGCACAAACAAAAAAGCAAAACCCAACACCATTCATATTTTATTAGTCTCACATGAGTCTGGTTGTATCAGAAAACAATGTTTTATAAATTCATAAGAGGAACCAAAAGTTGGAAGATATAAAAGGCAATCATCATTTCAAATGAAACTGACTTCAGTAAACTTATTGCTTTGGGTTGTTGTCATCTTGCCTCTGTCTCCTCTTTACCTTTGTAATTTTGCCCTCCTCTTTTTACCCGTCAATAGTGGGTACTTTTCACTCTATTTCATGTTAGGTATCCCCCTTTGACTTATGATTTCCATGCATCTGATGTCTTTATTCTATGTATTTTAAAATGATGTTGCAAAAATATTGGTCTTGAGTTCTTATGACTGACACTTCAGTTTCTCTGCTGGGTCATATTAAAAAAAAACCAAAAACCAACCAAACAAAAAAAAACTCACTAATGTATATTGGGAATGGCAACCAAAAATCAGACCAGAGAAAGAAGAAAAGAAATATATGAGGTTGTTATCTTGACAGTACTGAATATTTTCTGAGTGGACTGAAGTGGTGAACTAGAAAAATTTGTGTCATTAGGAAGATACAGAGTTTCGTTAGAAATCTGGCATAACCAATATATTTTGGAAGACCAGTTAAATATTTCAGTAAAATATTTTTTCTTGCCGGAGTGTTATAAGTACTTCTCCTTCTGTTACAATTATCCCTTCCTTAAAATTTTGTAAAGGAAGAAAGCTACTTTTCAGTAAAAATTTAAGGACTATTGTGCTGTTCAAGCAGTATATTGTATTGAAAATGTAATAATTAATTTTAAAAGTTGTGCTTTTAATTGCATTGGTTTTATTATTCCAAATTATTATTATACCATATATAGTTAGTAGATTCTTATAGTTTCATTAACTTTCTAAAATCATCTAAGCTTTTTTAGCACTAGGAGTTTTAATATTTCAAATTTATTTATAAGGTAGAGTGAGACACTTCTTCAGTGTCCAAATATCAGGATGGATTTGTCTTTGGATGACTTTGGTAGGCATTTTTATTCATTTTGAACTAGATTATGTTGGAGTTCTGTAAGGTAATAGACAGGAATTAAAGGAATTGTAGAGTTTTATGAGTTTCTGTTGTTGCTATCTTTATTCATCAACCCCTACATCCATCTCACATTTTAAGTCCCTGAAAGTTTGCTATTTCTCTAATAAGCTCAGGACAACTTGTTAGAAATTTCCATTTAAATGATTTGAACAGTGTGCTCTTGCCTTGAAACTGTCCATCATAAATTCCTGTTCCAACAAGATCCTGTAAACAAACAATTCTCACCAATGAATTTCATGGTAAAAATAGACTCTTAGATTATAAAGAACAGTCTTTTACTTCAGAGTAAATTGAATCTGCTTGAGCATTAGATAATGATTCAACTTTCTGGTTCATCTGTTCCATGACTTCTCAAGTCTTTCACAATGTGTGTGAGACTCCCACCTCCCAAGTGCCATCCACTCCTGCTAACTCCGGTTTTGTTCTGGGATGCCATCTGCCAGATTCCAGCTAATAAGGAAATAAAAGTCACCTTGTCCACGGCTGTAGACTTACAGAGCAATGAATTTGTTTTGTATGGCTTAAAGAGGGGGTTAAACATGGGGGAAGTGAGCTGTATTATACACTCTAATCCATGACCGCTCTGCCTCCTCTTCCCTTTCAAATGCTGCCTCATAAAATGTTGAGAAGTCTAAATTCCGGGGATGACTCTAGCAATTTAGTACACTTTGCAGTCCTTGAGAATTGTTTTATAGTCTAGCTCTCTGAAGCAAATGGTACTCACAGGCATGAAAGTTAGAAAAAGAAAGATTCTTATATTGTCTCAATATGCCCATGAAGGAAATTAACTCTGAAATGAGTGGTAAGATATTTATGCCCTAAAAACATAGTCTGCAAATTCCTTTCCTATTGCTTATAACCACATTATGTTTTGGTATTAATGTTTTCATTTTTTTTTTAATTTTCACATAAAAGTAAGATGTCTTCTGAAAAAGAGTTTTAGAATGCATGACCTTATTTTCAGCAAGGACTTAATAACTGAGCGAATTACCCTACTTAAAAAAGCAGCAGAAAACCACAGCATTGTGAAATTCAACGTAGTTGGTAACACAGTCAAGGTTTCTCTTGTGACCATGTTATTTTTTGGACTATAACTATTCCAGTATATATGCATTAATCCCTAGAATACTCAGCTGAAGTACTGAGGACATAATCCAGGACTTTGGTTTGTCCCATTCTTTTGTTGGTTTGAAGCAAGTTAGAGACACCTAAAAAGTGTGACAGACTAGATGGAGTCCTGGATACCTTGGGATTTTTATATTTTTTTTTCAGGGAAGTGTTATGAGGTCTTCTCTGTGGTTTTAATTTTCATTACCAACACCACTTTAGCTCCTTCAATTTTTGTTGTGTGTCCATTTGCTGCACCTGAGCAAAGGGAAGAGAAAATAGGTCTGGCTGCTCAGTTCCCTGATGCCAGAGCTGGACTGGTTTTGATTTTGTTAACTATAGCAAAGGAGTGTGTCCATCTTTCATGGAAAATGAGGAACAAAAAGGGCAAGCAAGTTTTTCATCAGACATGCAGAAATAATGAAATTACTTGGTTTCTTGTTTAGTTTCCTGGTTTCAGCACTGAGTGAAACTAGGGTGCTGCATGAGTTTCCTAATGGTGGGTCACCTCCTGAGTAGCTTTCTCCTATGTGAGTAATGGTGTAGGGGTGCCAAGCTGAAGTTAGTAAGTTCTTCTTTAATCAAACCTATGTGATATTTTTTTTTAGTATTCTTACAATCTTGAAAAACAAATATTTTCATACATTTGTATGAAGTACAAAATTGAATTCAGTGGCTATTTAAAATCTGCAGGCTATTGATATGTATACATATTATATGGATATCTGTAAATCAGATACATAAACTCAACAAATTATTTCTCAAGCAAAATTTTCAGTCTGGAATATTGTTTTAAGAGTTAGGACTTGTGAGTAACTTTAAGCTCTGGAGTTCTCATAATTAGTCAGTTATGCAAGTTAATCAGCCAATGGTACAAGTAATTTTGCTTTTTCTTTTTTTTACTTTGGAACACATTCTCTAACAGATATGCTTTCATTATAGGCATTTCAAGAAGATCTGGAGCAGGAACAAGTCAAGGTGAATTCTCTAACCCATATGGTAGTGGTGGTGGATGAAAACAGTGGTGACAGAGCTACTGCTGCACTTGAAGAGCAGCTTCAGGTAATAACTAAATGGCAGTACCAGTCCCAAAAAACTGAAATAGGAAATTTTAAAAGTAAGCAAAACAAGATAGTGTGTGTACAGGATAATAATTTGTAGATAAATAATAATTATCAGGAAATATTAAGATTATTCTGTATTTTTCTAAAGCACTTTTGAGGGGAAAGTTATAATTTATTTCCCATTATTTTCTCATGGGCATGTTTCTTAGGAAACGATGGGAACTAACACTTAATTGTATTTTTTAAATGCAATCACTTGAGTATCTTTAAAAAAATGACACATCAGAGATACATTTGTGATAGAGCTAGCAGCCAAGATATTCTAAAAGCTTTTCAAACAGTAACTTGCTTATAGTAAAAGTTCACTACTTCACTTGCATCTTTAAAAAGTTGCTAATGCTGTATGATTTACATTCCAATGATCTTACTGTATCTTCTGAATGAAATTGAATAGTCCATAATTAATGTTGAGATACATTGAAAGGGGGTTCTTTTGTGTTGGTGGTCAGCTCTCTGTGGACACAGCTCAAGAGGAATGGTAATATTAAAACCAAGATTCCTTCTCTTTTTTCTCTTTCAGAAAGGACAAAGTGCTTTTCTTTCATTTTGCTTTAGTACCTAAGAAAATAAGAGTTTGTGGGTTCTAAATCATTAATACCCAGGGCTTCTCTAGAGAAGCTATCAATACATTCAGCCAGAAGGTATAGCTGTAGCACAAACAGACACTTACGTGCTGCCTTGAATGTAGCTAATTTGGATACTAACACCAGTAAATTAGTAATTGGTTTGGAATTTAGAGTAGGTTTGGCTAAGATGCTGAGCACTGCCACTTCAAATGTAATTCTCAGTTTTCTGCACTGCAGCAACTTAGTCACTCAAGGAGCACAACCCAGCCAAGATAACAATATAGCCTCTACTGATCCATAATTATTAATTCCTTTTGACTTCATCTTAAGTGTCAGAACTGTGGTGCACCTGCTTGAAATAGTCTTAACCTTCCAGAATTTCTTGCCAGCTCCTTGGAACTGTTCAGTGGAATAAAGCAGATTCCTAGCAAGAACACAGCTCCAGAAGCTAAACTAAACTTGTAAAATATCTTAAATGGAAGAAGAGAGAAAATAATTAATAGTTTTTGATATTTATGGCACTTCATGAATTAGAAGATATAGAAATGAGTTTTTAATAATGTGAAAAACAAATTAAAGGTTGGTGGATTGTTAGACAATTAATATAATTTCACATCTTCACAAAGAAGAATTAAGGGAACATCAGGTGACACAGCTTCATCCCAGATTATTACAGTGGTTAAAAAGATAACATTAGTATCCTGTGCAAAAACTGTGACTGAGCCATATTGGAATAAAGCATGAAATGGAACTCAGATATTACTGCAATACCTTAAAGAAACATAATGAATAATTAATGTAAATTAAACATAGTGGTAATACACAATGTGTAACTGTACCAGTGCAGAAAGCACCAATTATTACTGTCTTGGAAAAAGTACATTCCTTGAAAATGCTAGAAGGATAGTTCTTGAGTCCCCTCACCCTGCAGCACAGGCCACCTCTGAGCAGAGCATGGGGTGGCGTGGAACAGTCCATTTGCTCTTCTGTTACATCCTTTATTCACAATTTGTTACAGAAGAATCTGAGAGAAAATATAATAATATAATAATACCATTGCTCTGGAAGTTAAAGAATATGTAGCAACATTATAGATGTTAATAAAACCTAAGTACAGGTATAAAGCTATAGCGTTTAGAGTGTTACAGAGGTGTGGAAACTTGCATACTTTAATGCCAGGAAAACAGAATTACCACAGTCCCCTTGCTCTCCTAATGAAATATTATGCCTCTTTGTGTACAGGAACTGTTTGGAATTTTTTATTTTTTTTTTTCATATCACTTGCAGTCTGAATATAAGTACAGGAGATAAAATGTATTGACAGGCACAACTATCAGAGCATTTTACAAAAAACACAATGGAGGAAAGTTCCAGGCTTGATTATGGATCTGTCAGTCTGACTTCTAAGAGTAGAACAAAACAAGAGCATGAACTGTCAGACAAAAGAGCTTAATAAGACTGGCTCACTGAGGTGCTGGTCAGGATCAGATTAGGAAGAAAATGAGCAGTTATTTCCATGTAATAGTCAAAGATGCATTTTCCAAGCAGGTGCAATTCAGTTCTGCCTTTCTTTTTGAGGCGGTGATTCCCGAAATATTTTCATACATATAAATATCTATGTATGCATTGTGTATTTTTTTTTTTTCCCAAATGTCAATATAAGACAATTTTTTAAAGCCTAAAAAGAACCTTTTGAGATTTTAGGTCTCAGGAAGGTTGACAAGAATTTATGCTGATTTTAAACTAACTGTACAGTTATAGCCTATGCAAAAACATATCTTTTCAAGAGGCAATTAATGGCATAGAAGCCAAAAGTGTCCCCTGAAATAAATTGACAATTTACCCTTGCTTGGAAAATTAAAACTAACTAATATTAGGTTTTTTCTTAGAAACAGCTGTTCCCCTAAAGTACTTTGGGAGACTACAGCTAGACTGGGTGAATGTGAATATTGCACCTTCTTTTACATTACTTTGCTGATTTAACATATCAGTGTGTGACATACTGAGAGGCTCTGTTTATGCTGCTACTGAGAACCCACTATTTAGCCTTGAAACTCCGAGTGCCCCAATTAAACTCAATCCATGAATTTACCAAGGCAGCTGCAGAATAAGGCTCAAATCTATATTTAGTGCTGCAAAATCAAACCACTTTAGTAGCAAAACTGTTGCTGTGCTCTGACTTGTTTCTACAGCAAATATGGGGGGAATTATTTTCAGCTAAGAGAAATAGCTGGATAACATACAGAAGCCGTGAATGCAGGGGGATTTTTTTCCCTAATTATACCCAGCAGACAACAGGTCTCTTAAGGATTCTCATGGGCTAGCTCAAATTAGAGGCTTTCCCAATTTTCAAAGGGTCAGGGTCTGTGCTAGAAAGAAATCTGGAATAAATGTTAACAAATGCTACTTGATGGCTTATTCCCCTGCTGGGGGAAAGGAGCTGAGAGTGTATTTTCCAGGCTTATATATTCATATTTTTTAAGGTACTGTCCTTTGATTGAAGATGATATATGGGTAGTTCTTGTAAAGATACATCAAAATAAGTGAGGAATGTTAAAGAATGAATAGACTATTTCAGTTGACTCACTAAGCACTTATGACAGGAAGCTGCATCCTACAGACATCAGGGATTTCCAAGACCTGCTTATCACAACAGTATGATATTCCTGGTTGATGCCTGGGAAGTTGAAATCTCCCACAAGGACAAGGGTTACTGATTTAGAAATTTTGCCTCATTCCCTTTAGAATATTTTACATCCTGAGCAGCCTGGAATTCTCCATCCCAGATTTCCAACCATGGGACTCATTCCCCTGAGTCTCATTAATATCACAGCTGTGGGACCTGACCACTGCTTCCAGTTCATCCTGTTTGTTTCTCCCACACTGTATTGTTGGTGTATGTAATGTTGAGCATTTCAGAACTGCACACAAGACTTATTGGTGTTTGATAGAAATTTTGTGAATGAGCTAAATATTCAGTTGTAAAGAATTAATTATTAATTTTGGATATAGGCAAAAGCATCTTTCCACTTTTTTTCATTATTTTAAAAAGTGGGTAGCTATACCTAAAAAAAGAAAAGCATTTATAAAAAAAGCTCTTAGTTGCAGGCTTACAGTACATTATTCAAGTTAAGGCTATAAGAAAAGGCATTTTTTTTACAGGAGGGCATTTTATTTGTTAGTATGGATTCAGTCAATTTCTCTGAAAATTGGTTTTCCCAAGTGTTAGGAACACTTGGAGCAGTCTGAGTTTCTGGGCATCACACAGGCTGCTGTTTGATGTGAGTAGAGAATTAAAGTTGAGCACCATGAGATTTAGTATAATAACTACTTTATAAATAATAGCCCTGACATGATATTTCAAACTTGAAACTTCATGTCTAAAACCCATTCAACCAAAAAGTGTATCTTGTTCTCATGGTTGTTATGGCTTCTCATGAGAAATAACTAGATTTAAGGTATTTCACAGAATCAGCACTTTTATCAGTGCAGTTACTTGGTCATTTTGCTTACTTTGTTAAAATAAAAGATCTTGTCTATTGAGGAGAAAAAAAAAATAGGTTTTGTGGCTCTGAAATCATATGCTAAAAATGGTACTTCATATTAACTTTTTTGCTGTGCAAATCAATATATTTCTCAGAGTTAATGCAGAGCCAGATATTTGATCTTGTTCTCTTGAGGTTTTGGTGTTTTCAAGAGGACCAAACAAAAAATACTTTTGATGGTGTACCATAACCATCAATAATGATTACTAATCATCAATATCAATATCATTAATTGATGGAAATGTTATTGTAGTTGTTGAAAGAAAATTGTTTTTTTCATAGCCATCATTAAGAAAAGTCAGGGTGTGAGCTATTTAAAAGTTACTCTGGTATAAGGATTTTTATAAAATAGCTATGAGGAAAGATATGCTTATGATTTTTGAGCTAGTAATCAACAAGGTGAAAAATATTCAATTAAATATTTTTATGATTTTAGTGTCCACTAAATGGAAAATTGTATCTGCTGATTTTTTACTGTGACATAAAACTGCTAATGCAACAAATTCAGATGGCATTCTGAAATTTTATCTTCCATATCCTAGGAAGTGAAACTTAATTTTTTTCATTCTGGTAGAAAATACAGTTCTAATTTTAATAATGGTTTTAAGAATTCACTACTTGGATGCTACAGCTTTGATAAAAATAAAATCATTATCTCTATGCAAAATACATAAATACAAAATATATAGCATCATATAATATCTCAAAGTATAAGTGACCCATAGGAGTCATTAAGTAAATAATTAAATAAGGAAAAAGGAAGAAACTATTATTTTTTTATCAGGATTTTCTTTTGAAGTAGATGAAGAATTAAGAATATAGCAGTAGTATAGAGTAGCTTTCAGATGTTTATATGTTATTTATGTAATTTTTTATTTTAATTTTAGGGCAGCTGATTAAATTACATTTAATGTCCAGGGGTAATTAAGTCACTATAAACATAAATTTATAAATAATAAATTACCAGGGGTAATTAAGTCACTGTTGCAGTGAAGTTTTTTATCATCAACTAAAATAAGGGAGAAAGGAATAAGATGGTTGGTGTTTTGTGTAATTTAAATACATACACATGCAACAAATACCTGGGAAACCTCAGTGGGATTTGTGCTAGTGTGTGCTAGGGATTTTATAAGGGTGAGGTTTTTTTCCACTTCAATATTTTAAAAAAGGTAAGAGCTTTGGCCAGCTATACTGATGATGCAATTTAAAAGCCAATTTTTTTTTTTTTTTTTTTTTTGCTTTGACCACATCTTTGGCCATTGTGTTTATTTTTCAAGTAGTTATATGTTGGTCATCTTAAAATTTTGAAATAGTGTAGGTTTTTGAAAGTGTAGTACTAGAGATTAGAAACTGTTAGAAAACTGTAGATTAGTATTAAAATATTCTGTGTTTAGATCTATTGGTTTCCCTATTCTCTCCATTTTGGTTCAATTTCAAATGGTTGTAAAATCTATTTCTGTGATATGCAACGTAATTTAAAGCCATATGCCTGAGAGAAAAGTGAATAAGGAAAATGTTTCCATAAAAAACTTGGAATGCCATAGGGAAAACATGTTTTCTCATTTAGGAAGAAAAAAAGTTAACAAATGGAAAACTCTTTTGTGTTTCTTTCTCTCCAGCACTTTGGAAAACGGTGGGCAGCCATCTGTAGATGGACAGAAGAACGGTGGGTCCTTCTGCAGGATATCCTTCGCAAATGGCAGCATTTTGCAGAAGAGCAGGTGAGTGACTTTTTAAGTTCTAAATTGGAATGCTCTTCAAAACATTATAGGAAATATAATAATATATTACATATATAAATATATACAGGAAAGGCCTGACTTTTTCTCTCCAATTTTATTTCAGTGCCTTTTTGATGCATGGCTTACTGAGAAAGAGGATGCTGTGAGCAAAATTCATACAACTGGCTTTGGAGATCAGAATGAAATGCTGACCAACCTAAGCAAATTAGCTGTATGTATTTTTCTTTCTTCTGTTTTATGTTCTGCTTCCTTAATCTGAGTCTGCATGCACATGGCTTTACCCTGCTCTCCGACTGTACAGTTTGACAGAATATCTATTTCATACTTTAGTGGGTGGGCTTTGCCTCCTGTGGATGGAATAGGTTGGTCTTGCTGATAAAGGAACCACTAGATAGAGATGCTTTTCTTGGTTGCATCTTCAGTCAAAAGTTCATGAAATAAAACAGCATTTGGGTGTATTAAAAATATGTATGCTTTTATAGTGAAAGTTTCTTTGTTGCTAGTGTTGATGTGCATATTGCGTGTGAGACTATATATACACACATGCCAAGGAATATGCTTGTGAGTACTTGTCCTACAGCAAACCTTGTCTTGCATTCCTTGAAGCTGAAAAAGCTGAAGGCTCAGAAGTTATGAAATGTCAAAATCAGTGTTGCTTTACAACTGTACCTCAACATCAGAAATGTAGTTTCATGCACAGAACTCATCCTTTTCACCATGTTCTCCACCTCATTCTTCAGCAAATTCTCCACTATGCGTGGTCTTTATGGGAGTGATGCAGGTCTGGCTGTGCCTGTAGAGGTGAAAAACTTGTGGCAGCCAAGACTTGCCAATGGCTTTACAGCAGTAGGGCCTTTGTAAAGAAAATGATACAGTATGTGCTATTTCTGTATGTAATGATGGCTGCCTAGCATTTAGGGGAAAAGAAACAGTCGTGTCTATGCTTTAGTTAAAATTTATTAGGAAAAAAACTGGTAATCTTTTCAGGCATGAATATTTCTTTATTATTAATTAGCTATTATTAATTATTAAGTAATAAATATGGCATCTCAACTAATTATATATTGTTCATTACTTTTTTTTACTGGAATACATATCTAGGTTATAGGTAGCTAAGGCTCAACCTTACATCTTTAAAAATTAATTTAGGATTTACATCCTTCTCATCATTCTGTATTAAAAGTAGAAACATTCTGGCTTTGAGTTGATAAAAATACCATGATGTTTCTGAAGTTTTAGTAACTGTGATATTTCTAAAATGTACTCTATTTTATCCTCACATACACAAATGTATACAGCTTAAAAAAAACCAACTTACAGACTGATTGTTCCATTGTAGGTGGTCCAGAATTTTTGGTAGATGTTTCTTCAATTCATAGAATGACTCAGTAGTTAATTTAAGAACCAAAAGATTGATTTTCAGCATAATCTTGAGATGCTAATTATTACACTAACACATACAAGTTTCTTTGTCCTTTCCCTTCTTATTCCTTCTGCAACTCCTTAGGGGTTAATAAAAACATGCACTTTGAAACACAGACTTGGATTTTGATTAAAGATTGATTAGGATTAAGTAATCTTCTTTGTAAAAGAAGGAAAACATGTCTCTGCCTTAGTGTATATACTTGGAAATTCTACCAATCTGACATGTGAGCAATCTTGAAGCTGACTTCAAGCCAGGCTTTTAACGTGTCATGGATTAGAGACAGCTCAGGATGCTTTAGAATACCTTCATGAAGAAAAATGTATTACAAGAAATTCAAATTTATTCAAAAAATGTGTACTTTTGTATTTCAGAAGGTTGCTAGAGGACATAGGTACAGAGGGTTGAAATGTTTGCCACAAATTGTGAAGTAGCAGACTATTAAGGGTTTGCAAGTGTTAAAGATTGGGCCAGTTTACCTTTCATATTGATATTGATTTTGGAAATACGATGTTCAGAAACACTTTTATAGTATTTTCACAAGTTTCATTAATGAACTCTAATGAAGTTAAAATTATGCTGCCAGTTTAAATTGTTAAGCATTATTGTCATGGAATAATAGTGGTCTTGCAGGAAACTGAGTCAACAACATAAAATAGTAAATAAAATGAGTTTTCCGTAGCCCTGAACCTCAACAAGAGTCATGTCATCCTTAACAGGTGGAGTTTATTATTTGCAACTTACTCTTTTTTACACATGAATAACTTTTGATCTTTTTAGAAAGATGTTTCATAATGCAATAGTTTAGGTATTTAAATAGTGGTGGTATGCTAGAAGAAAAGTGTCTCTTTAGTGTCTTCGATTTGAAGCAGAAAAGTAGCTTTTACTTTTGAAATTCCCTCTATCAAGTTTCAGACCTAGTAGCAATCATTTCCAAATTCCAGTGATATGTTTTTACATTTACACAGTTCCCAATTGCTAGAAGTTTTTTGTATGACAATTTACTATTTTGATCTTGTCTGAACCTTTGGGAATTTGTATTAATGTATCAGCCACATGTTTTTTTGCAGGGAATGGATTTTCCTCTTGGACTGACTTTTAGAAATAGGGAAAAATAGGATCAGTCCTGACCCTGACTTGCATGTCTTTTGGCATATTTTGTTTTGACATGTGTTTGAATATAGTAGAGGAGAAGCTGTCACCAAGGATCACTCTTATAATTCGGTCTGAACTGTAAAAACAAGTCTGTGAGGGAATAAAAATGTATCTTTTCACTTAGAATAAGTATTTTCTTAACAATACAATATCTTGATCCCTCAGTTGTCCAGTCATTTCCAGCAAGAAATTACAGCTTTTTTTTTTTTTTTCCTGTTAGACTTTAAGAATTTTAGATTTGATACTGTAATATGGCATAAGATCTTCCAGCCTTTGTTTTCTGCCTCATATGCAGAACTTTGCCAGATTATGGCTGTGTTCTTTAGACAGTCTCTTTTACTGGAAGGAATTTTCTGAAGCTAATTTATTAAAAACATTTGGCATTGTGAGTGTTGAATTGAAATTATACAACCCTCCTACAAGGCCCTAACCATTCTGAAGTTACTGATGTGCAATGGGTCTGTTGAGATACTGTTCACAGTAGGAAATAAACTTGACTTTTATCTCACATTAATGCCCACGGACTGGAGACTGCTCCAGTGTGGGCTCTCCACAGGGTGATAATTTCCTTCAGAGCACATCTGCCTGTTCTGGTGTGGGGTCCTCCACAGACTACAGTTTATTTCAATGGATTTATTCAGTATTGTACGTGAAAATTTATCTTCTTTGTCATCAGCTCTCTTCTGGGATCTTCCTAGTTTAAAGGTCAGAAAAACAGTTTAGTGGGTAGTTGCTCTACTTCTTAAAATAGTTCCTTAAAACAACTGAGCTTTTTGTTTTCATTTCTTTTGTTTTTTTTTAATTTTCCACCTACCATTTGTTCACTGACTCTATAATTTACTCTTTAATTCTTACATATGGTGTAGGGTGAAACAGAGCATGGACTGAGCTGGAAGATGTGATGCACTGAGAATGTAGAACTGAGGTGGAATTTTGGTGCCATGTATGGCAAAGGCTTGATAGATTCTTTTCATGTCTAGACCTACATTTTGTAGTCTGTAAAATGAAGTTTTTATATTTCAAATTATTTTTTTTTTGGTAAAAAATACTGAAAGCTATTGCAAAGATCTATCTCTACATATTTATAGTGTATATTACATTATTATAGAGTTAAATATTTTCTTGCTTCATTTAATGTTTTTTGTGTCTTTTTTAACTATAGTAAATAAGTTAGATATTACACTATTTTTGACTGGAATAAATTTCTTTGCAACTGAAAATTAACTTTACAGTGGGTGGTGCTGGTTAGACTATTACAGTAAACAAAGTTTTTTAATCTTTAAGGAAAAGAAAAAAAGCAAGAACTAAAAACTTAAAACCCCCTAAATAGAACCACATTACCAAAAATATGGAAATCACTTTATAATGTTCAAATATCAGGGTTTACAGCATGTAGTTGAAGTTAAGAGATATATATTTGATAATTAATTTCATAAAACAAACTATCATGTCTTGCCTTTCAAACTGGGAAATTACATATTTTATAGTTACTATTATTATTTGAGGTCTATTCTTGTACTGGAAAAAAACCTCAGAGTACATTTTTGGTTATTGTGGCCCATTGACAGGTTTTTACTGAAGAAATGTGAAAACAGAATCTCCCAGCATAGTTTTCCAGATTGACTGTAGCTGTCACAAAATCATATTAAGTTGCAGTGAGCAGTATCTTCAAAAAAAAATAAAAAATTAACATTATTCTTTTTGTAGTGTTTCACTTCCTGCTTGTGCTGCAGGTATCAGGGATTGATGCTGAACTCATGAGTGTGTTATACAGCTCTTGTGGGCTGGGATGATTGGAAATCAAACATTGCTCTTCAGAACTAAGTAATGTTTCACAGGATACCATTTGTTATTATTCCAGTCAGTGTATGGTGGCCTCCACATGAGCTTTTTCTGACGCTGTAGGCGTAAAAAAAGGTCAAATATAGCAGTGCTTGAAATTTAACATGCTAAACTGGTTTGCATCTACTTTCCTCCATCTGTTAGGTCTCCTACCTCTCTGAGAAGAGATTCTTCAAAATAAAGTTAGCTTCTACTTTTCAGGGATAGATCAATTTGAATTTTGATATTAACTGTACCTAGCATTACTAACTATGATGTTTCAGATCAAATCTGATGAGAGATAGTACTGATTACAAAGACAATGAATCTTTCTTTTGTTGAATTGTATTTTTAATTACAATTTTGGACTATTATCACATACCGTAGGAAAGTATATGTAGACTAAATTCTGTTGTCTAACCACTTGTTTGATTACTCCTTTCATGCCTTGGGTATTAGAATGCAATCTACTACTGCATAGAAAGTTCAAAATTTGGCCATGGTTAGTATTAGGGTGTAGAGAATGAATGTTTAAGGAATGGAAGTCAATGAAGTAAACCAGTTAAAGTTTTAAAAGGTAAACACAGGTAAGGGCTGGAGCTCTGGATGCCCCTTGGATCTGTGAATAGCCATTTCATAGGCAGGTTTGTATGCATAGATCTCAGGAGTATCAAGGTCCCTTGGCACAGTGTGCTTTGGTTTTTTCTGTGTTTGGGTTCTTTGTTTTGTGCTTTTTTTGTTGCTTTTTGTTTGTTTGTTTGTTTTGTTCTATTTTTGGGGTTTTTTCTTTGTTTGTATGGTTTAATCCTTGTTTGGGATCAAATATTACTTTTCTAGGAAATTGTTTTTTCAATCTGCAATATATAACAAAATACTTTGTAACTTTAAAGAAAGATTGTTTGACATGTAAATATAGTTGTCAACACTGGTGCAGTTTTAAGGTTATTCCTGTAACACAAGTGTTAGCTTTTTGATTCATGTCATCACCTGAAGCCTGCTGTGAAGTTTGGAGTTTCTCCACCTGCTGTGTTATGTTGCTATGTAAGCTCTACCAGCAGTTTTTATGGAAACAACATCATGAAATTATAGGAACTCTTACCCATTTTCAGCTCTTTCTGATATTCTCCTTATTATTTTTCTTCTAAGTTTGTTGGTTTTCTTTTTTGTGGGTGTTTTCATTTGGGTTTTTTTTTGGTTTTTCTGTATGAATGTGTGTTCTTCCTTCTGTTACTTTGTTTAACAGATCCTAAAAGGAGATCTAGAAATGAAAAGGCAAATGATGAGTAAGCTGAAGTTGCTCAGCCAAGATCTGCTTGTAGCTGTGAAAAATAAAGCAGTGGCTCAAAAGCTGGAAAGTCGTCTCGAAAATTTTGCCCAGCGCTGGGAAAGCCTTGTGCAGAAGGTGGAGAGCAATTCTAAACAGGTTTGTAAAAAACAGTTTTATCAGTCTGTGACAATCAGATCCTTTTGCAGTCAAATGCTTGAAGTAGTTCTGGTGCTGTTTGTCATCTTGTTTTAATTTTTTCCCCTGCATTATTGCTTAAGACATTTTTTATTTTTAGGACATCATAATACAACTGTAATATAGCTTTCCAGAATTTTATTTATCTTCTTCGTTTTTAATCTCTCTTTATAGTTTTGATTACTTTCTTGGGTTGTTTACTATGTTTTCAGGGATGATACAAACCATAATGAAAATACTTTTCCAGTTAATTTATTTTTAACCTGCAATAACATTAACATTTTTTTATAGCTGTCTCTCTGAAACAACACATAGTCTGAAATTAGTTCAAGAACTGTCTGCTATTTCAAGTGGAATCTTTTTTCAACATTAAAAGTTAATAAATAATTGTTATTTTGCTTCTGATATGATAGGCTTTTTATCAGGTTAAAAAGTGAGACTATAAAAAGAGAAATTTCTTGGAAAAATAAAGAAATCAATCTATACCTGTAACTAAAATTTCCAGTGAAAAAATGTAACTTGCTACTATTTTGATCACTTAATTAACTGTAATATATTAAATAAAAGAAATTGAGGTTTTAAACCAGGTAACAAAATGCAGCACTCTGGTGTAGTAACCAAACCCATATCCGACTATTTAACCTAGACATCTTATTAGCATCTCTTTCTTACTGGATTTAAACCCAAACCAGCTCCCTTTTTTCCATTTTATTATCTTGCTAATACTGGGTTATGTTTGAGCTGTTATTGTATGACTGGTAAAATGGAAATGGATATTAAGGCTTTTTCATTAGACAGCACAGAGCTGAATGTTACAGCAGGTATCTCTGTCCTGTCCATACGGGTCTCTTACAGTTCTGGTCAGTTTGATCAATTTGATTAAATTCCCTTTAATGCTGCCCTTTTCTGTTGCTCTCTACTAATACACCTACCAAATTATGATTGGGTAATTAAAGAAAAGCTGCTATACTTCATGTAGTAATCTGAATCCCTCTTAGTAACCTTGCTTTCAACTCATACTGTAATATTTTAGTTTGCTCTGTGATAGTTAGAAAAAGCAGCTGAAGTTGAAAAAATCAGTTTGAGAGAATATAAGGGAAGAAAATGGGGGAAGGGCACTATTTCACTTGGAAAAGCCATGTTGTGTACACAGCATTTAGAAGCTGAAAATAAGATTTAATTACAGTATATTTGCTGTAGAAAACCTCCTGTTTTAAAGCAGAGGAAAATTCCAGGGATTCATTTTTGAAATTGGGGTGGCTAGGATCACGTGGCTTGAGGAAGTTGGTAAGTCACTCCAAATCGTTCAAGTCCTGGTCAGATTGGTGATGGCTCCTAAATGCAGTTACTGCTTTTGAAAATGGAACTTAGATTACAGAAAATGAAGTGAGCAGCCCTGAGTCTGTCAACATAGATCAGCACAGCTGGGAGCTGCTTTGGATTCCCAAAACAGTGTAGCTGTCCTATCACAGCAGAGCACACAGTGGATAAGCTTTTCCTCCAAGGAGAAGCTGCTCTGCTTGGGGCAGAAGTATTGTGCTGTCATGGGAATGCTGCTTCACCTTCTGGAAGCATTGCACAGTCAGACCTGACTGAAGGACCTGTTCCTAAGGCACTGTTGCTCTGTTCAGATGTATCTTCTGTGAAATACTGATGGTGTACTTGTCACCCTGGGTTTCTGTCTAGGCAGGACAGATAATTTCAGTGAAGTTTTTACATGTATTCATTACAGAGCTCATTTATGTGTTTACACTGCAAGAAAAAATGCAAGATTTCACTATGTTCTCTAATAATGAACTGAAGAGGAGGAGACTTTGAAGAGGGTGAAAACCAGAATATTTTCCACTAAAATCTATCAGAAAATGTATGTTTTATTCATCAAGCTTAGATACTGCCTTCAAAATTAACTTTACATGGTTTAGTGGTGGACCAAGCTTAGATACTGCCTTCAAAATTAACTTTACATGGTTTAGTGGTGGACTTGGAGCAAGGTCAATAGTTAAACTCAATGTTTTTAAATGTCTTTTCCAACCTACAGGATTCTATGAATAATAATTTTCATAGGGCCCTCATAATTGCATTTTTGTCCTTAGTTATTTCCCCTCTTAATAAAGTGTCACCAAATGATTAACAGACATATAAAGTAGTTATAAATCCCAAAGGAAAAGTGCAGAAAGTAGAATGTGAGTTCTCCCACATTTGGCTGAATTAATTGCTCTTGAACTCAAGCATCTAATCAGAACACATGGCTGAAGCTCCTGCTACAAATGACTGGATGGCAAGGGTGTGAGAGAGAGAGAGAAATCTAAAAACCAGTTTGTCCTCATCATGAAAATGTCAGCTTTCCTTCACTGACCACACAGTGGAATCAAGGACAAGGACAGCTTGCTTAGGCTAGATGAGGAGCTTCCAAAAGCTCTAAAACCAGTTTTGCTGAGTACATTATGCTCCACTATATTGTACTGAAAAATCTTTCCAAACTAAGGAAAACACTATTCCTCATCTGAACTTCCCCACTCACAGAGATAAATTTCATCAAAGAACAGATGACAGCTCCAAAAGTGAGTGTAAAGGAAAATTATGAGTTTATCAGGACAGAGGGCATTTCCAAAGACAGTAATAAATGTTGGCATTAAAGGAAGGCTGCTGTATAAATGAGAAATAAAATGTCATAAAACTACTGAAGTGCTATACACACATTGTACATATGTTTGCCTATAGATGATGAAAAAGATTTGAATCTGTCTGCTTGGAAAAGAGATGACTTTTAACATGTTTTGAAGATGGGCTTGATGTGAAATTGCAGGCAAGCATTGTATTTTGAAAGCCTTTTAAAGTGCAGTCTTGTGAGTCACCTTAGCCCTTTACATATGATTTTCTAGTGGGTTAAAGCTCTAGTCTATATTGCCCCTTCTCAGAATCCCATTTGCTATTCAGGGACTGAGAGGGATGAAGAAAATACAGAGTTATTATTTTCACCATCCTTGAATAATACATGAAACACACCACTTTGGTGATTAAAATGTGTTTGGATTTTTGGGTTTGTTTTGGTTCTTTTTTTTTTTGGGGGGGGAGTTATTTTTCTTTTGTTTGGGTTTTTTGTTTTGTTCTGTTTTTGTTTGTTTGGGGCTTTTTTTGGTTTTGGGGTATTTTTGTGTTTGTTTGCTTGCTTTCTTTTTCCTTTTTTTTTTTTTTTTTAACAGGTAAGCCAATAAAAATTACCTCTTTTTTGTTATTACTAATATTTCTAACAATTGTGCTTTTCACACTGAAGTGTGTGCAGTTTAAATGTGAACCAGCTTCATCTTGCACAGTAAGTCTGCAGTCTACCTTTTATCCTTACCCTGTCTCTAATTAGAATAATTATGAACTTCAATTTTGCATCTCCATTCTCCTTTTGAAGAACACAGTATTTAACCTCCACTCCTGTTGATTAAGAATGAAAAATACTTTTTTATTGTTTTCACATTCAAATCATTACCCCCCACAGCATGGTTCTTTGACTGCTCTGAGCAGTGATTGTGCTGCCAGCTCTGGAAGAGCAGTTCCCCATCCCAGCTGAAGCTGTAATTGGTATTATGCTGCAGATAATTCCTACAGTGCCCTAGCTGTGGTTTATTCTGTGTTACACCTTCTTCACTGGAAACTCTGCCCTGGTATTGATTAGCAAATGAAAACATGGCAGGATGTGACCCTGGGTGTCCTAAACATCATCCTATCATTGATTTTTGGATAAAACAGAGTGTAATAAGAATTTTTTGAGAAGAGGAAAGAGAGACAGAGAGACTGTATAGTTATATAATAGGCAAGAAATTCTTTCTGTTCTTATGTATGATCAGCTCGGGGAAAGATGACATCAGGTTCTATCCTCAAATGTCATGGAACCCTAGATATCAGAAGCTTTAACTTGCTTTTCCTTCTGCCCTCTAATTAATTAAAATAAAATGGAAAATAATGCTGTATAAAGTTTCAATAAAAATATACATGGAAATACTGACTTAATATTGTCATGATTTCTGTGGGAAAAAAAAATCAAAATCAATACAGCTTGTTGAAAGAACTAAAACAAGAATGTTACTACATAAAATTTTAGTGATTAAAAAGTCAACTGGGTGTTTTTCTCTTCCAAAGAATTTTGTAGCTCACACATTACTTAAATCCCTGCAGGTCACAAGCAGCTTATTCAATGACATAATTAATCCATATATTTTTTAAAAGTCTGCTCTGAATCTAAATTTTTTAGTCTTCTTAGTAGTCAAGAATCTGCTCTAAAACCTAGATAAGTGCCTGTTTCTAGAGGTGGAAGCACAGCATTGGGTTAACTGCTCTATGTAAGAAATACTGACAATTTACAGTGGTAAATCAATTCCCTACTAATCACTTCCACTGTCAGCCTGGAGTAAGAACAGGAAGACTTTTGCATAGAAGGCAATGTGAAGAATTCAGCAGAGTTGGCAGGAATTTGTTGGGGCATTTTTGCAGGTTTCTTGGCTTTACTGTTATTGCTTGCTGGGAAGAGGCTGCTTGCTAACAGTGTTTCCTTTTCCTTGTCATTCTGTTTTTCTTTTTCGATGCAAGAAAGCATTGTGGGAAAGGTGTTAGACCTGGTTGTCTTGTCATTGTTTATAGAAGCACTGTGTCTCAATAACAAAACTGACTCAATTCTCTTACTGAGTTTCTGATGCAAGAAGTAATAGTTAATTTATGTATGTGCTTATACTTCCATGGACTTTGAGATATTGGCATTTCTGTTATTGAATTGGAAACTCTAATTCTTGCATATTAGCAAAAGCAAAGAAGCAGGGCTTTTCTGATGCACAACTTTTTTTACTCCTGGTATATTTTTTTTTCTTTTATTTTCCATTTCACTGCCCTTAAACTGTGAGGTCGACATTGGAGCTGTAACTAGAGCATTTTGACAAATGAGCCATCATCTGACAGAATCAAAAAAAGAAGTGGCCTATTTCTCATGAGTTAAGGGGTTTAAGAACAGCTGCCCACATCTGAGTTGGAAAATGTTATATGGAAAAAAGTATATGGGCAGTACATGCACAAGCAGTGTGCAAACCAATAGGAACAAAAATTATTTCTCACCATTATTTTTTAATGCAGCTGAGCTATACAAAGAGGGTTTTTTCATATTGCTGGAGCAAAGCTAAATGCATTAGACAGGTAGTGTTTACAGTGTGTTACATACCATGGGTGTTAGTATCTGCTGTGACCCCTAAATATTGTTTTTTTAATTACGGAATAAAACTGATGCAAATTAATTTGCCTTCTAGTGCATGTGTTCTAATTTAAGATTTCCAGCCAGAATGTTAACTGCACTTTCATGCAGGTATATTATGGTGGATTACATTCTATCTGATTTTTTTATAAATGGTAGGACTAATAATTGGTAATTTAGTGCCATTTTAATGTCTTTATCACCTCTCAAGGAGCAAATTTTTGGATTGGGGGCAGTCTGAAATTAATATTTAGTAATAGTAACATTTTATTTATTTGATATCATTCCATTCCATTCATTTGTTTTCTTCATTCAGCATGGATTACAGGGAGCTATAAGTTCATTAGAATCCTTTCTGATTTTGATATTGGCTTTTGCAGATATCTTATTCACACAGCGTGAGTCAGATAAAACAAATCTTGGGTTGCGTGTAATGTTTTTTTCTGAAGGTCAGCCTGTGATCAGATGAGAGCAGTTTCTCATTATTTTCTATTGCTCCTCCAAACAATCTTTACTGAAGTCTTTCAAATAATGTATGACCTCTGTTTTTGTACTTCTCACAGATTTCGCAGGCTGTCACTACCACTCAGACATCACTAACACAGACAACTGTAATGGAAACTGTAACTATGGTGACCACAAGAGAGCAAATCCTGGTTAAGCATGCTAAAGAGGAACTCCCACCACCTCCACCCCACAAAAAAAGGCAACTCCTTGTGGATTCAGAAATTAGGAAGAGGTGAGGATCATCAAGAGACAGAGAGAGAATACTATAGAGACGGGACAAAAATGCAAGAACAGTCATTCGACTGCAATATTTTTCTGTATGCTATTCTGAGCTTAAAATTATATTTCTGTTCTCTTCTAGGGTACCAGCTGATTTTTATCTTTCTTTACTCAGCATGAGTTATGGATTATATTGTGCTTCTATTACACCTGTTTAGCAGTATAGAATATTAATGATTAAATCAATTCTTTCGCACAGTAATTATAGTCAGTTATTATGTATGGCATTGAGGGGATCCCACTTGACTAGGGTTTTGAAATGTGATGGGCAAGAAGCATTCTATTAATTCTAAGATTTTTATTCTTTAAGAAGAATTTTATAATAGTTAAAATACTAGTAATGGAGATACTGCCTTCTTTCTAGAGTTCATTGTATTCATCTGTGCTTATGGGTCAGGAGTAAAAATAGCAGAAATATAGCAAATCTGCAGAGGCAGTTAATATTTGGTGAAACATGCATTATTATTTTCAGATTTTTTTCATGTGTAACTCAAGTACAGGTGGCAAGGCATTTTAAACTGATGCTGAACACTAGTTAAAGTCAGGAGAATACATTCTTATGTGTTTAAGCAGAATTGGCTCAAGCACTAAGTTTCTAAATGAGGTGCTAAGAAGGTAGATTCAAACATTCATTATAATGTTTGTTTTGGAAACATATTTTGATATTCAGATAAACATGAGTTACAAGGTAACAGCTTTGAGGACTGAAAAGGATGTGAAACTGCATTCAGTGTCTCATTTCTATGGACAATATCTTTGCTTAGTTCAAAATGTTTACCAGAACAAGTATTTTCTTGTAAAATAATGTTTCATTTATTAAGAAGAATGAAATATTGCAAGAATAGGAGAATCTGAAGAAATAAAAGTTTTAGGAATAATCTTACTTCATAAGGAAGCAACATGCAAGACTACTGTTATAAAAGGAAGCATTAACTTTCTTAAAACTAAATCAAGTAGGATGATTTTTTTTTTAAAACCTATTTTTTTAATTCTTCAAGAAAATTGTTGCTATATGCAGATTATAAAACTGGAGACCAATTGGCATAGAAGTTCCTTTATCAAATACTGTATATTTATTGTTAGCACATATTTTCCTTCTTGCTCATATTCTTTTAATTTGCCTTAATACTGACAGTAAACTTGGCAGGGTACAACAGAATAGTGATTTAATTCTCATCATGCAAGGATACTGCCTGAGAGGAGGAATTAGCTGGATTATGGGAATTGTTTTTGTTCCAAACTACCTTGGTGTATAGAAACTGATAATTGTATTACTACAATGCTTTTGCTGATGTCTGTCTAAAACACTGCAACTAACGAGTTTATATATAAACCTGATTGATCCTTGGACAGAAAATAGGATGTATTATCAACTTTGAGGGTAGGATTGCTGTTAGATATATTACTGGTAGATCTGCTACCAAATTCACAGAGTGTTAATGATTTTTTACCATGCATACTAGGTTTCAGGGGGTTTTGATTTGTTTTAATGCTATCTAAAATATGTGCATTCACCATGTAATTTCTGTTTAACTTTTGGATAAGAGTCAAGATGAAACAATCTGTAGTTCTCAGTCTTTGCCTGGGATGAGTTTAGATAATTGAATAAGTTGTGGCTTCTTTTAGATATTTAAAATCAGAGTAATTTTCCTTTCTGCACAAGTTAGATTTTTATTTTGATCTGCTAGAAGAGAAAGCTGACTTTCACAAGGAAAAAGGGAGTTAATTGTTTAATTCTCTAACTATTATGACTGTTACATCTGTGAGTGGACCTACATTTTGGGAACGTGCAAAGTAAATGTTGGAAATGTCCACAGCTCTGCAGAAGGATGAATGATGGTTGTATTATCTGAAGGCAGTGTTTCTCCATTCAGATAATCTTGTTGGAATTTCCAACTGAACAGAGAAAGCACCAAACCCCACAATTTATTTACCTTTCATCTCTGGAAAGTCCAAGCAAGTGTTTTACAGTGGGCAGACCAGTCAGTAAACAGCTCCAGAAAACACTTTGAGAATAAACTTTGGGGAAGAAGTTTCAGCTTAGAATAGCAGATTTTGTGACGGTTTTTAATGAATATGTAAAAATGCAGTTTTGGAAACAAACACATTTTAAATTGTGCTGTTGTCTTACTCAAAGACAAGAAAATATAAATTTATACTAGACATAAGCATAATAATGGAAGAAAAAAGCTCATCTGAAAATTTGGGAGATCTGATAAGATATCTTTGTTCACTGGTAACTAGACACCTTTTTGATCAATGTTTTTTTTTGATAGGAGAAGAAACATTGCATTCCCAAACAGCCAGGCCTTTCTTGTCCAGGTGCACTGTTAGCCACAAGATCTCTCAGGGTTTGGTTTTTTTTTGTATTCAGTTGTAGCTGCACCCAATGATAAACAAAGCCCATAGTGCTGCAGGCCTTTTGTTTTTTTTGAAATAATTTAAAAGAATGGAGGTTCTCAACCTACCTCTCCTACATCACTCTATATTTTGTGTGTTTACAACCAAAATTTTCCCTGAGCACTTAATGACTACTAGTTAGATGGTTATGTACTCTTTAGTTTTGGTTTGATAAAAAACCCCTAGCAATTACTGAGGGCTTGTCAGGACCTTGCGAAGGTGAGTAACCAGATTGTGTTGGCTGCTTTCTGCAGTCTCAGTAAAACACACTGCATGCTGCTGCTTGGTGTTTTTAGGCCTAGGAGGGAAAGACACATTGGGGGTTGAAGCTTTTTTGAGGTGGTGAATAATGCTCCCAGGTTTTGCCGGCATCTTTCATCTGTTCTCAGACTTTAGTCTGAGTTGTTTCTGTAAAGGAGCATGCTTGAAGTAAATTCATCAGGCTCCATTGCCACAGGTTTGGAAGTATTTATTTTCACAGCTTCTCTGTGAACTAAATATTTTAGAGATAATAGATACTAAAGGAAGGAAGAGTAGTTTGAGTGTAGCTACTCAGTGAATATTGTATTAGGGCACTGGTAAGAGCATGGCCTCTACTTACCAAACCAAGGAGGAAAAAAAAAGGATTATTAAGTTTGAAGCATCAAACTTTCTAGAATGCCAAGTGTTTTATCAGGATTGAAATTATAAAAATCTCTGTTTAAACTGAAGAAATTAAGTAGAAGCAATTTGACTTGTAGACCAGTAACATCCACAGGACTGAATATCCCATTTCCATTGCTTTATTTACTGTGGCATGAATGCATGGGAAAGAAGCTGTTGATTTTTTATTTTTTCTTACCTCTTAAAGCAAGCTTTTGCCATGTAGTGGAGGAAAGCAGAGATAAGAACCAGATTACTTTTTTTATTATTATTTCTTCCCCCTCCATTCTCCCGCTCAAAATCTAAAACTGATTCAGGACTAATGCTTCAAAATGTCAGAATAACTCAGGTGAGTTAAGTGCTATTGCTAGTCAAAGAAAAGCTGCTTTTCCCACAGGAATCAATTTAAAACTGAGACAGATAAAATACTTGGAGCTGATAATAGGATCTTGAAAAGTATGTATTAAGCATTAGAGGTAGAGATAAATGTAACACAGCTGAGGTTCTAGTATTTAAAAAAACTGTAAATTGGAGAAAGGGATTCAAGTTAACATACTTATTTTCATGGTGTTTTCATATTCTGGGAAAAACATATCACAGAAAAATCTGAAAACTACTCTCTTCATGCTAAGTTTTTAAATAGGAGATGAGTAAGAGCTGGTTAATATTTAGTTTAAACATGTTTGTAATATTAGTATGCTTAAATAACGACCAAAGATACCTTCCTTTGCAATTTGGTAAATATCTTTTTGCATGCTTCCTAAGGTTTTTAAGGAAAGTCTGCTTGTCATAAGGTTATTATTGGTATAATGTTAATCTGAAGATTTGAAAGAGACTTGATGCTCTTTGAAGAGCAAGGTGTGTTAAAACAGGATAGTTGCTCCATCTAGTGTTTTTTCTTTTCATTTAACAGCTGTTAGATGAACTTTTCAAAAGGAGATAAACCCTTACTTGTTTGAAAATTATTATATTTGGGATTCTAATACTTCATTATTTAGAAAAGTTTGGATTTTTCTAGAAGAAAAAAATCAAAGGAAATATTACAGTGACTTTTTATGGTCTTTTTGATAGCTGTTGTTTCATATATCCCATTTCTCTGCAATGAATTATGTTAGGACTAAATGGTGACTGTTTAGCACTTTTACAGCCCCTCCATTGGGTTTTTTGACCTTTATTCTGTTACAGAATTGCAGCTTGTGCTCTGGTATTGTTATCTAATGATAGGTAACAAATTCAAAAAGAGGAAGGTCGTGTCTTCAATTTTCCTGGTGGTTTTTGATTTCATTATGTCTGTAGCCAATGCCAGAGGAAAGGAAAAGGTGACCAAGACACAGCAGAATAGTTTTCTGTTCCTTAGAGAGGGAATAATTAATGAGCATTTTCATTTGGATTGTAAAAGTATGGCTATGTTGAGATTTGTACACATGGACACTTCCTAATGCTTACTAAGCATTTTTCCTTTATCCTTTTTGTGAGGTGAGAATTGGGTTAGTGACAAATAAACAGAACTTATATTCTCATTTAGCACCTGAAATTACCTGCAATATTATCAGAGTGGTACCAGTCAGCACTTGCTGCAGGCCGTGATGATTTGGTTTAAAAGTACTCTGATGGTTCTACTGAAGTTTCTGTTGGAGATACATGCTTGGGATTGATTTATTTTTATTCTTTTTCATGCCCTGTATGCATTACAGAAATGCACTTGTCATAATGCTGATGAGGCTAAATTTAACAGTACCACAAATGTAGAGGGAGAGTCAAAATGTCATTCCAAAAGGATATAAAATATTTTAAATCTAAACCTAAAACAATAGGAAGGTAAAAATATTTGTTGGGCTAAATTTGCAGTTGAATTAGAAGAAAAACTCTATTTATCAATTAATGGCTCATCACCTAAAAATACAGAGGAGGAAGAAAGACATCAGGGAATTAGATCAGAATAATTCTTCCAATGGTCACCATGTGCTGTAAAGTTGTTCTTTGATATGTTCTAGGCAGCAAAGAGCTACAAGTTGAGAAAGACCTCTGCTGAGCTGGGGATTTCAGTCCAGACATGGAAATGAAATAATTCAGTGAAGTGGTTCTTGCATCAAAATTGTATCATTCCCTGCCAACTCCATATGTTGGCAAATGGTTTTATGTCTGCCCAAGATTTGCAGTGGTGACTGGCCCAGTCTGAATTTTGTTTGAGGAGGGAAGAAAACAAATGAGCAAAGGAAATTGTCAAGCAATTTCTGCCTGTTAAACAAAAAGTACTGAAACCACTGTTTGTCCATGGTAGCAGTAGCATAGTAATGTGGTTTAAAGATTACATTTATTCAGTTTATGGCCACAGGACAGGAAGATACTTCATGCCTCATTTCCTGTGTGAACTTGTTCAACACTGAATTTGTTTTTATATCTAATTTCTCAAAGTATATTTAAAACTCATCTTCATATTTTTAATCTATTCCAGTCACATTTTCATGGAAAATTCTCCACAAATTGATTTTCTGGATCATCTTAAGCCATATTCCCACTTCAGATTCCCATTCCAAACTTTCTTACTAGATCACCATGTATTTGTTCTAAATTTACTCCTTGTTCTGGCTTTCCTTGTCTCTATTAAATACATGATAAACCTCACCTTTGAGACATTTCACAGCTTAATTACACAACAATTTTCTCTTTCTCTGTATAGAATTGCCAACCCAAATACTCAAAAGACTAGGGTACTCTTGTCTTACCAGAAATCCCCTATCTGATAAAAAAAACCTGATAGAAATCACTAGATAAAAAGAGTTAATTTGTTTATATTTTACAATAAAAACAAATCTTCATTTGAACTCAGCTGATACGTGATGGCATGTAAAGTGAGGGCTGTGGGACCAGTAAAAATAGTATTTCCCTTGTGGAACACTAGAAGAAAAGACTAAGTGGAAAACAGAAACATGACTTCCGCACGAAGAATAAATCCTCTTTTTCAAATGGAATTTTTAGGTGGGGAGCTTGCCAATGTACATGCTAAATTAAGGGAGTTATTTAGAGTAATTTCTTGAGTGATTTTTAGTTTTGTATTTTCCATTTATCTATTTTTACAAGTTCTACTTGAGCTGAAGTTTGTTGGGACAGAGACGCAGTCTTGCACTATTTTATGTCTAAAGTATTCTTATTCCTAGGAGTTTTAAAGACTCTATTTATACTTGAATATCAATCTAGAGCTAATATAATTTCTAGCTGAAGCTGTGCTCAGTAAGGAAGCATCCAATCACTATAGCAGAATGATTAAATGCCATTTCCACCAGTGTTTCCTCCTTTTACACAAGATGAACATGACAGAGTGTTTTGTTTTTTTTTGTCTAAGATGTCTTTATCTTAAAGATATTTATGTACTGCAAAAAGCCATTTAGATTTAAGTTTTATTTATTTTAATTATTTTCTGCCCCTCTCTGTATTGCCCTTTTTTAAACAGAAAGCTTTGTTTCTGAAATTATATTTATCTCCAGAAGAAACTGGAAGTGACAGAGCAATCTGTTACATGAGATCAGCTTTTTCATATCAGAGAATCATATCATATTATAGAATGCTTTCAGTTGGAAGGACCTTAGAAGATCTATGTCTAGTACTTGCCACCATCTCATGGCTCTCAGGGCCGTGAGATGTGTTCCTAATTATTTTGTTTTACTGTCAAAACCATCCCAAATGCTCCCATTCCTCTTTCCAGGTGTTGCAGAGGCAAGGGCTAAATCCCTTTTTTGAAGAATTGATCAGTGATAAACATTTTTCTGTCAATTTCCATCCTGTACCAGGGTAAGACCTGGCTATTTTTCAGAGAATTGGTCTCATTAATTCTTCTTGCCTGCAGCTTCAGAATGGAACAAGAACCAGAACTCATACAGTTTTACCTGCAGTCAAGGAACTTTAGTACTCAGGGACTGGTAAACTTCATTGCTGTCAGATGTCTGGTGTTTTGTGATCATCAAATATGCAGTCATTATTTGTAGAACAGAGGATAGCATTTTATTTCAAGAACTGCAGTTGATTTAATGATCAAAAATAAAGCTGAAGAAGGAAGCTCTCAACTGACAGTGGAGTTCATGTTCAGAGATTAGAATCTGTTGCCAGCACACACATTCCTTGAACCATCTGGGAATTTTATTTCGTCTTTTGCCTAGGAATTTGTAGTTCTTTATAAAACTGAAGTTACTGCACCATCACTCACTTCAAAGTCATATTTTTCTGCTTGAATGAGTATTCTATTAGTATTATCAGGAATTTTTTAATCAATTTTTTCCTAAGAGTTTTTTAATTTGAATATAGAATATTGGACTGAGATTAAGGTAGTGTGTGACTCTTTTGCTTTCATTATTTATGAATACAAAAAGTCACAGTGGAGAAGGGAAAAAAAGGGAAGTATAAATATTCACTCAAGCATGGAACTCTTTCTTGTATTCAGTTTTCATTTCTGTATATTTAGATTTATCAAGCACCTGGTTTTGCCTTAAATCCTTGTATTTTAGAAGTATAAATCCTTGTATAAATTAAATGTATTTTTAGAAAATAATTAATTCCTCCAGGAGTGTAATTGTTGTTCAAGTTACTGATTTTAGTGGATTTTCAGCTGCATGCAAATGATACAACCCATAGTCACAAAGCAAACCGAAAGATACAGCTTGTTATTTTTTTCCCTCAGGTCTTTCTGCTCTATTGTGTTCACCATATTTCTGCAGAAGGAAAGTCAGCTGCAAAAGGAATATAAATATTAGAATATACAGTGCAATAAAGAAATGCAATCAAGCAGAGTGTGGCACAACTGAGAAAAAAATATTGGCTGAGGCTTCTTTTTTTAAAACCTACAGTAGATACTGAATCACAATTTGAAGTTTGTAGACATTAGTAACTATCTGCATTTTGAGACATCACCTGAAGAGCAGTTAACACAAATTAAGACCAGTTTTAAAGGAGCTGTTGAAAGAATCCAGAATGCAGTAAAGAGGGCTGTAGAGGGAAAACTAGTTCTAAATGATGTACACAGAGTAGGGGATCGTAATTTTGGTTTCTAAAGCTTTAACTGTGGAAAATTATACTTTATTTGTCGATTAGTGCTAACAATCTAGATCAAATTTGAGTTAATCAGAAAAAAATTTGTCAATTTTTCTGCTTTAATTTCCTTCCTAATATTATCATCACAAGCTGGGACAGTGATCTCACAGGTTTGAAGGCTGTATTTGGTCAGTCAGATAGGCCTTACATCCTGAGCTCAGCCAGCAGAACTTGTGACATTTCTTCACTGACTGACATTTGTTTCATATCTTCCAAACACTTTAGCTCGAAAAATCAGAATACTTACTGTGAAAACTATAACATCTGTTCAGCTGTCAAATTGGGTCTTAAACATGAAAAAGTATTTCTTTGTTTCTAATTTTTAGAGTGAATAGTTTTATGAACTCTCTGATGAGATATGGGAGTTTAAAACTGTCTTTTGCTGACAGAAATTCCTGTTTATTCACTTGTTTAAACAACCATGTTTTCTGCTCATCCTGTTTTCAGAAACTGTGAAAGTTTGAAGTCTTGTTGCACTTTTGTGTCCCTCAGGTTTGACTCGGACACCACGGAGCTGCACAGCTGGATGACGCGCTCCGAGGCAGTGCTGCAAAGCCCCGAGTTTGCCGTCTTTCGGAAAGAAGGGAACCTCTCAGACCTCAGAGAAAGAGTCAATGTAGGAGAAACTACTTGTCTACTGTCAGTCTGTATTAGCTTGTCAAAGTGCTTTCAGAGTCCAACTTTAAGTGATTTACAATGTAGACTGACAAGCATTGATTGTCCAAGATAAATTTAGAAGTGTTCGCTGTTTCTGTGAATTTCAGAATTTTTTTGGCACCAAAATTACTGCACAGGTTGTGTGAGCTCATAGATTTTTGTTGTTGTTTTTGTTCATACATATTCATACTTAATTAAGGTATTCTAGATCCATGAAAGTCTTAGGTAAAGTTATACCAAAGGCTATACATCATTTCTTAAATATGCAACATCATTCTATACTGACAGCTTAATTTGACATTATACATGCATAAACTGAAGAATATGAAAAGTGTCACTGGAGTGGATGCTAAAAAAAAATCCATCTTTTTCCTTTTACAGAGCTGTAAAATATATATGACAATCACCAGTTTCCACAGGACTTTTATTGTTATTTTTTTTTTAAAACTCTACTCTAGTACCATATCAGAACCAAAAAAATGTTCTTTCCTGCAAAAATGAATGGTTCTGCACTGCAAAAGCAGTAGCTATGTTTGTGTGGGTCTGTGTGTCACAGAATGAATTACTGAATTTAGCCTTTGAAAACTAAACTCTTAGAAATTTTCTTCCTTATTTAATTTTTGTAGATCAATGAAAAAGTGCCCAAGTAGGAGAAAGGTTTTTCTTTTTTCTTATTTTATTTTTTTAAATTATCTTGGATAGTATGTTATGGAACATCCTTAAAACCACTGTTGATAGGTTCTCCTAGAGCACAAAGAGATGGGACAAAGTTACTGTATTGAATTTAGATTTGTTGCTGGTTTTTCTCATTTTCTGCTTTTCCATCATAAATCAGCTAGGTAAGACTGAGTAACATAGTGACTGTAAGTGTACATTTTTAAATTCCATGTTCAAGTCCAAGTTTCTTGCAGTAATTTTAGTTATTTATGTTGTCATGAGTGCTAGAAATTATGCATTCCAATGGAATATATTGAATTAATCCATGTCACAACTTGATGTTACGTGGAATATACATATATATACATATATATGCAGAATGGATCAAATACACAGAGAAGGTTTGATGGGTTCATATGCTTCCATAGTGAGTTAATAGTATTCATCTAATACATTAATAGATATGCAATTAATTTTCCAAGTGCTCCTAAATTTTAAAAGAAACAGAAAAAAAGAAAGAAAATACTCATCTCCCCTTCATATATTCACATTTTGTGGAACATATGTATTTTAAGGATGAAAATTAGCTTATCTTGACCTACAAATTACTCAGGCTACCCACACCATCAGGTTTCCCATTGGTTCTACCTCATATTGTCTAAGACTTTATAAAAACATTAAAGGATCCAGGAGCCCTGGTTCACCTTCCTCCTTCTTTCCTTTCTTTGCTTCTGAGGAGGTGGTGATTGCTGGAAGGGAAGGGTGGAGGTGGGTGAACCACAGACCTCCTTTGGTCCCTGCTGGATTTCCACTAGCTCTTGCCTTGTCTTTGCTGGAACAGAGGAAGAACATTGGGGCTGGGAGGCCACTACCTATCACCTTTATCCAGGTCTTGTTTCAGTTGGTGAAAACACAGAAAATACTGGAGAAAGCTGCATGGAATTTGACCAGTGCACGAGAATTTAAAGTTTGAATTCAAGAAATTAAATATAGCAGGAGATATTCCAGATGTTCCTTTGATCTCCTTGGAAATTTAACAAACAAACTGTTAACAAACAAAATTCCAGCCTTTTTTTTCAGTAAAGTAGTGCAGAAAATTACTTCTTTCATATCAAGAGAGATCTGAGACAAACTAGTACTTCTAAGTAGATACAAGGAAAGTTGATATGTATCCTTCATTAATAGTGAAAATGTTTTTAAGGACCAAGACCCGTTTTAATTTCACAGAGTGCCACTACTTTTAAGATTAATTTTTTATAGAGAAAAACAAGTTACATTTAGAAGTTTCTAGTTGCTGTAAGGGAGAAAGCATTCTATTAGATGTATTAATTTGATAGTGAGAACTCTGAAAAATGACACTTGACAAATGCTACATGGATTGTGTTCAACTAGGCTGTCTTTGAACACACGTTTTTAAAATGTAAAGAAAAATATCAAATTTTTCTGAATGCCAGGTTTTAAAGTTATTCCTGATCTGACTTTTCTTGTCTTGTCTTGTCTTTTCTTGTCTTGTCTCTGTGTCTATCCCTAAAATGAGAGACAAAGCAGAAATTACTGTTCAGTTGATTTGAAGTTTCATTGCTGCCTGCTAGCGCTTTTATTTATTAGTTCTCTCAAAATGAACCTCAAATCAATGGAAAATAAGATAATATGTTTTTTAACTTATTATATACTCTCTAGTAAAGTTGTAGAAGGCATATAAAAAGAGAAGAAATGCAGGAAGGAAAACACTGAGAGATAATTGAAATAGATTTTATTGTACTGTTGTGCTTTAAGCCCAGCTGGCAACAAACACCACAACTGCTCACTTCCACCCACCCCAGTGGAATGGGGAGACCCAGAAATAAAACTTGCAGGTTGAGATAAGAATAGTTGAATGAAATAAGGTAAAATATAATAATGATGACAAATAATAATTCAGATAATAGAAAGAAAACAACAAACAACAAGCAAGTGATGCATAATGCAATTGCTTAGCACCTGCTGACCAAGGCCAGACCCCCTCCCTGAACCCAAATAAGTGCTCTTCTAGATAACTCCCCCAGTTTATACACTGAGTTGTTCTATGGTGTGGAATATCCCCCTGGCCACTTTGGGTCACCTGTCCTGGCTGCATTCCCTCACAGGTTTTGTTTTTTTGGTTGATTTTTTTGTGTGTGTATCCCTGTCAGAGCATGAGACACACCAAAAAAAATTCTTTACTTAGGATATTCACAACTTAGAAAACCCAAAACATGAATGTTATCAATATTGTTCTCATAATGAATCCAAAACACAGCACTGTCCCAGCTACTGGAAAGAAATTCACTGTATCCCAGCCAAACCCAGGACATGCACTGACATCCACAGTCACACCCTGGTGTTGTACCCCTACCTGCATGTGACCATCTACACACGTGTGCAGGAGCCCCATCTTGCCCTTACGTTATCATTTAGGGGTTTTGCCCATATGATAACTCAAATTGATTTATCACAGAACGCCTGTGCTTGCCTGATGTCAAAATTGTCCTTTACTGATTGTTTGAAATATTGATTTATTGATTACTTATCCTGACCACAGTCATTGGTGAGTCCTAGAGCCGTTTTGTGATGACTTTCTTTTCTGCTGTTCTTTTGGGGACAGGTTGCTAGTTTAAGTTGGTTTTGGTTTTGTTTTCTTTTTTTGTTGTGGCAGCTTGCTCCTGCCCATCATTTTTCATGGATGAGGGATCACTTCCATAAGATTTAGTGGAAGTATATCTGCTGCATGATAGAGTGACAGAGACACTGGAAATGGAATCCATGAGGAAATCTTGTTTGCCATCATTGGTGATTCATAAAGTGCAAAAGCTTGCTCCCATCCCAGCTCAGAGGAATCCTGGGGGAGACAGAGCCAAGAACAGGCTGTATGAAATGCAGTGACTGTTAGCCAGCTGCTCTTCAGATCCTGGCAGGAAATTAGCCTTTAGCAGGTGTATTATGTAGCTTGAATACATTAGATATGTGCAAAAAGTCCATTCCTATGTCAGGGGAGAAGAAAAGTATTTATATCCCTTCCCTGATACGGAAGAAAGATATTTACCTTACCTGGGTGGGAGGAGTGCAAAGCCATAGGAATAGAAGTTTTACTGTTGAAAAGCCATACTCCTAAATAACAGAGACATCCAAATATTAATGTAGTAAATATTGTTATACTGCATCCCACCATAAATATTCTACAGTTAGTGCATGTGTACTAAAATCAGACCTAAGAATGGCTCAGGGCTTCTATGTTTTTCTTAATCTATAATGAGCTTTCAGTATTGTAAGTTCAAATATATAGAGGTTCAGGTGCAAAAAGCCTCCACAATTTCAGGTAGTAAATCCTACTTAGTAAGTTGGATTTGAGACTATCCAACAAGAAACTGGAAATAACAATCTTTGAAAGGAGTTTTGGTTAGCCAAGAAGGAGCACCTAGAAATTCAGAATCAAAGATAAACACAAGGAACAGATGTAAGGGAAAATGTCAGATATCCTAGACAATTAAATTTGTTCTCGTGGCATTCTCAGAAGCCCCATTCACATATGTTTGTTTTGTTTTAGTGACCTTTTCCAGGCATGTTTTGTTGGGCATGGATATTTGAGAGCTGAATCACTGTCAGAGGTGGTGATGATAATGTTGCATGCTCTGCCCTCAGGGGTGCTGGGTCACCATCACAAGAGGTCAGGGAGTCCTGCTACCCTGCATCCTTGCACAGAGCTCTCAAACAAGGATGTTGATTTGATATATTAATAACATCCAAATTTCTCCAGCCATCAATATTTTCTAGGTTGTGAAGTCATTAACTTCCAACTGAAGTCTCAAGGTCAAATAAAATGTTCAGATTTTTAAAAATAGTCCCTTTGCCTTTGGCTAGCATTTAGCTAAAGATGAATTTATAATGTTTTTCAATCAATTAAAACTGGGCTATAATGCCATTTGCATTGTCTGTTGCAAAGTAATGCAGAAGAGAATTAATCTCTGTTTGGACAAAAGCCTGTAAAGTTAACCTTTTTCTCTAATATTGGTGTCTTTTTTTTTTTTTTTTTTGGGAAAAATCTTTTACAGAATGCAAAAAAGTTAAAAAGGGGGGGGGAGGAGTTATATATTTTTGAGATATTTTGAAGTGCCTTAGCCACTATTGTCAAAAAGTGTCTATTACAATGTACAGAATTTAAGTTTCTGTTCTCACAAATCCCTTCAAAATTACTCCATTCTACTTGTGCCATAAATGAACCTGGATCAAGAGCATGGCCCCCTTCAGTAAAGGGAAAAATGAAAAAAACAGAATCAAAGAGATAAATGACAGATATTTCCAGGACTACTCCACTGATTTCTAGGCACTTGGCATGGGGTTATGGAAATACTTCTGAGGATCTTAAAAGCCCAAGACAATTTGCAGGTTTGGCAAACGATGGAAGAGTGTAGGGACTAATGTCAGGAACATGTGGTCAGTGTTTTAAGAAACTGGAGTGAGTTTCCTCCCTTTCTCTCCACGTCACATCATTTGTCTTGAGGAACACAGGGTTCAGTCTCTCCTCCTTTGGTTATCACTGAGCTTCCTGTGTGTGTTTGTCCTCCTGTAACCAGGGTTAGATCTTCACTTGCATAATATGTGCCAACTACATAAAAATGAATGGAGAAAAATAATTGACAGAAAGTTTGATATGTGCAAAATCTTTTGTGCTTATTTAAGGACTCCACACATAGTGCTTATATTTTCTACCATGACCTGGGAATTTGAATCTTCAAGGAGAGGGGTGGGCATTTCTCCATGTTCTCCTGCACACATAGCATATGCTGGGCAGGAAAGGGTTGACTTCCACAAGCTTCTATGTCGTATCATTTGTATATTTTTAAAATATAAGTTTTATCATATTTTATAAAGTAGTTTTTTTTTTTTAACTATTTGTTTCTGCTCACTGCAGTTATACATATGATAATTACACACCTGGTATTACAGACACAGTAGAATTATTTTCAGTATATTTTAGTGTTTTAACAATACCTTTGAGTTCTCAGTAGTTATTCCCATGTTAACTATACCTGGCATTATAGACAGAGTAGTATTATTTAAGATTCTATAAGAGATTTTGGAACTCTGCAGAGAGTTAATTTATTTTTTTTAATTTGGAAAATATTTAAATTTTTCTGTGGAATGGTACAAGATTTTGTTGACCTACAAAAATGAGAGATAATTCATAGTCATCTGTAACTCACTGGGATTAAAATTCATAATATTTCAGTGGTTATATATTAAAGATTTTTTTAAATACAAAATATTTTATTATTCTATAAATATATTTTCTTTATATATTTTATTTATCCAAAATTGTTTTCATGACAGTCTTAAAAATAATCTTTGAGATATTTTTAGAAAGCCTGCTGTTTAACCATTTTTGTATGCACAAATAGCAATTATAGGTAGGCTGAAAATTTTTCTTTTAGGTTTCTGTGTCTCATCTATGAAGTCTTCAGGGAGCTGCTTCTTGTTAAACTGATGGTGTTTTAAACATCACATTTTAAAAGTTATTTTAAGAGAGTTTATTCAAAGGTGTTTATATTCATTCCATATGCGTGCAATAATCTGCTTGAGAAATAGTATTTCTAAGTTTAAGGGTATAAGGTTTTTTTACTTAATGTGTTCTTAGACACCTACTTGAACTTTCTTTTCAGTTTAAGGAACCTTTTTGAAGTTATGCAGGATCTAACTTTGCTGTGGAAACAAATAGGGTGGTGGGGAAGCCCAGTGGGGTCAGCCAGCCTGGGAAACTGCAGCCAGGGCCAGGTGTTTTGTTCCCATATACATCATGTAGGATTTGGGGGTCACATCCTCCTGTGTGTGTGCATCTACTGCAGCAAAGTGAGGGACTCGATTTATGGGACACTGTGTGGGTCAGGACCTCTGGGACATCTATAGGTTTTTGGTATCAAACTTGACTGTGGGCCCTTATTGCATATTTAAGCTTCTAAATTACAACTAAATTATGCGACTAATTTACTCTAAAATTAATAAAGTGATTTCATGGTGCTAATTACAAGACAGCATTGATGAGCTGTCAGATCTAAAATGAGTTTACATTCCACCAGTATTTCTACTGATCCAAAATGATATGTAAATTTAGATTCCTACTATATCTTGTAATTTTAGCAGCTGGCCTTTACTAGGCCTTACTAGCTGCCCTGAACATTGGTGAGCAATTTTTGTGTACAGAAAGGTGAATCAAGAGTATTAGGAACAATACATGATGAGAAACCTGTATTAAATCTGCAGTTAACTCTTCTTATGGGTGTCTGCTGCATGTGGTTTTATATATGCATTTTAAAGTTGTTATTCTGTTTTCAAACAATAGCAATAATAGTAATATAAGTAATATAGTAATAATAGTAATATAAGCAAACAAATTTTATATGGGTTTGATACTGAAAAATTATGTGAATCCCTGTGATTTGGTGATAATGGTCAATTGCTTTAACCATGAAAATGAGCTAATCTATTCTTCCACAAGGAATTTGTGTTGAATTAATATTTTCTTTCTGAAATAATGTGCTTCAAATAGCTCCTAATTTCTATGTCTTTTATGTGTCTATCAAATACTGACATGTGTCACTTTTCAGCTCTGTTGTGTTCTGACTCTCAGTTTTTGTATTTGACTCTGACTGACTCCCTGGTGGTTTATGGTACCTGCCATTTCATTGCAAATCAGGGGGTGTTCAGGGCAATATGATGGGTTAAAAAGTCTCAAGAAATCAGAAGACATCCCTGAGATTAATTACTTTCTTGTTCAAAATACTTGTCTTTCCTGTCGTGCTGCAGGCCATCCAGCGAGAAAAGCCTGAGAAGTACAGAAAACTGCAAGATGCCAGCAGATCAGCTGAGGCCCTGGTGGAACAGATGGTGAATGGTAATTACATGGGAGTTGCTTTAGATAATCTTCTTAGGGATTTGATAAACGAACAGGTTCATATTTATCACAAGAATTATATTAGCACATACTGTCTAAATGAAACGGTAAAGTCATATTGCCTTATATTTCTTTTATTATTTCTGAATGTTAAATCTGTTAATTAGGAAAGAGAAAAAATGTATTACCACTTTAGTATCATGCAAAGAAGTGTGCTAGAAACTCACAGTAATGAATTGTATATTAACAATCTGTTCTGTGGAGAGACTTAAGTTGTAATCTTATTTTCTGAGTTCTCTAAGCTTTGAAGTACATTAACACATCTGAGTTAGACAGTTCCAAAGACATTACTTCAACTAGTTGGGGAAAAAATGCTTCCTGACTTTTAATATGTATTTTTTGTAATGTATTTCTGTAATGTTCTGTATCATAGAAAATACAACATTTTATTGGGATTTGGAAGATTTTATTTGCATTTAGTTTTTTGAAGATAATAATTGTCAAAATTTATGCAAGTCTTAAAGAAAAATAGGTGCAAGGGTTTTGTCTTTTATTTTTTTTTTCCAAAGAAATTATTACATTGTGCTATTATTTTGAACTCTTAAATAAGGGAAATACAAGACCCGAAGAAGGGTAAATGAAAGTAAAACTGTAGCTCATGCCATTGTTCTTAATATTGAGGAATGTCTTTCCTTGCAATCAAATAATTAATATGGGCCAGCATCTATTACACTGATATGATAACCAGAAATACAGATGCTGAATAAACTGATATTTGGAATATATATTTTCTTTTAAATTGTTACAGTGAATAACCAATATGTAAATTGCTAAAAGTGAACTGCTTTAACTCTGAGTACTAGCTGGCCAAGCTAAAGAAATTTGATGGAATCCTATGATTATTTTGCTGAAGTATGAAGGTGTAATATTTTAAAAGAGACCATATTAAATGTAGGACATATTTAATATCATTATTCTAACAATTGCTACGATGAGTCCCTTCCCAGATTCTGTGAATAGACTGATGGCAGTCTGGTACATCTGCACCCTGTTTGAAATAATTTTGTCACTTTTCCATGGTTGATTATATAAAAAGTTTGGACCTTTTTTTTTTTTTTTTCATGTTTTCTGCCTGGGAGGATTTGTTGTACATGACTTTTAGGGAATCATCTGAAATTTGCATGCTGACACATTGAGGTTCCTATTTTGGGCAGAATCTGTCTAGGGCGTATTTAGCCATGCCCCACTCTTCCATTGGACAAATACAGACCTGCACCTCAAGAATTCCAGTTTAGTTTCTTTGGATTATGAAGTACTTTATGATGATTAATTTTGGTGTTAGGTGCAGAGCTCGCTCCCATCTTAAACAAGGCTTACCCTGCACTGTGGTGCCTAACGTGTCACGTATCAAGTGGATTAAATTCTGTATTAATTATTCTCATGGGATTTTAACTCAAGACTTGTGTTTTCCTCTCCCTCAGTCCATGGGTCCATTCTTATTCATGGTTTACATGTGGCTTGAGGTGCATATAATATTTCCAGTATTTCTCAGATCACACCTCTTTTTTTAGGAAACACGTCTTCCATCTGGGTGGCAAGCACAGGGTAGACTGAGACAGCGTGACTTTAACAACTTCTTCAACTTTGTCAGGTGCTCTGAGGTCTCTGTCATGCACTATATTGTGGCAGCCTTGGTAGCAAAAATGTTCTAGCGTGGCTGACAGATTAATTGGCTGTGAAAATGAAGATCTCTTATTGTCATGGTTTTAGGGAGGAAACAATCCCTTTGAACAGAGAAACAATTCCTCTGGACTTGAAACCCTTTGTATTTATGGGACTTTCAACTGCTTCAGTAATGCAAAGACAAATTGAAGAATAGTCTTTCAAATGGTCAATTAATGCAGTAATTACTAGCAGTAGAGAGTAGAATAAATAATTAACATTAGTTGTTGAGAACTGTGCGATGATTTCAACAAAGAATTGGCAAATGGAATATCTTGTGAGATGCTCAAAATTACTCCTTGAGGGTAGAGGAAGTTAACTCTCATTGTAAAGCCATTGTACTTTTGTATACAACATATTCTCTATTTGTCTTTTCTTCCAATCATTATGATCTAATTACAGTTAAGGGTTGCAATTTAGTGCAACTGAAACTGAACTAAAAGTTAAGTACAAATACTAACTTTAAAACTTCATTTCAAACTGTAGTAGCAGAGTTTTGCAGCTTTATATTTTCCACTGTAATTCAACTAATTTTCTGTAGTGTTTGTGTCTTGTATAAATTAATTTGTTGTTGTTGTTGTATTCATTAAGAACAAGAAGAAAGATTTGCTGAATCTCAAAAGTAGCATTTTTGGAGCAGCCTAACTATTCCTTCATACCTTCCTGTTCCAGTGCTGGAACTCTTTTCCATAAAATGGGAAGGAACTGGAATTAATTCATGTGCCTGTATGGATTTGTAGGAGATCTGCAATTTAACATCTAGGGAGGGTGTACTATGTTATTTTATGTAAAACCTTTCTAACTACTACAATTTACAAATCAAAAATGATGATTCTCCCATTGTTATTCTTTAGGGAGTCACATTCATGCATTTGCAGTATAATCTGTAATTAAAAGACTACACAAGGCAAACAGATTTAAGGCAGAGATCAATTCAGAAGTCAAGTGATGACAATTTTAATTCTGTTGTTATTTTTTACTTATTCCGTATCAGTTAGATCTGGACTAATAATGAATAGATTCCTTAAGATTCCAATTATCCTGCCACTGAGTTCTTGGCTTAAATTATTTGTTTTTTTCTGTGATAGGAGAGAGAATAAGTTAGGGGAAAAAAAACAAAACAAAAAACAGCACTCTCCTGGAGAGAATTGGATTGGCTAATTTAGAGTTTAATTTATTTGTTCATTAGCAGAGGGAAATATTCTGAGGAAACATATTTATTATACAGGACACTTCTAGCTCTTTGTGAACATTGCCAACCACTGTCAGCAAAAGTATTTTTGCACTGGAAGGATCTGCCCTGTGACACAGCATAGCTGTTCCTGTGTTTGTAGGGAGGATGTCTGGACACTGCCACTGAAAGGGCTTTTCCCATCAGGGAAATCATTGATGCTTTTGGTGGACACTTCTTTACCCAGCCCCCCACATGCTGTGTGCTCTGCCTCTCCTTGCTCATGCTTTCAAAAAAGTCTGATTATTGCAATCAGTGAAAGCTTATATATTCTGTTTACCAGTGTTTCTAGGAAAAAAAAAAAAATCTGTTTTGTTCTTCTTTACTAAATCATATTATAAAATAGAATGAAAAATGTGTTGATGCATAAGTGAAGCAGTTTAGCACTTTGAGTGGACACTTGGCTATTATAGTAGTTTAGAATAAAATAAACATGACATCAAAATGAATAATCAGAGAATTTTGACAGGAAGCATTAGAGTGAATACAAATCAATTTGTTGCAATAAAAACATGTAATTTCGAATTGCCACCATTCTGTGGAAGAAATACATTATCTTGTAAGATACACAACAGTCGAAAGCTACAAAAAAACAAATAATATTACATTATTCTATCACAGAACTGTGCAAATGACAGATGCACTTAACAAGATATATTTCATATTAAGTGCAAATTCCAAAGCACTTGCATGTAAGGTGCTGCACAATTAAAAATATTCAGACACAATTTGTTATGTGCAGTATACAAGGTAATAAAATTAATGGATGCACTTCAGATAATGATCTGTTTCCTCTGGGTACAGTATATTTATACAGTGATTATACCAGAAGCTTTTAGAATGTGAAACATTCAAAGATTATGAACCAACCACTATTCATAAAATAATGTTTTACCAGAAAATGGGTTTATATTGTTTCTTTTCCTGCTCGTACACTTTTGGTACAGTTGCAGAAGTTAATGAAGGAATCAGTAGTTATCACAGAAGACAGTTTGAAACAGAACAAGGAATAATGGAGTTTATTAAGGAGTAATAAAGTGAAAAACAGGAAGTTCCACCACAACTAGAGGAAGAATTTCTTTACTTTGGGGGTGGCAGAGCACTGGAACAGCTGCCCAGGGAAGCCATGGATCTCACTCTCTGGAGCTCCAAACCTCACTGGGACACATTCCTGTGTCACCTGCTCTGGGTGACCCTGCCTTGGCACAGGGGTTGGACTGGATGATCTCCAGAAGTCCCTTCCAACCCTAATGATTCCACAGTTCTGTCAAATTCTTCATTTTCACCAATGGGTCAGACTCACCCAAATGATCTCAAGTGCAAGTAACAGTCATTTTATTATGTCCTTCTGAAAATGACATGCTGGCATCTGATGGACAATTTTGATTTTTCTGAATGGACTGAGAAACAGGAGTTTTAAAAACACACATTATGGAGATTTTATCTTACTTTCAGTAGAGTATTCTGCCTAAGGAAGGTGCATCTGTGCAATATTTTACCAAACATGACTCTGCATCAACCAGTTTTGTACTGCCCACTTCAGGAACATGAAGAGAAAAAGCATTTCTTTCTCTATGTATTTATGGAATCACATTTAGACTCAAAGGTCAGATGTTAAATAAAAGAATTAAAGAAAAATTGAATAATAGTGGCTATTTTCACATGCTTAAATGTGTCATGTGAAGAGGGACCTATGAGCAAAATAAGAAAGGAGGATCTGGTGAATCTAGATTTTCATCTGAAATACAGTCCTCTCTGAATCCTAGAAGAAAATATTCAGTGAAAAGTATTATTATATGTGGAAAATTCATGACTGTACTTCTGGTAATCATAATCTTGCCTAGGGGTACTTGGGAGACTGTGGCAGCTGAAAAGAAGGGAAAGGAGGAATAAATAAAGTGATCTTTTTATATATAGTCTGCCAAACTCACAAGCAGTGTCTTCCAGGTTCATAGCTAATAGTGAACACAGGGGCAAAGATTCTCTGTTATCAATTTGCAGCATTTTTATACCCAGCTCACAACAGAAACAATTGTTGAAACACAGCATAGTTAAAGTCTTATTGTCTATACGTGTTTGTTCTTGCTGTTGTTAAGATTTAGTATCTGTGTGCCTGGTTGTCTGTGATTGTTGTTATTCAGATGTGCTGTGCCATTCAGGTTTATTCTGCCTCTTCACATGCTCATTAGACATTACACTTCTAGAAAATGCAGTTATGCTACCACATCTCCAGATGCACACACTCACTTACAGAAGACAAGATCACTTTTGGATTTTATCAAGATGTGTGAAAATCTTTTTTTTACCTTTACGTCAAGGTTCATTTTATACCCTTGCTCAGTCCTTAAATTGTGCTCTTCAGTTTTTTGAGTGTAATGGGGATGTGGAGCTGCTCCAAGCACCACTGTTGCCATTATCTCCCAGTAGTAGTGGGATTTCTATTTTTCCAATAGTTTTGCTTTCTGAAATGCTGTAAAATTTGTTTGGCTAGGGCACCATCCCAGATTAAAAAGCATACCCAGAGAACTGCTATCAGGTACTGCACAGTCTGTTTCCAAGTGGGCTGTTTCCAAGCAACTCTGAATGAAATAGCCCTGAGCTGGATCCAGAACAGGATTTGCCAGAACACTGTGGTGCTCCACAACAGGCATGATCCCCGATTATCATTTACTGTGGTTTACCATATAGCATGTGTTATAGCAATTTCTTAGAATATTTTATTATTTTAAAATTCTAGTACTTTTTATTACATCATTGAGCTGTAATTAGGGCTCTATTTCCTATGTCCTACCTTCCAAAATTGCCATGAGCTTTACTATTTTTTATTCCTGATAAACAAAATTTCCTGTAGATTGCAAACCAGAAAATCCATATTCAGCAGTGTATCAAAGACTGAAGAAGTGGATCCCAGAAGGTTTTTGTGTCATTTGCTTTTAAGCTTGCTTTAAAGAAAAATACTCTAATTTTTATTATTTTCATGAAAACATAGCTTCAGTTTAACTGGTTGGTTATTGTATGACTATGTGATGATGTTATTAAAAGTGTTCTTAAGGACATGGCATTGCTCAATGATTTGAGAATTTTACTCATTTTGAAATCAATGCTGGCTTTATTGCCATGTGTATCATTACATGTCATTATAATTTTAAAAATGTTAGTGACTATATTTAAACTTCCATTGAAAAATAAATGAGATTATTAAGGTAATATTGTTTTGAAGTCAACCTGAGTTCAAGTTACAGGGTGATTATGAATTATGGTATCTTAAGACATATTTTTTTATCTTTCTTATGTATAGCTTTTCTTTCTTCACAGAAAGTGAAGAAAGTTACTTTTACCTTTTAATTGTTCTAAATAATTATGTTGTCCATAATAACTACAGTCAGTTTTATTTTATGAACTTTAATATAAGCATGATTATTGAACAACAGGCAGAAATAGTTGAACTACATCAGTGAAATTAAACACTTTGAAAATAGCAATAGAGAAGCATCACCTATGGTTTCTTGGCTCTCTTCTTATCTTCTCCTCGTGGTCATTGTTGGACACTCACGACTGGCCTAGATGGAGGTTTGATCTGGTACTTTGTTTATTTCTTAGTGTGTATATTTCTAAAATAACGTATGATGCAAAAAATATGGGTTGGATTATCAGAAACCTCTAAATAATTGTGGAATATAGTTCCTATTAATTGCATTCAGTCTTTTTATAGAAGAAAAGCCAGCAACATTCTTGTATATTAAAATCCAATTACAGTCCAGGCATATTTTTCAAAATCCAGCTGTCAGGCATTTTGTTATTTCTTACAGCACTTTTAATTAGCTCTATGCATTATATCTCTACTTTCTGCTTTATTCCCATTCTTGTATTTTAATGTAGTTTATAATTCATTCCCATAGCAACAAAAGTACCCAGGCAGCAACTTTAAATATCTTTGATATGCTTTCCCCACTAATGTGTAACATCTGTAGATTCAGAACTGTTATTTGGTGATAAATCATTAACTGGACTTATGAGCAGTTTCTCAATTGTTAATCTGTCCTATTTTATTTTCCTTTTCTTTGTAACTTTTTTATCTTTAAGCATCTTCTCTTGTTTTTCTAGAGGGTTTGAATCCTGACAACATTAGACAAGCCTCAGAGCAGCTGAAGAGCCGCTGGATTGAGTTCTGTCAGTTGCTGAGTGAAAGACTGGCATGGCTGGAGTACCAAAATAACATCATTGACTTCTACTCCCAGCTGCAGCAACTGGAGCAGACAGCAATTACTGCAGAAAACTGGCTGAAAGCACAACCCACACCAGCAGCAGATCCTGCTACAGTAAAAACTCAGTTAGAAAGATGCAAGGTTAGAGATCCTTCTTCAAGTTTTTTATGGTATTGTACTTCATAGGTGTTCAAGAGGCAGATTGTGACCTACAAAATTTCAGTATAAAAATGGTAAATGGACTCCTTGGATTTACAAAGTAGTTATTGAAAATATTTGTTCAAGAAAAGGAAGGACTGGTAAAAAAATAAAGAAACAATAGAACCCAGTATATGGGTCTTTAAAATTCTGCCCCAAATATTTAGTTTATTAGGATACTTAGACTCTTAGAGGCAACTGTGGGCCTAAAGTCTTTTTCATATTTCATTTTCATGTAAAAATCTCTGGCTTTGGTTCCTCATTAAGAAAATATTGCTCATCACCTCTGTTCCAGAACGTTATCTTCAAGTCCAAAATTCTGCCCTTGCAGACCACTTTGCTTCTTACATACCCAGCGTTCTGATTCAGTGTGGGTTGTGTAGTCAGGTGGGGGAATATTCTTCTGTCACAGTATGAGAGAATCACAAAGTTGTACAAAAACTGTCACACCAAATAACTTATAATTTTCCATAATTGTTTTTTGTTTGTGTGCTGCTGCACCACAGCTTCTCTCTCTTACTGTAGACAGTTCTGTGGGTAGGGGGCTTACAAGCCAATATTGATTGACAGGAATATATTGAGGTGTGATATTGGATTGCATACTTGTAGAAGATTGACTTTAGGAAATCTCTGTCTCCAGAAGTTCTAAAACAGAATATATTGAAATCCAAACTGAGTTCTATGCTATTTCTTCAATTTTCAGGTATTTCCAAGCTGTATTTCCAAGCTGGCATTGTGCCTACAGAGATTTCTCTTCCTGTGCAGAAAACTTGTCCTTAAATATCTCTGCTATGGACTGTACATTTGGCTTACTTTGCTCATTTCCTTTGTATTCTGTAGTTGCACATGTCACAGTGTATGCAAGGTATAACAGCACAGCCTCCTTGCTCTCTGCAGCTTCCTGAGAGAGGAAGGTGCTGATCTCCTCTCCCTGGTGCAGGGACAGGTGCAGGAATGGTTCAAAGCTGTGCCAGGGGAGGTTTAGGCTGGAGTGGGAGGGTGTTCTAAGAGTGTAACAAAAAAGCTTCCTGGAGAGGTGGTTGGTGCCCCCAGCCTGTCAGTCTTTAGAAGCCATTGGGAAAATGTCCTTATCAATGTGCTTTATCTTGTCAGCCCTGAAGTAATCAGGGTGTTGGAATAGATGTTCCCTGAAAGTCCCTTCCAACTGCTCTGTGCTATCCTGATCTTGACCTCAGCCTCTAATATGTTACTGTGAGGCTGCTAGAAATCACTGGGCATCTTCATCTCCCCTTTTCTTCATTTAATTTAGTCTGTACATAATCTATCAGATGTGTGTCCAGGATTATGGTACATGTGGAGTTTTTCTCTTTCCAGCTTCATATGAAAAGGATGTTTCCAGCTTCATATGAAAAGGATGTTTCTGAGGCTTTAAGTTTAATGTACAATCTTTCTTATTTTCTTATTTTCTTTGAGCATAATGTCCTATGAAAGTCACTTTAAGGTGACTTTAAGCAGTGGTATCAATCAACAATTGTATTGGGAGTAGAGGTATTGATTTGTGAGGAAAGGCTTAAAATTTCAGATTGAACGGCTAAAGGCTCAAAGTCAAGTACTCAAAGAGAAAGAACAAGGACCAGTGTTTCTGGATGCTGACCTTGCTGCTTTTACCAGCCATTTCAAACAAATATTTGCTGACATGCATGCCAGAGAAAAGCAGCTACAGACCAGTAAGTGTTGACAAGAAGTCAATTTGCCTGACTAATACACATAGAATAAGTGTTTATATTTTGCTTTCCCAGTTTTATATTTGCTTTTGTGATACTAAACCAGTAGCGTAATTCAGGTGCTCTTTTTTGCAAATTAATTAGTCTTTCAAAAACTGTCAGTTTATTCCATATTTTATATTAAGAAATCAAGGGAAGGTACACTATTCAGAAGCTAAGCTTCCACTCAACATAGTTCTGCCATCAAACTTCCTCTTGTTAGCATGTTTATGGACAGATACAGTGATATTTTTTAGCACCATAAAACTGTCTTTGTTTATTTGGATTACAAGACAAGGCAGTCCATCTCTGTCAGTAAGTAGAGAGGAAAGACAGCTTAATTACAGGAGCGAATCCACTCTAGATTTTCACAGATTTAACTCTATAAATCTCATCAAAGAGAGTAACCACCTCAGAATATCTGGTTTTTCATCATTTTGCCAAGTCTTTCTTATTTGCAACACAAAACATGACTGCCAGTGAAACATTGTGATATTTTTAGTAAAATGAACTTTTCAAAAGGGGCAAACATTATACCAAAATAAAAAGTTAACTATTGCTAATTAATGATATATAGCATATCAGTAATTACTGTACACATTCTGTGTTAGCTTATGAAATTAATAAAGAATCAGAAAAAAAATAAATTCAACTTTTCTCAACAACAAAGATACTATTTGCCACTTAAATCACCAATATCTCTAAATTATTGTACTGATTTGAAATTTGACATAGTGCTAGCTCCTTCTAGTGGATTTTTCTAATATTCCTCCTAAATTCTTTCACAGAGAGTCTTGGATATTGTTTTTTTAATACTACATTACTGCACTGCTGTAGTTATTTTACACGTGTCCACATATGCAAACAGAAGAGATGATGATGTGTAGTAGAAGAGAAGGAATAAAATACAAGTGTCCCAAAGCAAGTGATGAAAGAATGAATTGTAGAAATTTTACATTAAGGAGTGTTTTTTATTTATTTTTATAGTTTTTTAATTACTCTAAATTCAAGATGAGCAGTGGGCAAGATGTATAAGCCATTAATGTGACTGTTTTGCATGCTGAAAAGTTGCCATTCTCCCAACAGAAACATAGTATCAATACTGGCTTCTTTATTATATTTTCTCTCTCCAAACATCCATAATCGTTTGGTTTGCCACGTTAAATTTTGCTGTAGTGACAGGTCATGGATTAACCAGTTGATTAGTCCAGTAAGGCAAATAGTGTTCGCTGCCTGAAGCGTAATGCCATGGGCTTAGTAAAGTTCTTCCTGGGTATTCCTTCCCCCTCCTGGTCTGGAGTCAGCTCCTCCTGAGCCATGGCCAGCTGCAGGAACAGCTGTCCTGAGGTGGAAGCACTGAACAGGCTGGGGAGAATCTCCTTTAGTTCAACAGAACAGAAGTCTCTAAATCAATATTGCATGGAGCCCTGGACAGTTTTTACCGGCTTTTCTTGTGTTATATAGATGGGCCATACCCTGTGTCCTTATTCTGGCCTTACTTTAATAGAAAACATTGAAATTTTGTTAGAGTATTTTAGATCTTGCCATCTTTTATTTACATGAATTATTTGTAATTAATTATTTCCTGCAGATGAAAAAGTCTCCTGAAGACTGAATGATGTATTGCAGATCAGTTATAAGATTTGGTCCCTTTTTTTTCTTTCATGTACATAAAACTTACATGTGTTATTTTTTTTTTCTTTTTGGATCCATGGTTAAGATTTATTTTATGTTAAAAAGATATTTCTTTTTGTCCATCATAAGAGGTTTGTTTATTTTGTGTTGGGTTTTTTTGGGTGTTTTTTGTTAATATTCCATTGCTTCATTATCTTTTCTGATGGATAAGGGTATTTAGCTCTTCTGTTTTTCAAGGGAATTTTTCCCTCATAAACAGTGTTCTCTAATTTTAGAGATTGTCTCCCTCAAATATTTTTTGTTTGGATAGGTTTTGTTTGTGATTTTTTGAAAGTGATATCAGCTTAGTTTTGGGTTGTTTTTTTTTTAAATATTCAAGAGTGCTTAGTAGTTTCTCTGTGCTGCACAGAGGATTTGTCAGTAAAATAATACTACAGACTAACTCAATTTTGTGGTGCTGTTTATGCAAGAGATACAACCTCATAAAATATTAAGAAATAGAACCTAATTTTTCTCTGTTTATAGAATGTCTGTATCTCCATATGTCATTTTGAATGTGATGTATCCAACATTCCAGCTCTCTCTTCTCCCCAAACATGTTTAATGTCTAGGATATTGGTATATAGAAAAAATAAAGGTCAGACAGAGCTGAAAACTGTTCAGTAATCTACACAAGGGATTGAAATGGACAGTGCTGCCAATGATTCAAATATGAATAACCTGATATCTCAAGGAGCTTCTCAGATTTTGTAATGCCCTGGTGAAAAAGGAGGTTTTTTACACTATATTTATTTGTCTTGAAATTACCTGCTGCTATGTCTGATTTCTTGGGAGCTGCATGGTCAGCCTCCCATTCCCCTGAGCCCAGGGGGAGCTGACAGTCAGCGTCAGGCACGTGAACGCTCCCTGGTTCAAACTTCCTCCTGGGTAGCAGCTGATTCATTCCAGCACTCCTTGAGCTCTGTGACTTAACCAAATTCCATTAAGGTGCTCTGCTTTTCGGTCTCGCTGCATTGAGCTGCTAGCCTGTCATGGCCTTGATTCAGATGTATGTTCTCATTGAGATTCATCTTCCTCTGAGGGAAATTGGAAAATCGTTAGATTTTTAGCAAGTAACTAAAAAGAAAAAGGCTATTGTCATAGATAAAACTGAAAGTATCAAGAAGGAGGTGGCAAACAAAAAGTCATATTTATTTCCATTTTTCTCTGCTTCATAAATTTATGCACTGTGCTTTCTTTTCAAGTTCTGAATCTACCTTTGCAGGATCAGCAATTCCCAAAGGTGAAGTCATCATTGTCATCATTGCTGTTGTTATTAATAATGATGAATTATTCATCTACATTCAAATGATGTTTCTCCTGTTTATTTCAGGAGGTACTTTAAAAAGTTTTTGCCTTCTCTTTCATGTAATGATTCTTTAAACTTTTTATTTACCCGTGCCATGCTTAAAATTATTTTGCACGTGCATCATTTTTCTCTCTAATCAATTAGTACAGTATCTTAGATTGTTGGATTGCATAGAGCTCATGCAATTCAAACTTGGCATAATTTTATAGGATAATAAACTACGGTAACTGTAACAGTATGATGACCATTTGGAGTTTTAGTCTGAAATTATTCTGCTTTGATTAAAACTTTGATCTGCTAACTTATTTTGATGCTTTAAGTGCATTGGAAATGGGTTGCAAGTGTCAGTGGAATTTTAATGGTACGTAATAACCTTTCACAAATCATTCTGGACTTGAGAAAGGAAAATTTTAAGCAAGTATCCTGAAAATTTCATTACTACAAGTCTTTCTTTAAGACCTGAACTATTATTTAGTAGTAAAAATATTCACTGCTGTTTGATTTTGAGGGATAAAGTTTGCTTAACCTTTTTTTAAGTGTGTCTTTCAAACTGAAGATACAGTTTAGATGTATGTGAGAATTTATTGTTTTAATAAGTAGCATGCAAGCAATTTCTTTTCCTTTTTTCCCTCCTAGCCATTTCCTTCAGTAGTTATTTTTATTTAAATCAAGATCAAAAGGACAAAGCAGCCTGTGAAATGAATGTGTATGAGATAATGTCCTCTACTCTGTAGGTGATTTTATCCTTTTCCTCAGTGGTAAAAATGAATATTTTTGTGGACAAAAAAAAAAATAAACCCACCTAAAAAATAATTGTATTTTTAAAAGATATTTACTGTTATACTAGGTCCTGTAGAACTGGAGAAGGGCTTCCCTGGAAGTGTTCAAGGCAATGTTGGATGGGACTTGAGCAACCTGATCTAGTGGAAGGTGTCCCTGCCTTCCACTAGACAGGGAATGGAACTGGCTGTTCTTCAGGGTTCCTTCCAGCCACTCTGTGATTCTATTATTCCCTTCTGTTTCTTTCAAGAGCTTTATAACAAAGAGAACTGCAAGTCTTAAATTACTTGCATAACATTGATCAAGTATTACAAAAGATTTCTTCTGATTCCACTTTGAGACTTTCTGGTTAAAAATGTAGAGGGAAATCACAGCTTTTATGAAGACATCAGTATAAAGACCTTAATGAATTGGTTCAAGTATTTGTAGTCCAAAATAAGTAAAACAAAGTTGTGAAAGCATCAAGCTGGTTTTAAATTGCATTTACTACTGAGGAGATTTTTATTGGAAATACATGAAGTTCAATCTTGTTAATTTATTTCAGGGAATAAGTCTTTACAAAAATAGTACATTTTAGGTCCCATAGATTATATTTATTGTCTTTGTGATGGTGTGATGAACAGCAGGACTTGTAATGACTTCAGGAGAAACACACAGCAACCTATCCAGTGTGATTTGATAGTTGTTGAGATAATTGTATTCTCATTTCACTTCTCATTTGGGAAAATATTTTTGACTGAAAAATCTGGTCACAAGAAACAAGGAATCTGTGAGAAAAAATGAAAAAAAAAAGTATTTTGCTTACTTGGAAAGCTATTTTCACATGTTTAGAGAGTTAGGATTAATTTCTAATAAATAGAATTAACTGTTTGTTTGAACATTCTGTTTCGAAATTTACAGACTTTCTCTAAAAGAAATAAGTAAGTGCAAACGTATTAGTCAATTCTGAGAATGTCAGTTCTCAGGGGTTTCAGTGTCAGTCACACCAAAATGAATTCCCTACAAGTGGAATACATATCATACAGAAACATTTTTCCCTTCTGGGATGGGAACTGTATTCTGATATTTTACAGTAACATTTTTTTAATATATCCGTCTGTGATATTTTGTTACAGTTCTGTCCTGGAGCTAGTGTTGCTATATCTAAACTAGGCCCATATTGAGGATCTTACATACTGCATCTTTCTCATTGCCATTCATTGTTTTACATAATGCAGCAGAATCCATATTAATACACTTTGCTTACTGTGTGGACTTCAGTCCAAAAGTATTAGTATCACAAAGAAAATTTTAAGATAAAAAGAAACAGGTCTTGAATGTGGGTTTATGTTATTAGCATGGTGAATTTAGAGATTCATATTGCCCACAGAGAGGCCATAAATGGTTTAGATTATTTAGACAGTTATAACTGGGTAATGTGAATCCCACTGTAGGAGCTTAACTGAATTCTCCCCATTGCCATCATGTGCTGCTAAAATAATTAGGGCTCTTAAGTGCCATCCTGAAAGTTAATCTGCTTCTTTGTGGATGAAATTGCTGCCACGTTGTCTATCTTAAAAAAAGAATCAAAAACTATTTCATTATTACTAATCTGCATTAATCTGGAAAAGTGAAATTGGAAAACTATGGTTACACAACTTAAAGATACTTTCTAAAGTTAATATCTAATAACCAAATTGTAAAGGCAGTAGTTTTATTAAATCAACATCTTTCATCCCATTTGAACTCTTACTTAGTCCATCCAATATTAGAAAACATAATTCATTACAACTGAATGAAATGTTTGGATGGTTTTAAACTTTTTATTAGTATTAGCAAAGTTGCCTGGTAAGGGTTTGATGCAGTTTGGTGGAATTTGCTATTGCAGTTTTCAACTATTCTGAGGTACTCTTTAGTACTACCAAAACCAGCTTTCTTTTACTTAAATGCTTGAAGTTATACATTACTCATAAGATTGCTTTTTCATAACTTGGAGAAGTCAAACATGACATCACAGTACTGAACTGCATTTCAGAGTTTAAATGTATGTTCTATTCTAAAATAGAAATTGTTTGGATTAAATGAGTCAAAGACAATAGAAATTTCACTAAGGAAGGAAAAGATTTAAAATGTTACTGAATGAAATGGAAAATGTTTGGGTATTTTATTTATTTTTGTGTATAAATATACCTCACAAGGGAAGAAATTCATGTCTTTCTTGGTACCAAGTCCTCTCTCTTGTAAATCCCCAGATATATGTGCTAAATCACATCAGCCAAGTCTTTTATGATGAAGTTGGCCATGCAATGTGCATACTTCACAAGAGATATTGTCCTGATTGTGGGAAGTTGGTATGATACCTGACTGAAAATGTAAATTTTTTTTCACATCACATTCTGTTGATCAACTAAAAAATTAAAATCTGAAGTACATTTTTCCAAACACTGCTGTATGACTCAAGCAAACTTGCACTTAAAAATTTTAACTGTGTTGTTTGTCAAAACTACTTTTTGGACAGCTTTATTATTTTTCCGTACATTTCTTTGTGAAACACCAGAGAATATTGAGGAGGATACAGGAGATACAAATGAGTGCAACTTTCTTTGAGCTTTTATATTCTTCATTATTATGAACAAGTTGGAAATGTTTCAGTTCCAACCAGCCATGCTATTTGTCTGTACATTTTTCAGCGAATATAGAGGCAACTGTTAATGGCAGAGGGAATGTATCTGCTAATGAGTTGCTCATGTGTGTGCCAGATGTTGTCTATTTGCAGCAGCTGTAATGTTGGCACAATAAGCACAGTTCAATAAAATTCAACTTTATTGTAGAAGGAAGATTAATTTTCTAAGCTTTTAACAGATGTCCTTAATGGAACATTTTCCTTGAACAGAAACATTGAGCACATAAACATGGGCCATAAAAGGGAAACCTAGTTCCTAACACATTTCTGAAATTGGATTTTAGGTTAAGTACAATGGTTTGTCTGTTGATCTCTGAACACACATATTGAAAATAGTTATCTTGGCTTCCTTCTGACCTATAATAACAGGGTCAGTCAAATGGAACGCAACTCATGAAATGCTAGAGGTATTTCAAACATTAGAAGGAGCAGGTGCATTTTTAAAAATATTTTTACTTCCAAGATATTTTTTTATAGTTCTGATACACACTGGGCCTGTTGCAATCTCTTGACAAACAGCCATAGACTTCAATAAGGCTTGGTCTTTTATCAAGTGTCATCTGTCAGCAAACCGAATAGTGAAGCAAAATATTGTTTTATTTCCTTCCTTCCTTCCTCCCTTCCTTCCTTCCTTTATTTCCTTCCCTTTTTTTTCCCATTGAATGCAGTTTTTGACAGTTTGCCTCCTGCACACTACAAGGAGACAATGAACACTATACTTGTGTGGATGCAGCAGTCAGAATCTAAACTCTCCATGCCTCAGGTCGCAGTTGCTGAATACGAAATCATGGAGCAGAGACTCAGGGAGTTAAAGGTGAGTGATCAAGCTGCAGGCACAAATGTTTCAACTGAGTAGTTTAGGGGAACAGAACTATAAGCTGGTACATAAATCTGGTGAAGTCTGTGGATCTTGAGTATATAATGCTCATTTCAGTTTTAGGCCAGGGCTTCAGGAGATGGTGGTTGCTTGCTTATATTCATTCCTGAAGATAAAGAATTTAAAATGGTGCTTGCCATGGAAAGCAATTTCATAAGATACTGAAAATGTTAAGGAAAAGCCCTTGTTTGTCCCAATGGTATATAAAATATTCCTTTGATAATAGCTCTGGTAGTAAAATATAGATTTAGGTAATTTAATTTTCCAGTGCTGATATGAAAACAATTCTGATTTGCAAAATGCCGCACAGTCTTTTGACAGATTTCCTGCCAAATTTACAAGTAGACACAAATGTGGAACAAACTTTAATAGTGGGTACAAACCTTCCCTGTATTTCCATGTCTGATAGAGTTTCTACTCTCAGATGTCTAATGAACAAATTGTTTGATGCATATTCCGAAATAAAACATAGAATATAGAAAATAACACTGGATGAAGTAAATTTGGGCTGAGAATTGCAAAAGTTCTGAGAAGCTATAAAAAATGTCATATCACAGAATCAGTTCTCTAAGTTTATATTTTTTTCTTCTCCATGTTCTGGATCTTTGCGTCTTTTGAAAGCGTCATCATCAGGGTCATAGTAAATTCCTATCTCAAATTGATCAAATATATGTAGATCGTGCCTATTAAAATGTATAAATACCTCTGGTTATATTCTCAGTTCAACAAAAAAAAAACCTTCTACGTTATATGAGAAAAACAATTCCAAATTGCTCAGTAAATGATGCCATTGCATGTTTTAGCAGAGGTGACCTCTGTATCTTGCCTGTGTTTGTGAAATGAAGAGAATTGCCTAGCACATTAATTGAAATTCCACTTGCTTCTTGTTCACAGGCTCTACAAAGTTCTCTGCAAGAGCAGCAGAAAGGCCTGACCTATCTCAGCACAACTGTGGAAGACCTGTCGAGGAAGGCCCCTCTGGAAGTCAGCCAGAGTTACCGGTCAGAGGTTGAGGTGGTCCTTGGCCGCTGGAAGAAGCTCTCGGCACAGCTGGCAGAACATTGCCAGAAACTGGAGGAGCGTCTGACCAAACTCCAGCGATTCCAGGTTCATCAAACTTTCTCATCCTCAGCTTGTACATGGTGGCTTGTTCCTGGGGGACTAAGGCAGAACGCATTTAAGTGTTTCTTTCAGAAATTGACACCAAAGTGAGATATCAAAACATGACAAACAATGTAGTTAAATGTTTGCTTGATTTTGATGAATACACAATTTTACTTTGAATTCTGATTTTGTGGCTGTTTCTACCTATGTTGTTTCATTAGCAAAAGGCTTAAATGTCATTATAAATTGAAAATAATGCTCCTCTACTTCTTTTCCAATGTAGCTGAAGCACTTATTCATGCATCTGAAGTAGCTGCACCATACTGACTTTAATTAATTCGCTTACATAATTAAAGTCATCTGTTATATAGTAGAATCTTGTTGGCAGTTTCCAGAAAGCAGAAGCGTATTTCAGGTATTTAGAATGGCAGCATTAGAACCTGACCTGGGTATCTGTAGGACTGCTTCTCTTTTTTTGTAGGGCTGTTTCTCACTTTTTTCGTCTCCTCCTCTGTCTGTCTGACATTTTTTGTCCTTTCTTAACTACAGTGCCACTGAGCATCACTGGCCCACCACAACATCAGCCATGTCCTGTTGTGGTTCCACAGGGAGAAGCTGGAATTGTCTGTGTCAAGCACAGGACAGCAGCTGTCCTCTCCTCACAGATACTACCCTACTCCCAAAACAGTGCCACATAAAAAAAGCAAGATATTCTTGGCTTAAGAAATTAAAACTTTTGTATTTTCCCTCCCTTCTGCCTCTTGTCTTCACTCCTACTCCTTCAATAAATTTAGAGGTTTTCCCACTGGTTTTGAAAAGCTCCTGAGCATTGTGGCCATGATCATGTAAAACATTCAAAGCAGTGTGAGCTGTTGATGCACACAAATTTTAGCCCTTCTATTTATTGCTGAAATCCCTCTGGTTCACATCTAATGTAAAAGTCATTGTCTTTTGAGCTTGTTGAATGACTTCTCATCCAGATTATTGTTCTAGCTGTTGTAATTTATGGAATGTGTCAGTATGGGATATGATGAAATCAGTGTTCATAAAGAAAATGCATTTACAATCTGATATAAAAATGCGAGTCATACATTTGAACTTCATTGGTGGCAGGAGACTAATTTCTTTTTAAGTAAATCCCACCAGATATATATTTTACTGCATTAATGAACTAAAAGTATTCTTGTAAAGGTATTAAAGTTTCATTATGAAATATGATTCTGAAATATTTTTACTGTTGATAATGGAATGCACAGTAGATATTTCAACAGTGTTTTGATAATTGCCATTCTGGAGTATACTGATAATTTTTGTGTGAATAATTTTATTCAGTTCATTTTCCATGATAACCTGTTTTTTTTAAGTATATCAGTCACATTAGGGAAATGTTCCCTTTGGTTACTTGTCTCATAATAGTTGCTAAGGCATATTTGTATGCATTTTAGGACACAGTCACTATTCTAACAACCTTTTTTGTGCTTTAACTCAGCTTTGCATACAGCATGTAATATCAATATGTATTTCATTGGTGATGGAAATAGTTTGATGAAAAAATGCTTTATAATTTAAAGTTTTTGCCATTTATGCATTTTATTTTTATACTTGCATCTGATTATCAAAGATGGAATGTTAAGGTAACTTTAAGTGGCATTTTTTAGATCTCATTCTACTTTTCAAGTTATTAGATTACCTATGTAATGCTGCATTCCCTCTTTTCAAGTATTTGATGTTCAGATTTTTTTGTTAACTGCAAGAGTTAAATAAAGACTATGGAAATAATATTCCTATTCTAGTGCTAGAAACAGTAATTGAGAGACTCTGTAATGAAGTTACTCATTGAGTCATTATATGATTTCAGTTTCTGAAGGGAATCTCTTTCAGTTACATTGGCTTTTTTCATTCTGAATAGTGAAGGTGTTTTTCTGTGTTGTGTTCTGGTAGAAAAATAGGCACTACAGCATATAACTTCCAAAAGAATTCTGAAGTTTAAATGAAAACACAGAACATTTGATGGGTGAGCCTGAATTAAATGCCAAGTATGAGTAATCTGAAGCCATAGAAGGAACCAATGAACAAGCATGCAGTATCCAAACATAAATGATATCTAGAAGGCATAAATTTGAGAACCATAAGGTTGTCTGCTCACAGACACATTAAACTTGGTCAGAAATGGTCAGAGTGCAGGTTAAAGTGTTGATGACAGTCCCAGCTAAAATTGGTTTTGCTTGTTTGCTGTGTTTGTATTTTCAGGCAGTTCAATAATGATAAAATTACATTGCAATGAATTTTAGTTGTAGTGTCAGAATGAATTACACTCTTGCCAGTCAGGTTTTGTGTGATGCAATTAAATGTCTTTTTAATACACAGAATGACACTAAAACACTGAGAAAGTGGATGGCTGAGGTGGATGTTTTCCTGAAGGAAGAGTGGCCTGCCCTTGGAGACTCAGAAGCACTGGAAAAGCAACTTGAGCAATGTACAGTGAGTATTACCTGTCTGCTTGGCAGTTATTCAATTCTTCTCTGTGAGCTGAGCTTATACAGAAGTTACACAAATGATGTTCCTAAAAATAAATGCATTTAGAAAGGGGACTGCCTCCTGCAGTGTGTTTGAATCTTTTGCATGTCCTGGGTTTGAAGGAAAATTCAGTTAGGAAGAAGAAGACTTTAATACCTGAAGGAGGTACACAGTGACATTTTTTTTTCATGTATTTATAGCAGGATCACACTATCAAATCCACAAAATAATATGTAACTTTCCTCTAAAGTCAACTGTTTATTTACTTTGTTGAACTTATGAATGTTGCATATTTTTTTTTTTTTAATCTTTCTAATCTGTACCAAAAGATCTTTTTTCTGTATCTGTTACTCATGTGATTTACAAACTTTTCTGATTGTTACAAAAGAACTTGCAGGTATTGCGAGTTATATCTATTCTTTTTTTCACTAAACTTACAAGTTCCCAGATGTTATCCCAGCAGAGTTTTAAAGCATCATGAAGTATTGGTACTTCCATCACAGGGTTTACAAATTCTTCTTCCTGTCCCAACAGAGTGTGTAAGTGCAGTGAATCTTGTAATCCATGATGGTCCCTGTCGATATGCTCAGTGGAATTTACAAGTTCTGTAGATGTTCTGGCAGGATGTGTAAATATTATGAAACATACACAGTGATCTTACAGAACTGCAAGTTCTCTCATATTTTCTCTTAGCCATTATTTAAATAAGAATTATCATTATTTTTCACCATTATAATGGAATGTTCTTTCAGAAATGTGAATAAAAGGTATTTCTCATGTTTTCAACCAACAGAAGAGAAGCATTTTAAGTGATATATGTATTTTAACATTATATATGTATATATTTTTAGTGTATGATAACATTTAAAAGTTACATAACTTTATTTGGTATACAATAGCTTTACACACATTACAGCTGGTCATTCCTTTTTAATTTATTTTCATAGATAAGTCTGTTGATTCTGCTCATTTAATTGGGGATTTGGACCCCAGACGAGTCAGAATCTCATGTAGACACATTTGCATAGGGATACCGTATCTAAAACTTTGTGTGAATGCTGCTTGACTAATCTTCTGCTCTTCCTTCAGGCTTTAGTAAATGATATCCAGACAATCCAGCCCAGTTTGAACAGTGTTAATGAGACTGGGAAGAAAATGAAGAGTGAAGCAGAGCCAGAATTTGCTTCCAGAATAGAGTCAGAGCTAAAGGATCTCAATGCTCAGTGGGACCACATTTGCCAACAGGTACCAAGTCTCCTGCTGTGACTGGTTCTTTTTAAATTAATCATCAGGGTCCTCATTGGCAGAAATTGTCCTTCTATACAGTAGATATATGTCCTTCCACAGTAGATATGAAACTGAATTTAGACATATTAATTCAACTAATATTTTCCAGAGTGTAATTTAGCTTGTAGGAGTATATGTAAAGTATATTTATTAATATCATAACACAAGATCTTACTATTTTAATAACAAAGATATGTACTAATATATTAGATCTACAGCAGTGTAATTTATGGCTCTTCCAAAACTAGATTTGTGAAGGTGTTGTTTAGGCATTTGACAAAACAATCAAGTTCTGTTCTTAGTTTTATGTTTTTTTCTACATTGTTGAAATTGCATGTCATTACTCTGGGTGAAAATAGGCATTAAAGCAGTGAAGGGTTCATAGTTCAATAACTCAGAATTAAGAGTACATGAACATATGCATGTGTATAAATTAGTCTCCAGCAGTCACATGGATTTGAGAGAATGGGACATAACAGGAAAGGACAGTTCTTTTATTTTAGTTAAAGGCATTATTAATAAACAATTTTACAGAGTAAGGAAGCTAAAAATTACTATTATTTCACTGATTGCATTTGGGTACTTATTCTTTTTGACCACTCAATTTTTATTTTTTTTTTTCATGTTATTACCTTTAAATTTTTCCTACTTGCTCTTTCTCTTGTCTACCTTTTTAATGTGTATTTTAATAAAGTAAAAGTGTTAACTGTTAATGAGGTATAATATTTTCTAAAATCTTTATTATTCACTTAACATGTGAAAAATAATCTCTTTTTTTTCTAATTTTAAAAACATGCTATAAAAAAAAAAGTTGATCTTTGAAATCTGTAAGATATTTTTTTGATCCAGTTTTGTAGTTTTCCCCCTTTCTACCATGGAGTATTTAATTCCTTTTTTTTTGTGATATTAATAAGCTGGATACCTTTGCAGTTCTCTCACAGAAATTTCAAGTATTTCCATACAAGAATAGAAGTCTGTCACAGTTTTCTTCTGACTTCCCTGTCTGTAATAATTTCATTCAATACAAGGCACAAATTATTCCCTCTCAGTGGGAATTTCTAATACAACTTTTTTGGTAATAGCTATTAAAATACATGAATAGTAAATACAAAAATTGGTTTCTGGAGGTTTCTTGAAAAGATTTGGAAAAGTCAGCTTGGCTTGATATACATGCAGTTAATACGAGTGTGAGAGCTGACAATTGGCAGTTGTCATTGAGAATTCAGATACTCTTTTCAGGTGATAGGAGATTACCTTCTCTTCTGGTGCTGGGACTGAGGAAAAGACAATTTTGCAGAGCCACATACAATTCTGCTTTTATACTCACTGGTTGTTGCACTATTTTGTTCTGTAAAACAACATTTATGTAGAACAGCATTTATATTTAACAGCTCAAGTCTCAAGGATGAGTAACAAACCAATAAATGTCAGAAATTAAAACTAAATACTAAGAAAATTTCTCCTGATACTACAGAAAATAATGTTTGCTGAAGCAGCACCACAGAGCAGAATATTGGAGCAATAAGCTCTGCAAGCCCAGCTCTGGGAAATGGCACCACTACAACTTACTATATTTGATGCAAACTTCTTAATGCCATTGAAAGATGGTAAATGGATCAATCAGAGACAGTTTTGACAGGTTAATGCACAATTCATAGAATCAGGGAATGGTTTGGGATGAGGTGATCTAAAATATTTTCTAGTTCTAGTTTTATACATGAGCTATATTACAGCATTATATGACCCCCACTTAGAGATTGGTAAAACTTTTAACAGTAGCATTTTTCCCTTTACAATAAATAGTTTATTCCCATAGGAGAGTGGGTTTTTTTCTTTACATATTTTTAGGATATTTACCTTTCTAAGGCATTCATTAATGAATTAATCAACAGAAGAAAGATATGCATATTGCTTTATTCTCTAGTAAATTGCATTCAAACTAGTGAGAAGGTCATCTGACTTTATAGCTCAAAAGCATTTGGTTTCACCCTTGAATGCACTTTCAAAGTCTCCTGTGGTTATTCTTTTTACATCTTACAGAAGATGATCCCTGGGAGATGTTCTTCCCCAGATTTGTTTTCTGACACATCAGCATATGGTGTAGATTTTCATTCTAGAATCATTACAAACTCATTCTGCACAGCCATGATTTGCTAAAAAAAGGATGTAGTACTTTTTTGATTGTCTATTATTAATATCTATCTAATTACTTGTTAACATCTGCCTAATTACAGCAATCTTATTAATACAGGATTTAACTTGATTCTTTTCACGCTAAAACATTGTCAAGTTTGTACAGTAGCTTTGCTTCAAGTACTATGTTATCTTTTCTTTCTTAAAGGCCTGTGCTAAGAAGGCTGCACTAAAAGGTGGTCTGGATAAGACTGTGAGTCTCAGAAAGGATTTGTCAGAGATGCACGAGTGGATAACACAAGCTGAGGAGGAATATTTGGAAAGAGATTTTGAGTATAAAACACCTGATGAGTTACAGAAAGCTGTTGAGGAGCTGAAGGTAAAAGATGAACAAATTCCTTGAGCTGTGTTCAAACTTCTTGAAGCTCTCACTGTAAAGAGAGTCTACTCTTTCTTTTAGGAAAGTGCCTTTTCAGATCTACTTGCCTAAAGTTAAACACAGTAGGTGGTTTGAAGTAATTTCTGTTTGGAATATGCTAGAAGATATTTGATATTCCTCAACACTGCATTGCTTATTTTCTGATGTGCTTTATTGGAAATTGATTTGGATGTAATTTCAACATTCTTTTACTTACGGTATAATCCCTAAAAATTGGGCGCTAGCAGCAGCAGAGTGAAACCAGTTTTATATCAGAGTGAAACCAGTTTTATATCCTCTCTTCATATTAGAATGAGCAGAAAAAAATAGGATGTTTGGATGCATCTTGGTGTGTGCTGTGTATGAATATGATGTCTTTAATATGGGAATATAGAAACGGCATATTTTGATCTCAATTAAAAATGTTTCCTTCATGTGGGATGAACATGGCCTTTGGAAAAAACAACTAATTTGTGATACGTGCTTAAATACACTCTTGCTAAGCCACTGGATGTGGGCTTAATTCTTATTTCAAAGGTGAAATGTTTAGCTTGTGCTGTTCAGGAAGCCAGATTATAACCTGATTGTCATTATGTATATAGCTTTGGCAATCTACCAAACACTTTGTTTTCAAACTGTTAATATTCCATATATTTTTCCAGTGTTTGAGAGTTTCAAATCATGCAACTGATGATCTCTTTATTTACTGACACAAATTATTTGCTGCCTGTCAGAATACACATAATATAAGGAAATTTATGGAACAGCTCAATTGCAAATGAGACAAATATCAAAAGCAGGTATCTGCTCTAAAGACAAAATTCTTTTTTAGTAACTAAATAGCAAAACTCGATTTTATACATTGCACTGCATATTAAAACAGGTAAAATGTATAGTTTTATATGCAATCACCATTATGGATTCTTAGTAGATATTTTGTAACCAGATGAAGTACAGTAATTTCAGACACCTTGACTTAGGAAATAACCATATTATTTGTCATGGTATCACAACAGAGAAATAGGAATCTGGAGCAGAATTCCATTTCTTCCCACAGCTAGAGAAGAGGAGAGTCAAGAGCAAATTTGTCAACTTCCTCTAGCAGTGTCAGTCTGATCACAGTTATTCTGGTTCATGAACTTCCTCAGAAACAGAGAGGGGAAAAACAAAAAAGTTGTCAGGAATATGGTTTTGATTTAGTGTTTTTTGGGCAGGGAGTTCTCACTGTAAATTCCTGTGAAGGTCTGTAGGCACTGATGACACTTTTTTATAACATCCCTATGTTTCCAGTTGTGATGTGATTCCAGTCACAGACACCAGAAAAGTTTCAGAGGGAACAGTGCTAGGTATGAAAATCTCTTTCATGGACCACATAGCAAGGGAGGGAGGAGCAATAGTGACCACACTATCTACAATAGAGAAAAATGATTTTATGACTNCTGAAAAGAAGGGAAAGGAGGAATAAATAAAGTGATCTTTTTATATATAGTCTGCCAAACTCACAAGCAGTGTCTTCCAGGTTCATAGCTAATAGTGAACACAGGGGCAAAGATTCTCTGTTATCAATTTGCAGCATTTTTATACCCAGCTCACAACAGAAACAATTGTTGAAACACAGCATAGTTAAAGTCTTATTGTCTATACGTGTTTGTTCTTGCTGTTGTTAAGATTTAGTATCTGTGTGCCTGGTTGTCTGTGATTGTTGTTATTCAGATGTGCTGTGCCATTCAGGTTTATTCTGCCTCTTCACATGCTCATTAGACATTACACTTCTAGAAAATGCAGTTATGCTACCACATCTCCAGATGCACACACTCACTTACAGAAGACAAGATAACTTTTGGATTTTATTAAGATGTGTGAAAATCTTTTTTTTACCTTTACGTCAAGGTTCATTTTATACCCTTGCTCAGTCCTTAAATTGTGCTCTTCAGTTTTTTGAGTGTAATGGGGATGTGGAGCTGCTCCAAGCACCACTGTTGCCATTATCTCCCAGTAGTAGTGGGATTTCTATTTTTCCAATAGTTTTGCTTTCTGAAATGCTGTACAATTTGTTTGGCTAGGGCACCATCCCAGATTAAAAAGCATACCCAGAGAACTGCTATCAGGTACTGCACAGTCTGTTTCCAAGTGGGCTGTTTCCAAGCAACTCTGAATGAAATAGCCCTGAGCTGGATCCAGAACAGGATTTGCCAGAACACTGTGGTGCTCCACAACAGGCATGATCCCCGATTATCATTTACTGTGGTTTACCATATAGCATGTGTTATAGCAATTTCTTAGAATATTTTATTATTTTAAAATTCTAGTACTTTTTATTACATCATTGAGCTGTAATTAGGGCTCTATTTCCTATGTCCTACCTTCCAAAATTGCCATGAGTTTACTATTTTTTATTCCTGATAAACAAATTTTCCTGTAGATTTGGAGTGTAGATTGCAAACCAGAAAATCCATATTCAGCAGTGTATCAAAGACTGAAGAAGTGGATCCCAGAAAGTTTTTGTCTCATTTGCTTTTAAGCTTGCTTTAAAGAAAAATACTCTAATTTTTATTATTTTGATGAAAACATAGCTTCAGTTTAACTGGTTGGTTATTGTATGACTATGTGATGATGTTATTAAAAGTGTTCTTAAGGACATGGCATTGCTCAATGATTTGAGAATTTTACTCATTTTGAAATCAGTGACTATATTTAAACTTCCATTGAAAAATAAATGAGATTATTAAGGTAATATTGTTTTGAAGTCAACCTGAGTTCAAGTTACAGGGTGATTATGAATTATGGTATCTTAAGACATATTTTTTTATCTTTCTTATGTATAGCTTTTCTTTCTTCACAGAAAGTGAAGAAAGTTACTTTTACCTTTTAATTGTTCTAAATAATTATGTTGTCCATAATAACTACAGTCAGTTTTATTTTATGAACTTTAATATAAGCATGATTATTGAACAACAGGCAGAAATAGTTGAACTACATCAGTGAAATTAAACACTTTGAAAATAGCAATAGAGAAGCATCACCTATGGTTTCTTGGCTCTCTTCTTATCTTCTCCTCGTGGTCATTGTTGGACACTCACGACTGGCCTAGATGGAGGTTTGATCTGGTACTTTGTTTATTTCTTAGTGTGTATATTTCTAAAATAACATATGATGCAAAAAATATGGGTTGGATTATCAGAAACCTCTAAATAATTGTGGAATATAGTTCCTATTAATTGCATTCAGTCTTTTTATAGAAGAAAAGCCAGCAACGTTCTTGTATATTAAAATCCAATTACAGTCCAGGCATATTTTTCAAAATCCAGCTGTCAGGCATTTTGTTATTTCTTACAGCACTTTTAATTAGCTCTATGCATTATATCTCTACTTTCTGCTTTATTCCCATTCTTGTATTTTAATGTAGTTTATAATTCATTCCCATAGCAACAAAAGTACCCAGGCAGCAACTTTAAATATCTTTGATATGCTTTCCCCACTAATGTGTAACATCTGTAGATTCAGAACTGTTATTTGGTGATAAATCATTAACTGGACTTATGAGCAGTTTCTCAATTGTTAATCTGTCCTATTTTATTTTCCTTTTCTTTGTAACTTTTTTATCTTTAAGCATCTTCTCTTGTTTTTCTAGAGGGTTTGAATCCTGACAACATTAGACAAGCCTCAGAGCAGCTGAAGAGCCGCTGGATTGAGTTCTGTCAGTTGCTGAGTGAAAGACTGGCATGGCTGGAGTACCAAAATAACATCATTGACTTCTACTCCCAGCTGCAGCAACTGGAGCAGACAGCAATTACTGCAGAAAACTGGCTGAAAGCACAACCCACACCAGCAGCAGATCCTGCTACAGTAAAAACTCAGTTAGAAAGATGCAAGGTTAGAGATCCTTCTTCAAGTTTTTTATGGTATTGTACTTCATAGGTGTTCAAGAGGCAGATTGTGACCTACAAAATTTCAGTATAAAAATGGTAAATGGACTCCTTGGATTTACAAAGTAGTTATTGAAAATATTTGTTCAAGAAAAGGAAGGACTGGTAAAAAAATAAAGAAACAATAGAACCCAGTATATGGGTCTTTAAAATTCTGCCCCAAATATTTAGTTTATTAGGATACTTAGACTCTTAGAGGCAACTGTGGGCCTAAAGTCTTTTTCATATTTCATTTTCATGTAAAAATCTCTGGCTTTGGTTCCTCATTAAGAAAATATTGCTCATCACCTCTGTTCCAGAACGTTATCTTCAAGTCCAAAATTCTGCCCTTGCAGACCACTTTGCTTCTTACATACCCAGCGTTCTGATTCAGTGTGGGTTGTGTAGTCAGGTGGGGGAATATTCTTCTGTCACAGTATGAGAGAATCACAAAGTTGTACAAAAACTGTCACACCAAATAACTTATAATTTTCCATAATTGTTTTTTGTTTGTGTGCTGCTGCACCACAGCTTCTCTCTCTTACTGTAGACAGTTCTGTGGGTAGGGGGCTTACAAGCCAATATTGATTGACAGGAATATATTGAGGTGTGATATTGGATTGCATACTTGTAGAAGATTGACTTTAGGAAATCTCTGTCTCCAGAAGTTCTAAAACAGAATATATTGAAATCCAAACTGAGTTCTATGCTATTTCTTCAATTTTCAGGTATTTCCAAGCTGTATTTCCAAGCTGGCATTGTGCCTACAGAGATTTCTCTTCCTGTGCAGAAAACTTGTCCTTAAATATCTCTGCTATGGACTGTACATTTGGCTTACTTTGCTCATTTCCTTTGTATTCTGTAGTTGCACATGTCACAGTGTATGCAAGGTATAACAGCACAGCCTCCTTGCTCTCTGCAGCTTCCTGAGAGAGGAAGGTGCTGATCTCCTCTCCCTGGTGCAGGGACAGGTGCAGGAATGGTTCAAAGCTGTGCCAGGGGAGGTTTAGGCTGGAGTGGGAGGGTGTTCTAAGAGTGTAACAAAAAAGCTTCCTGGAGAGGTGGTTGGTGCCCCCAGCCTGTCAGTCTTTAGAAGCCATTGGGAAAATGTCCTTATCAATGTGCTTTATCTTGTCAGCCCTGAAGTAATCAGGGTGTTGGAATAGATGTTCCCTGAAAGTCCCTTCCAACTGCTCTGTGCTATCCTGATCTTGACCTCAGCCTCTAATATGTTACTGTGAGGCTGCTAGAAATCACTGGGCATCTTCATCTCCCCTTTTCTTCATTTAATTTAGTCTGTACATAATCTATCAGATGTGTGTCCAGGATTATGGTACATGTGGAGTTTTTCTCTTTCCAGCTTCATATGAAAAGGATGTTTCCAGCTTCATATGAAAAGGATGTTTCTGAGGCTTTAAGTTTAATGTACAATCTTTCTTATTTTCTTATTTTCTTTGAGCATAATGTCCTATGAAAGTCACTTTAAGGTGACTTTAAGCAGTGGTATCAATCAACAATTGTATTGGGAGTAGAGGTATTGATTTGTGAGGAAAGGCTTAAAATTTCAGATTGAACGGCTAAAGGCTCAAAGTCAAGTACTCAAAGAGAAAGAACAAGGACCAGTGTTTCTGGATGCTGACCTTGCTGCTTTTACCAGCCATTTCAAACAAATATTTGCTGACATGCATGCCAGAGAAAAGCAGCTACAGACCAGTAAGTGTTGACAAGAAGTCAATTTGCCTGACTAATACACATAGAATAAGTGTTTATATTTTGCTTTCCCAGTTTTATATTTGCTTTTGTGATACTAAACCAGTAGCGTAATTCAGGTGCTCTTTTTTGCAAATTAATTAGTCTTTCAAAAACTGTCAGTTTATTCCATATTTTATATTAAGAAATCAAGGGAAGGTACACTATTCAGAAGCTAAGCTTCCACTCAACATAGTTCTGCCATCAAACTTCCTCTTGTTAGCATGTTTATGGACAGATACAGTGATATTTTTTAGCACCATAAAACTGTCTTTGTTTATTTGGATTACAAGACAAGGCAGTCCATCTCTGTCAGTAAGTAGAGAGGAAAGACAGCTTAATTACAGGAGCGAATCCACTCTAGATTTTCACAGATTTAACTCTATAAATCTCATCAAAGAGAGTAACCACCTCAGAATATCTGGTTTTTCATCATTTTGCCAAGTCTTTCTTATTTGCAACACAAAACATGACTGCCAGTGAAACATTGTGATATTTTTAGTAAAATGAACTTTTCAAAAGGGGCAAACATTATACCAAAATAAAAAGTTAACTATTGCTAATTAATGATATATAGCATATCAGTAATTACTGTACACATTCTGTGTTAGCTTATGAAATTAATAAAGAATCAGAAAAAAAATAAATTCAACTTTTCTCAACAACAAAGATACTATTTGCCACTTAAATCACCAATATCTCTAAATTATTGTACTGATTTGAAATTTGACATAGTGCTAGCTCCTTCTAGTGGATTTTTCTAATATTCCTCCTAAATTCTTTCACAGAGAGTCTTGGATATTGTTTTTTTAATACTACATTACTGCACTGCTGTAGTTATTTTACACGTGTCCACATATGCAAACAGAAGAGATGATGATGTGTAGTAGAAGAGAAGGAATAAAATACAAGTGTCCCAAAGCAAGTGATGAAAGAATGAATTGTAGAAATTTTACATTAAGGAGTGTTTTTTATTTATTTTTATAGTTTTTTAATTACTCTAAATTCAAGATGAGCAGTGGGCAAGATGTATAAGCCATTAATGTGACTGTTTTGCATGCTGAAAAGTTGCCATTCTCCCAACAGAAACATAGTATCAATACTGGCTTCTTTATTATATTTTCTCTCTCCAAACATCCATAATCGTTTGGTTTGCCACGTTAAATTTTGCTGTAGTGACAGGTCATGGATTAACCAGTTGATTAGTCCAGTAAGGCAAATAGTGTTCGCTGCCTGAAGCGTAATGCCATGGGCTTAGTAAAGTTCTTCCTGGGTATTCCTTCCCCCTCCTGGTCTGGAGTCAGCTCCTCCTGAGCCATGGCCAGCTGCAGGAACAGCTGTCCTGAGGTGGAAGCACTGAACAGGCTGGGGAGAATCTCCTTTAGTTCAACAGAACAGAAGTCTCTAAATCAATATTGCATGGAGCCCTGGACAGTTTTTACCGGCTTTTCTTGTGTTATATAGATGGGCCATACCCTGTGTCCTTATTCTGGCCTTACTTTAATAGAAAACATTGAAATTTTGTTAGAGTATTTTAGATCTTGCCATCTTTTATTTACATGAATTATTTGTAATTAATTATTTCCTGCAGATGAAAAAGTCTCCTGAAGACTGAATGATGTATTGCAGATCAGTTATAAGATTTGGTCCCTTTTTTTTCTTTCATGTACATAAAACTTACATGTGTTATTTTTTTTTTCTTTTTGGATCCATGGTTAAGATTTATTTTATGTTAAAAAGATATTTCTTTTTGTCCATCATAAGAGGTTTGTTTATTTTGTGTTGGGTTTTTTTGGGTGTTTTTTGTTAATATTCCATTGCTTCATTATCTTTTCTGATGGATAAGGGTATTTAGCTCTTCTGTTTTTCAAGGGAATTTTTCCCTCATAAACAGTGTTCTCTAATTTTAGAGATTGTCTCCCTCAAATATTTTTTGTTTGGATAGGTTTTGTTTGTGATTTTTTGAAAGTGATATCAGCTTAGTTTTGGGTTGTTTTTTTTTTAAATATTCAAGAGTGCTTAGTAGTTTCTCTGTGCTGCACAGAGGATTTGTCAGTAAAATAATACTACAGACTAACTCAATTTTGTGGTGCTGTTTATGCAAGAGATACAACCTCATAAAATATTAAGAAATAGAACCTAATTTTTCTCTGTTTATAGAATGTCTGTATCTCCATATGTCATTTTGAATGTGATGTATCCAACATTCCAGCTCTCTCTTCTCCCCAAACATGTTTAATGTCTAGGATATTGGTATATAGAAAAAATAAAGGTCAGACAGAGCTGAAAACTGTTCAGTAATCTACACAAGGGATTGAAATGGACAGTGCTGCCAATGATTCAAATATGAATAACCTGATATCTCAAGGAGCTTCTCAGATTTTGTAATGCCCTGGTGAAAAAGGAGGTTTTTTACACTATATTTATTTGTCTTGAAATTACCTGCTGCTATGTCTGATTTCTTGGGAGCTGCATGGTCAGCCTCCCATTCCCCTGAGCCCAGGGGGAGCTGACAGTCAGCGTCAGGCACGTGAACGCTCCCTGGTTCAAACTTCCTCCTGGGTAGCAGCTGATTCATTCCAGCACTCCTTGAGCTCTGTGACTTAACCAAATTCCATTAAGGTGCTCTGCTTTTCGGTCTCGCTGCATTGAGCTGCTAGCCTGTCATGGCCTTGATTCAGATGTATGTTCTCATTGAGATTCATCTTCCTCTGAGGGAAATTGGAAAATCGTTAGATTTTTAGCAAGTAACTAAAAAGAAAAAGGCTATTGTCATAGATAAAACTGAAAGTATCAAGAAGGAGGTGGCAAACAAAAAGTCATATTTATTTCCATTTTTCTCTGCTTCATAAATTTATGCACTGTGCTTTCTTTTCAAGTTCTGAATCTACCTTTGCAGGATCAGCAATTCCCAAAGGTGAAGTCATCATTGTCATCATTGCTGTTGTTATTAATAATGATGAATTATTCATCTACATTCAAATGATGTTTCTCCTGTTTATTTCAGGAGGTACTTTAAAAAGTTTTTGCCTTCTCTTTCATGTAATGATTCTTTAAACTTTTTATTTACCCGTGCCATGCTTAAAATTATTTTGCACGTGCATCATTTTTCTCTCTAATCAATTAGTACAGTATCTTAGATTGTTGGATTGCATAGAGCTCATGCAATTCAAACTTGGCATAATTTTATAGGATAATAAACTACGGTAACTGTAACAGTATGATGACCATTTGGAGTTTTAGTCTGAAATTATTCTGCTTTGATTAAAACTTTGATCTGCTAACTTATTTTGATGCTTTAAGTGCATTGGAAATGGGTTGCAAGTGTCAGTGGAATTTTAATGGTACGTAATAACCTTTCACAAATCATTCTGGACTTGAGAAAGGAAAATTTTAAGCAAGTATCCTGAAAATTTCATTACTACAAGTCTTTCTTTAAGACCTGAACTATTATTTAGTAGTAAAAATATTCACTGCTGTTTGATTTTGAGGGATAAAGTTTGCTTAACCTTTTTTTAAGTGTGTCTTTCAAACTGAAGATACAGTTTAGATGTATGTGAGAATTTATTGTTTTAATAAGTAGCATGCAAGCAATTTCTTTTCCTTTTTTCCCTCCTAGCCATTTCCTTCAGTAGTTATTTTTATTTAAATCAAGATCAAAAGGACAAAGCAGCCTGTGAAATGAATGTGTATGAGATAATGTCCTCTACTCTGTAGGTGATTTTATCCTTTTCCTCAGTGGTAAAAATGAATATTTTTGTGGACAAAAAAAAAAATAAACCCACCTAAAAAATAATTGTATTTTTAAAAGATATTTACTGTTATACTAGGTCCTGTAGAACTGGAGAAGGGCTTCCCTGGAAGTGTTCAAGGCAATGTTGGATGGGACTTGAGCAACCTGATCTAGTGGAAGGTGTCCCTGCCTTCCACTAGACAGGGAATGGAACTGGCTGTTCTTCAGGGTTCCTTCCAGCCACTCTGTGATTCTATTATTCCCTTCTGTTTCTTTCAAGAGCTTTATAACAAAGAGAACTGCAAGTCTTAAATTACTTGCATAACATTGATCAAGTATTACAAAAGATTTCTTCTGATTCCACTTTGAGACTTTCTGGTTAAAAATGTAGAGGGAAATCACAGCTTTTATGAAGACATCAGTATAAAGACCTTAATGAATTGGTTCAAGTATTTGTAGTCCAAAATAAGTAAAACAAAGTTGTGAAAGCATCAAGCTGGTTTTAAATTGCATTTACTACTGAGGAGATTTTTATTGGAAATACATGAAGTTCAATCTTGTTAATTTATTTCAGGGAATAAGTCTTTACAAAAATAGTACATTTTAGGTCCCATAGATTATATTTATTGTCTTTGTGATGGTGTGATGAACAGCAGGACTTGTAATGACTTCAGGAGAAACACACAGCAACCTATCCAGTGTGATTTGATAGTTGTTGAGATAATTGTATTCTCATTTCACTTCTCATTTGGGAAAATATTTTTGACTGAAAAATCTGGTCACAAGAAACAAGGAATCTGTGAGAAAAAATGAAAAAAAAAAGTATTTTGCTTACTTGGAAAGCTATTTTCACATGTTTAGAGAGTTAGGATTAATTTCTAATAAATAGAATTAACTGTTTGTTTGAACATTCTGTTTCGAAATTTACAGACTTTCTCTAAAAGAAATAAGTAAGTGCAAACGTATTAGTCAATTCTGAGAATGTCAGTTCTCAGGGGTTTCAGTGTCAGTCACACCAAAATGAATTCCCTACAAGTGGAATACATATCATACAGAAACATTTTTCCCTTCTGGGATGGGAACTGTATTCTGATATTTTACAGTAACATTTTTTTAATATATCCGTCTGTGATATTTTGTTACAGTTCTGTCCTGGAGCTAGTGTTGCTATATCTAAACTAGGCCCATATTGAGGATCTTACATACTGCATCTTTCTCATTGCCATTCATTGTTTTACATAATGCAGCAGAATCCATATTAATACACTTTGCTTACTGTGTGGACTTCAGTCCAAAAGTATTAGTATCACAAAGAAAATTTTAAGATAAAAAGAAACAGGTCTTGAATGTGGGTTTATGTTATTAGCATGGTGAATTTAGAGATTCATATTGCCCACAGAGAGGCCATAAATGGTTTAGATTATTTAGACAGTTATAACTGGGTAATGTGAATCCCACTGTAGGAGCTTAACTGAATTCTCCCCATTGCCATCATGTGCTGCTAAAATAATTAGGGCTCTTAAGTGCCATCCTGAAAGTTAATCTGCTTCTTTGTGGATGAAATTGCTGCCACGTTGTCTATCTTAAAAAAAGAATCAAAAACTATTTCATTATTACTAATCTGCATTAATCTGGAAAAGTGAAATTGGAAAACTATGGTTACACAACTTAAAGATACTTTCTAAAGTTAATATCTAATAACCAAATTGTAAAGGCAGTAGTTTTATTAAATCAACATCTTTCATCCCATTTGAACTCTTACTTAGTCCATCCAATATTAGAAAACATAATTCATTACAACTGAATGAAATGTTTGGATGGTTTTAAACTTTTTATTAGTATTAGCAAAGTTGCCTGGTAAGGGTTTGATGCAGTTTGGTGGAATTTGCTATTGCAGTTTTCAACTATTCTGAGGTACTCTTTAGTACTACCAAAACCAGCTTTCTTTTACTTAAATGCTTGAAGTTATACATTACTCATAAGATTGCTTTTTCATAACTTGGAGAAGTCAAACATGACATCACAGTACTGAACTGCATTTCAGAGTTTAAATGTATGTTCTATTCTAAAATAGAAATTGTTTGGATTAAATGAGTCAAAGACAATAGAAATTTCACTAAGGAAGGAAAAGATTTAAAATGTTACTGAATGAAATGGAAAATGTTTGGGTATTTTATTTATTTTTGTGTATAAATATACCTCACAAGGGAAGAAATTCATGTCTTTCTTGGTACCAAGTCCTCTCTCTTGTAAATCCCCAGATATATGTGCTAAATCACATCAGCCAAGTCTTTTATGATGAAGTTGGCCATGCAATGTGCATACTTCACAAGAGATATTGTCCTGATTGTGGGAAGTTGGTATGATACCTGACTGAAAATGTAAATTTTTTTTCACATCACATTCTGTTGATCAACTAAAAAATTAAAATCTGAAGTACATTTTTCCAAACACTGCTGTATGACTCAAGCAAACTTGCACTTAAAAATTTTAACTGTGTTGTTTGTCAAAACTACTTTTTGGACAGCTTTATTATTTTTCCGTACATTTCTTTGTGAAACACCAGAGAATATTGAGGAGGATACAGGAGATACAAATGAGTGCAACTTTCTTTGAGCTTTTATATTCTTCATTATTATGAACAAGTTGGAAATGTTTCAGTTCCAACCAGCCATGCTATTTGTCTGTACATTTTTCAGCGAATATAGAGGCAACTGTTAATGGCAGAGGGAATGTATCTGCTAATGAGTTGCTCATGTGTGTGCCAGATGTTGTCTATTTGCAGCAGCTGTAATGTTGGCACAATAAGCACAGTTCAATAAAATTCAACTTTATTGTAGAAGGAAGATTAATTTTCTAAGCTTTTAACAGATGTCCTTAATGGAACATTTTCCTTGAACAGAAACATTGAGCACATAAACATGGGCCATAAAAGGGAAACCTAGTTCCTAACACATTTCTGAAATTGGATTTTAGGTTAAGTACAATGGTTTGTCTGTTGATCTCTGAACACACATATTGAAAATAGTTATCTTGGCTTCCTTCTGACCTATAATAACAGGGTCAGTCAAATGGAACGCAACTCATGAAATGCTAGAGGTATTTCAAACATTAGAAGGAGCAGGTGCATTTTTAAAAATATTTTTACTTCCAAGATATTTTTTTATAGTTCTGATACACACTGGGCCTGTTGCAATCTCTTGACAAACAGCCATAGACTTCAATAAGGCTTGGTCTTTTATCAAGTGTCATCTGTCAGCAAACCGAATAGTGAAGCAAAATATTGTTTTATTTCCTTCCTTCCTTCCTCCCTTCCTTCCTTCCTTTATTTCCTTCCCTTTTTTTTCCCATTGAATGCAGTTTTTGACAGTTTGCCTCCTGCACACTACAAGGAGACAATGAACACTATACTTGTGTGGATGCAGCAGTCAGAATCTAAACTCTCCATGCCTCAGGTCGCAGTTGCTGAATACGAAATCATGGAGCAGAGACTCAGGGAGTTAAAGGTGAGTGATCAAGCTGCAGGCACAAATGTTTCAACTGAGTAGTTTAGGGGAACAGAACTATAAGCTGGTACATAAATCTGGTGAAGTCTGTGGATCTTGAGTATATAATGCTCATTTCAGTTTTAGGCCAGGGCTTCAGGAGATGGTGGTTGCTTGCTTATATTCATTCCTGAAGATAAAGAATTTAAAATGGTGCTTGCCATGGAAAGCAATTTCATAAGATACTGAAAATGTTAAGGAAAAGCCCTTGTTTGTCCCAATGGTATATAAAATATTCCTTTGATAATAGCTCTGGTAGTAAAATATAGATTTAGGTAATTTAATTTTCCAGTGCTGATATGAAAACAATTCTGATTTGCAAAATGCCGCACAGTCTTTTGACAGATTTCCTGCCAAATTTACAAGTAGACACAAATGTGGAACAAACTTTAATAGTGGGTACAAACCTTCCCTGTATTTCCATGTCTGATAGAGTTTCTACTCTCAGATGTCTAATGAACAAATTGTTTGATGCATATTCCGAAATAAAACATAGAATATAGAAAATAACACTGGATGAAGTAAATTTGGGCTGAGAATTGCAAAAGTTCTGAGAAGCTATAAAAAATGTCATATCACAGAATCAGTTCTCTAAGTTTATATTTTTTTCTTCTCCATGTTCTGGATCTTTGCGTCTTTTGAAAGCGTCATCATCAGGGTCATAGTAAATTCCTATCTCAAATTGATCAAATATATGTAGATCGTGCCTATTAAAATGTATAAATACCTCTGGTTATATTCTCAGTTCAACAAAAAAAAAACCTTCTACGTTATATGAGAAAAACAATTCCAAATTGCTCAGTAAATGATGCCATTGCATGTTTTAGCAGAGGTGACCTCTGTATCTTGCCTGTGTTTGTGAAATGAAGAGAATTGCCTAGCACATTAATTGAAATTCCACTTGCTTCTTGTTCACAGGCTCTACAAAGTTCTCTGCAAGAGCAGCAGAAAGGCCTGACCTATCTCAGCACAACTGTGGAAGACCTGTCGAGGAAGGCCCCTCTGGAAGTCAGCCAGAGTTACCGGTCAGAGGTTGAGGTGGTCCTTGGCCGCTGGAAGAAGCTCTCGGCACAGCTGGCAGAACATTGCCAGAAACTGGAGGAGCGTCTGACCAAACTCCAGCGATTCCAGGTTCATCAAACTTTCTCATCCTCAGCTTGTACATGGTGGCTTGTTCCTGGGGGACTAAGGCAGAACGCATTTAAGTGTTTCTTTCAGAAATTGACACCAAAGTGAGATATCAAAACATGACAAACAATGTAGTTAAATGTTTGCTTGATTTTGATGAATACACAATTTTACTTTGAATTCTGATTTTGTGGCTGTTTCTACCTATGTTGTTTCATTAGCAAAAGGCTTAAATGTCATTATAAATTGAAAATAATGCTCCTCTACTTCTTTTCCAATGTAGCTGAAGCACTTATTCATGCATCTGAAGTAGCTGCACCATACTGACTTTAATTAATTCGCTTACATAATTAAAGTCATCTGTTATATAGTAGAATCTTGTTGGCAGTTTCCAGAAAGCAGAAGCGTATTTCAGGTATTTAGAATGGCAGCATTAGAACCTGACCTGGGTATCTGTAGGACTGCTTCTCTTTTTTTGTAGGGCTGTTTCTCACTTTTTTCGTCTCCTCCTCTGTCTGTCTGACATTTTTTGTCCTTTCTTAACTACAGTGCCACTGAGCATCACTGGCCCACCACAACATCAGCCATGTCCTGTTGTGGTTCCACAGGGAGAAGCTGGAATTGTCTGTGTCAAGCACAGGACAGCAGCTGTCCTCTCCTCACAGATACTACCCTACTCCCAAAACAGTGCCACATAAAAAAAGCAAGATATTCTTGGCTTAAGAAATTAAAACTTTTGTATTTTCCCTCCCTTCTGCCTCTTGTCTTCACTCCTACTCCTTCAATAAATTTAGAGGTTTTCCCACTGGTTTTGAAAAGCTCCTGAGCATTGTGGCCATGATCATGTAAAACATTCAAAGCAGTGTGAGCTGTTGATGCACACAAATTTTAGCCCTTCTATTTATTGCTGAAATCCCTCTGGTTCACATCTAATGTAAAAGTCATTGTCTTTTGAGCTTGTTGAATGACTTCTCATCCAGATTATTGTTCTAGCTGTTGTAATTTATGGAATGTGTCAGTATGGGATATGATGAAATCAGTGTTCATAAAGAAAATGCATTTACAATCTGATATAAAAATGCGAGTCATACATTTGAACTTCATTGGTGGCAGGAGACTAATTTCTTTTTAAGTAAATCCCACCAGATATATATTTTACTGCATTAATGAACTAAAAGTATTCTTGTAAAGGTATTAAAGTTTCATTATGAAATATGATTCTGAAATATTTTTACTGTTGATAATGGAATGCACAGTAGATATTTCAACAGTGTTTTGATAATTGCCATTCTGGAGTATACTGATAATTTTTGTGTGAATAATTTTATTCAGTTCATTTTCCATGATAACCTGTTTTTTTTAAGTATATCAGTCACATTAGGGAAATGTTCCCTTTGGTTACTTGTCTCATAATAGTTGCTAAGGCATATTTGTATGCATTTTAGGACACAGTCACTATTCTAACAACCTTTTTTGTGCTTTAACTCAGCTTTGCATACAGCATGTAATATCAATATGTATTTCATTGGTGATGGAAATAGTTTGATGAAAAAATGCTTTATAATTTAAAGTTTTTGCCATTTATGCATTTTATTTTTATACTTGCATCTGATTATCAAAGATGGAATGTTAAGGTAACTTTAAGTGGCATTTTTTAGATCTCATTCTACTTTTCAAGTTATTAGATTACCTATGTAATGCTGCATTCCCTCTTTTCAAGTATTTGATGTTCAGATTTTTTTGTTAACTGCAAGAGTTAAATAAAGACTATGGAAATAATATTCCTATTCTAGTGCTAGAAACAGTAATTGAGAGACTCTGTAATGAAGTTACTCATTGAGTCATTATATGATTTCAGTTTCTGAAGGGAATCTCTTTCAGTTACATTGGCTTTTTTCATTCTGAATAGTGAAGGTGTTTTTCTGTGTTGTGTTCTGGTAGAAAAATAGGCACTACAGCATATAACTTCCAAAAGAATTCTGAAGTTTAAATGAAAACACAGAACATTTGATGGGTGAGCCTGAATTAAATGCCAAGTATGAGTAATCTGAAGCCATAGAAGGAACCAATGAACAAGCATGCAGTATCCAAACATAAATGATATCTAGAAGGCATAAATTTGAGAACCATAAGGTTGTCTGCTCACAGACACATTAAACTTGGTCAGAAATGGTCAGAGTGCAGGTTAAAGTGTTGATGACAGTCCCAGCTAAAATTGGTTTTGCTTGTTTGCTGTGTTTGTATTTTCAGGCAGTTCAATAATGATAAAATTACATTGCAATGAATTTTAGTTGTAGTGTCAGAATGAATTACACTCTTGCCAGTCAGGTTTTGTGTGATGCAATTAAATGTCTTTTTAATACACAGAATGACACTAAAACACTGAGAAAGTGGATGGCTGAGGTGGATGTTTTCCTGAAGGAAGAGTGGCCTGCCCTTGGAGACTCAGAAGCACTGGAAAAGCAACTTGAGCAATGTACAGTGAGTATTACCTGTCTGCTTGGCAGTTATTCAATTCTTCTCTGTGAGCTGAGCTTATACAGAAGTTACACAAATGATGTTCCTAAAAATAAATGCATTTAGAAAGGGGACTGCCTCCTGCAGTGTGTTTGAATCTTTTGCATGTCCTGGGTTTGAAGGAAAATTCAGTTAGGAAGAAGAAGACTTTAATACCTGAAGGAGGTACACAGTGACATTTTTTTTTCATGTATTTATAGCAGGATCACACTATCAAATCCACAAAATAATATGTAACTTTCCTCTAAAGTCAACTGTTTATTTACTTTGTTGAACTTATGAATGTTGCATATTTTTTTTTTTTTAATCTTTCTAATCTGTACCAAAAGATCTTTTTTCTGTATCTGTTACTCATGTGATTTACAAACTTTTCTGATTGTTACAAAAGAACTTGCAGGTATTGCGAGTTATATCTATTCTTTTTTTCACTAAACTTACAAGTTCCCAGATGTTATCCCAGCAGAGTTTTAAAGCATCATGAAGTATTGGTACTTCCATCACAGGGTTTACAAATTCTTCTTCCTGTCCCAACAGAGTGTGTAAGTGCAGTGAATCTTGTAATCCATGATGGTCCCTGTCGATATGCTCAGTGGAATTTACAAGTTCTGTAGATGTTCTGGCAGGATGTGTAAATATTATGAAACATACACAGTGATCTTACAGAACTGCAAGTTCTCTCATATTTTCTCTTAGCCATTATTTAAATAAGAATTATCATTATTTTTCACCATTATAATGGAATGTTCTTTCAGAAATGTGAATAAAAGGTATTTCTCATGTTTTCAACCAACAGAAGAGAAGCATTTTAAGTGATATATGTATTTTAACATTATATATGTATATATTTTTAGTGTATGATAACATTTAAAAGTTACATAACTTTATTTGGTATACAATAGCTTTACACACATTACAGCTGGTCATTCCTTTTTAATTTATTTTCATAGATAAGTCTGTTGATTCTGCTCATTTAATTGGGGATTTGGACCCCAGACGAGTCAGAATCTCATGTAGACACATTTGCATAGGGATACCGTATCTAAAACTTTGTGTGAATGCTGCTTGACTAATCTTCTGCTCTTCCTTCAGGCTTTAGTAAATGATATCCAGACAATCCAGCCCAGTTTGAACAGTGTTAATGAGACTGGGAAGAAAATGAAGAGTGAAGCAGAGCCAGAATTTGCTTCCAGAATAGAGTCAGAGCTAAAGGATCTCAATGCTCAGTGGGACCACATTTGCCAACAGGTACCAAGTCTCCTGCTGTGACTGGTTCTTTTTAAATTAATCATCAGGGTCCTCATTGGCAGAAATTGTCCTTCTATACAGTAGATATATGTCCTTCCACAGTAGATATGAAACTGAATTTAGACATATTAATTCAACTAATATTTTCCAGAGTGTAATTTAGCTTGTAGGAGTATATGTAAAGTATATTTATTAATATCATAACACAAGATCTTACTATTTTAATAACAAAGATATGTACTAATATATTAGATCTACAGCAGTGTAATTTATGGCTCTTCCAAAACTAGATTTGTGAAGGTGTTGTTTAGGCATTTGACAAAACAATCAAGTTCTGTTCTTAGTTTTATGTTTTTTTCTACATTGTTGAAATTGCATGTCATTACTCTGGGTGAAAATAGGCATTAAAGCAGTGAAGGGTTCATAGTTCAATAACTCAGAATTAAGAGTACATGAACATATGCATGTGTATAAATTAGTCTCCAGCAGTCACATGGATTTGAGAGAATGGGACATAACAGGAAAGGACAGTTCTTTTATTTTAGTTAAAGGCATTATTAATAAACAATTTTACAGAGTAAGGAAGCTAAAAATTACTATTATTTCACTGATTGCATTTGGGTACTTATTCTTTTTGACCACTCAATTTTTATTTTTTTTTTTCATGTTATTACCTTTAAATTTTTCCTACTTGCTCTTTCTCTTGTCTACCTTTTTAATGTGTATTTTAATAAAGTAAAAGTGTTAACTGTTAATGAGGTATAATATTTTCTAAAATCTTTATTATTCACTTAACATGTGAAAAATAATCTCTTTTTTTTCTAATTTTAAAAACATGCTATAAAAAAAAAAGTTGATCTTTGAAATCTGTAAGATATTTTTTTGATCCAGTTTTGTAGTTTTCCCCCTTTCTACCATGGAGTATTTAATTCCTTTTTTTTTGTGATATTAATAAGCTGGATACCTTTGCAGTTCTCTCACAGAAATTTCAAGTATTTCCATACAAGAATAGAAGTCTGTCACAGTTTTCTTCTGACTTCCCTGTCTGTAATAATTTCATTCAATACAAGGCACAAATTATTCCCTCTCAGTGGGAATTTCTAATACAACTTTTTTGGTAATAGCTATTAAAATACATGAATAGTAAATACAAAAATTGGTTTCTGGAGGTTTCTTGAAAAGATTTGGAAAAGTCAGCTTGGCTTGATATACATGCAGTTAATACGAGTGTGAGAGCTGACAATTGGCAGTTGTCATTGAGAATTCAGATACTCTTTTCAGGTGATAGGAGATTACCTTCTCTTCTGGTGCTGGGACTGAGGAAAAGACAATTTTGCAGAGCCACATACAATTCTGCTTTTATACTCACTGGTTGTTGCACTATTTTGTTCTGTAAAACAACATTTATGTAGAACAGCATTTATATTTAACAGCTCAAGTCTCAAGGATGAGTAACAAACCAATAAATGTCAGAAATTAAAACTAAATACTAAGAAAATTTCTCCTGATACTACAGAAAATAATGTTTGCTGAAGCAGCACCACAGAGCAGAATATTGGAGCAATAAGCTCTGCAAGCCCAGCTCTGGGAAATGGCACCACTACAACTTACTATATTTGATGCAAACTTCTTAATGCCATTGAAAGATGGTAAATGGATCAATCAGAGACAGTTTTGACAGGTTAATGCACAATTCATAGAATCAGGGAATGGTTTGGGATGAGGTGATCTAAAATATTTTCTAGTTCTAGTTTTATACATGAGCTATATTACAGCATTATATGACCCCCACTTAGAGATTGGTAAAACTTTTAACAGTAGCATTTTTCCCTTTACAATAAATAGTTTATTCCCATAGGAGATTGGGTTTTTTTCTTTACATATTTTTAGGATATTTACCTTTCTAAGGCATTCATTAATGAATTAATCAACAGAAGAAAGATATGCATATTGCTTTATTCTCTAGTAAATTGCATTCAAACTAGTGAGAAGGTCATCTGACTTTATAGCTCAAAAGCATTTGGTTTCACCCTTGAATGCACTTTCAAAGTCTCCTGTGGTTATTCTTTTTACATCTTACAGAAGATGATCCCTGGGAGATGTTCTTCCCCAGATTTGTTTTCTGACACATCAGCATATGGTGTAGATTTTCATTCTAGAATCATTACAAACTCAGTCTGCACAGCCATGATTTGCTAAAAAAAGGATGTAGTACTTTTTTGATTGTCTATTATTAATATCTATCTAATTACTTGTTAACATCTGCCTAATTACAGCAATCTTATTAATACAGGATTTAACTTGATTCTTTTCACGCTAAAACATTGTCAAGTTTGTACAGTAGCTTTGCTTCAAGTACTATGTTATCTTTTCTTTCTTAAAGGCCTGTGCTAAGAAGGCTGCACTAAAAGGTGGTCTGGATAAGACTGTGAGTCTCAGAAAGGATTTGTCAGAGATGCACGAGTGGATAACACAAGCTGAGGAGGAATATTTGGAAAGAGATTTTGAGTATAAAACACCTGATGAGTTACAGAAAGCTGTTGAGGAGCTGAAGGTAAAAGATGAACAAATTCCTTGAGCTGTGTTCAAACTTCTTGAAGCTCTCACTGTAAAGAGAGTCTACTCTTTCTTTTAGGAAAGTGCCTTTTCAGATCTACTTGCCTAAAGTTAAACACAGTAGGTGGTTTGAAGTAATTTCTGTTTGGAATATGCTAGAAGATATTTGATATTCCTCAACACTGCATTGCTTATTTTCTGATGTGCTTTATTGGAAATTGATTTGGATGTAATTTCAACATTCTTTTACTTACGGTATAATCCCTAAAAATTGGGCGCTAGCAGCAGCAGAGTGAAACCAGTTTTATATCTTCTCTTCATATTAGAATGAGCAGAAAAAAATAGGATGTTTGGATGCATCTTGGTGTGTATGAATATGATGTCTTTAATATGGGAATATAAAAACAGCATATTTTGATCTCAATTAAAAATGTTTCCTTCATGTGGGATGAACATGGCCTTTGGAAAAAACAACTAATTTGTGAGACGTGCTTAAATACACTCTTGCTAAGCCACTGGATGTGGGCTTAATTCTTATTTCAAAGGTGAAATGTTTAGCTTGTGCTGTTCAGGAAGCCAGATTATAACCTGATTGTCATTATGTATATAACTTTGGCAATCTACCAAACACTTTGTTTTCAAACTGTTAATATTCCATATATTTTTCCAGTGTTTGAGAGTTTCAAATCATGCAACTGATGATCTCTTTATTTACTGACACAAATTATTTGCTGCCTGTCAGAATACACATAATATAAGGAAATTTATGGAACAGCTCAATTGCAAATGAGACAAATATCAAAAGCAGGTATCTGCTCTAAAGACAAAATTCTTTTTTAGTAACTAAATAGCAAAACTCGATTTTATACATTGCACTGCATATTAAAACAGGTAAAATGTATAGTTTTATATGCAATCACCATTATGGATTCTTAGTAGATATTTTGTAACCAGATGAAGTACAGTAATTTCAGACACCTTGACTTAGGAAATAACCATATTATTTGTCATGGTATCACAACAGAGAAATAGGAATCTGGAGCAGAATTCCATTTCTTCCCACAGCTAGAGAAGAGGAGAGTCAAGAGCAAATTTGTCAACTTCCTCTAGCAGTGTCAGTCTGATCACAGTTATTCTGGTTCATGAACTTCCTCAGAAACAGAGAGGGGAAAAACAAAAAAGTTGTCAGGAATATGGTTTTGATTTAGTGTTTTTTGGGCAGGGAGTTCTCACTGTAAATTCCTGTGAAGGTCTGTAGGCACTGATGACACTTTTTTATAACATCCCTATGTTTCCAGTTGTGATGTGATTCCAGTCACAGACACCAGAAAAGTTTCAGAGGGAACAGTGCTAGGTATGAAAATCTCTTTCATGGACCACATAGCAAGGGAGGGAGGAGCAATAGTGACCACACTATCTACAATAGAGAAAAATGATTTTCTGACTTTCTTTTTAAATGCAGGATAATGACAGCAACGAGAAGTTTGTTTTTTTTTCTTTTTCTGCCTTTCTTGTGATTTTACCATTAAATCTGGACACATGAATTTGTAAAACAACAGGTTTTTTGGGTTTTTTTTTGTTTTTTTGGGGGTTTGTTTGTTTGTTTGTTGTCACTTGTGGTTCATAAGTTATGATGGTAACACCATTTGGAGCACTTTTTGGAGGAAAAAAATACTGAAATGTTCCATTAGTGTGAGAGCTCCAGAACACTAGATGGTTGTTAAATTTCATGGAGTATTGTGTATTGGCAACAAAATGAAATAAAAGTTTTTTGGATGCATTCAAGATTATTTCAGAAAGTCTGGGAATTAAATACATCCTGTTGTATTTTGTTTTGTTGTTGTGTTGTTTGGGTTTTTTCTCCCTCTTGAATTCTGTCAGAGAATCCTGGTAGTTACTAGAAATAGCTTTCCTTCTTAAACCAGGACTACAACTTCTCCTTTTTTTCCCTTTCCAGAGAGCAAAGGAGGAAGCCCTGCAGAAAGAAGTGAAAGTGAAGCTTATTACAGATTCTGTGAATAACTTTATAGCAAAGGCTCCACCAGCAGCTCATGAGGCTTTGAAAAAAGAGCTGGATGTTCTAATTACCAGCTACCAGCAACTCTGCAGCAGGCTGAATGGAAAGTGGAAGACTTTGGAGGTTTGATGTCTTGTCAGTCTTGTATTTATAGCCCTTTTAACTGCAAGAAGTAAGGTGGAAAGCAGAGCTGTAATATATGGTATCATGAGTAGCCCAAGGCTATCCTGGCTTTATGAGCCATATACCAAATACCCTATGTTATGAGCCACACACAAAGTTGTTTTGAGACTCTTATCTGCCAGAGAGTCGTGTTACAAGAGAGGTCTGAGACACAGCTCTTAGGTCAGAGACAGCAATGGATGCTCAAAATTCTAATCCTTCCTGAGATCAAGCCAAGAATCTAGCTTTGTAGCAGCCCTGTGATGTTCTCTTCATCAGCTCCTCTAGGCTTCTCTCTTTCATGGCTAAGGTTTTTGACTGGACAGCCCTGGAGCTGGTCAAGTGGTGTTATCTCAGCATGGGAGCAGCATTTGATCTGCTGGCAACCTGAATATTTCTCATGAATTTTGAGATGACCCTGCCATTTTGCCCAATTCCATTGCAGATTCCTGCCATGAGGCTGCATTTTTGTTATACAGCAGTCACAGTGAATTGGGTGTGGTTTTTTGTTAGGAATGTTGCAAGAGTTAAATTTTGTTTGTGAATAATTTGCAAGACCTAACCTCATTCAGGACAATAATATATCAGAGTAAAGTTTAGCTTGTGCTGTTCAGGAAGCCAGATTATAACCTGATTGTCATTATGTATATAACTTTGGCAATCTACCAAACACTTTGTTTTCAAACTGTTAATATTCCATATATTTTTCCAGTGTTTGAGAGTTTCAAATCATGCAACTGATGATCTCTTTATTTACTGACACAAATTATTTGCTGCCTGTCAGAATACACATAATATAAGGAAATTTATGGAACAGCTCAATTGCAAATGAGACAAATATCAAAAGCAGGTATCTGCTCTAAAGACAAAATTCTTTTTTAGTAACTAAATAGCAAAACTCGATTTTATACATTGCACTGCATATTAAAACAGGTAAAATGTATAGTTTTATATGCAATCACCATTATGGATTCTTAGTAGATATTTTGTAACCAGATGAAGTACAGTAATTTCAGACACCTTGACTTAGGAAATAACCATATTATTTGTCATGGTATCACAACAGAGAAATAGGAATCTGGAGCAGAATTCCATTTCTTCCCACAGCTAGAGAAGAGGAGAGTCAAGAGCAAATTTGTCAACTTCCTCTAGCAGTGTCAGTCTGATCACAGTTATTCTGGTTCATGAACTTCCTCAGAAACAGAGAGGGGAAAAACAAAAAAGTTGTCAGGAATATGGTTTTGATTTAGTGTTTTTTGGGCAGGGAGTTCTCACTGTAAATTCCTGTGAAGGTCTGTAGGCACTGATGACACTTTTTTATAACATCCCTATGTTTCCAGTTGTGATGTGATTCCAGTCACAGACACCAGAAAAGTTTCAGAGGGAACAGTGCTAGGTATGAAAATCTCTTTCATGGACCACATAGCAAGGGAGGGAGGAGCAATAGTGACCACACTATCTACAATAGAGAAAAATGATTTTATGACTTTCTTTTTAAATGCAGGATAATGACAGCAAGGAGAAGTTTTTGGTTTTTTTCTTTTTCTGCCTTTCTTGTGATTTTTCCATTAAATCTGGACACATGAATTTGTAAAACAGCAGGTTTTTTGGGTTTTTTTTTTGTTTTTTTGGGTGTTTGTTTGTTTGTTTGTTGTCACTTGTGGTTCATAAGTTATGATGGTAACACCATTTGGAGCATTTTTTGGAGGAAAACAATACTGAAATGTTCCATTAGTGTGAGAGCTCCAGAGCACTAGATGGTTGTTAAATTTCATGGAGTATTGTGTATTGGCAACAAAATGAAATAAAAGTTTTTTGGATGCATTCAAGATTATTTCAGAAAGTCTGGGAATTAAATACATCCTGTTGTATTTTGTTTTGTTGTTGTGTTGTTTGGTTTTTTTCTCCCTCTTGAATTCTGTCAGAGAATCCTGGTAGTTACTAGAAATAGCTTTCCTTCTTAAACCAGGACTACAACTTCTCCTTTTTTTCCCTTTCCAGAGAGCAAAGGAGGAAGCCCTGCAGAAAGAAGTGAAAGTGAAGCTTATTACAGATTCTGTGAATAACTTTATAGCAAAGGCTCCACCAGCAGCTCATGAGGCTTTGAAAAAAGAGCTGGATGTTCTAATTACCAGCTACCAGCAACTCTGCAGCAGGCTGAATGGAAAGTGGAAGACTTTGGAGGTTTGATGTCTTGTCAGTCTTGTATTTATAGCCCTTTTAACTGCAAGAAGTAAGGTGGAAAGCACAGCTGTAATATATGGTATCATGAGTAGCCCAAGGCTATCCTGGCTTTATGAGCCATATACCAAATACCCTATGTTATGAGCCACACACAAAGTTGTTTTGAGACTCTTATCTGCCAGAGAGTCGTGTTACAAGAGAGGCCTGAGACACAGCTCTTAGGTCAGAGACAGCAATGGATGCTCAAAATTCTAATCCTTCCTGAGATCAAGCCAAGAATCTGGCTTTGTAGCAGCCCTGTGATGTTCTCTTCATCAGCTCCTCTAGGCTTCTCTCTTTCATGGCTAAGGTTTTTGACTGGACAGCCCTGGAGCTGGTCAAGTGGTGTTATCTCAGCATGGGAGCAGCATTTGATCTGCTGGCAACCTGAATATTTCTCATGAATTTTGAGATGACCCTGCCATTTTGCCCAATTCCATTGCAGATTCCTGCCATGAGGCTGCATTTTTGTTATACAGCAGTCACAGTGAATTGGGTGTGGTTTTTTGTTAGGAATGTTGCAAGAGTTAAATTTTGTTTGTGAATAATTTGCAAGACCTAACCTCATTCAGGACAATAATATACCAGAGTAAAGTTTAGCTTGTCTAAACTTAACTGTGGAAAATTAGGTGTGTAGTTTAAACTGGTAATCTGTATTTACCCTGATCATTGATGGTGTGTTGTTGCATGTTAATATCCCTCTATAACCCAAATTTGGTGTGAGCAAAGTTAGGTGAGATGAATTGTATTCTGGGAAGCTTGATCTGCCAAGAGTGTAATGCATTTCAATAATATTATTGTAACTTCTACCAGCAACAACAAAAAAAAAAAGGAACAAAAAAAAAGATTATTTATGGAGTATTTAAATGTTTTGTTTTTGTATTAAGTGCTATTTTCATCTGCTTATTTAATATCTTCAGGCACTGTATAAATAAAATATTAGACAATCATTTAATTTCAGGAGGATAAGAGCATTTTACAACATTGCATTTTGTACTCTAACATTTAAAAGGTCTATAAATTTCACTAAATGTGGTTTAGAATTAATTTCCATTGAGATTTTAGTCTGAATTCTTAAAAGCTGATATTTTATGAACCTGTGATTTAACCAATTAATATGTAAGGAATCTAAGTGCATTTTTATAATAAAGACATAAATTGCTAACACGGGTCTTTAAAAATTCTGCTCACTTTTATATTTATGTAAGAAAACTTTACAGAAAGCATGTAAAGTGGATAATACATGAAAATGAAGATTCGAGTTGTGTTTTGCAGAAGAGTTCACTTTTTCATGTTATTTTCTGTGATTTTGCTCTGTTTAATCAAAATTATGGTTTTCCAGTGTTTTATATTAATTTGGATCATAAGAGTACTGGCAAATAAAATTAATATGGTCCCATAAGCCTCAGATATCAGCCATGTTGCTTTGGGGAAGAGGAATGAATGTTTTCAGTATTTTAATGAATGAGAAGTTTCTGTGAGATTTTCAATCTAAATAAACCTTTTCTTCATCAGGAGGTATGGGCATGTTGGCGCGAATTATTGTCATATTTGGATGCAGAAAATAAATGGTTGAATGAGATTGAACTAAAACTCAAAGCTACTGAAAATGTCCAGGGAGGTGCAGAAGAGATTTCTGAGTCTCTAGATGTAAGTGCTGACTTAAATAATAGCCAAATCATATGTGCTGATAAACTGTAAATTTCATGCCATTTTAAAGAAACTATGAACTGACATTACACTTGAACAAGGTGCAGAATAGTTTATAAGTCCTAAGTTCTTACTAGATTCGACAAGTGAGGTTTTGAATTCAAATTCACCTAAATCAAGCAATATTAAATGTGTTGTGCTGGGTGTCATAGTCTGTTTTGGTAATAATGAACATTCTTAAAAAAACAAAACTCACTTCAGCCAGTCAAAAAAATGTTGAAGGCTTCAGAGAGGGCAAGTTTTCATCATAGCAGTGCAACTTTGTTTATCATTCTTAATTTTTTATTCATGGAGCCTTTAAAATTAGTAGAAATTAAATACATGCTCATAGTGCATCAAAATTCAAAATACTGCATTGATAATCCATTTTTGCTGTTGAATTTCATGCATTCAGATACTCAAGCAAGTGTTTTATATTAAGATACTAGTACTGTCACTGAACTCATTGGGCATAGTCCACATCTTTAAAATTATCAGTAAATTTATTTATTGCTTTGTGAAAAATATTCATGCTTCATGATACTTAGAACAGAACATTAGTTGTCAAGGCATGGAACATAAGTATTTCATCTTTTTTTTCTCTCCTTTCATTGTATATGAAATATGAAATTTCTTCCTTACATTTTTAAGGCAAATTGAAATAGCTCTGTAGAACTTTATTTTAAAAAATGAAAATAAACTCCTTTTTTTGACTTTTTTCAGTCTTTGGAACGTTTAATGAGGCATCCAGAAGATAATCGCAACCAGATTCGGGAGCTGGCTCAGACTTTGACAGATGGTGGAATCTTGGATGAATTGATAAATGAGAAACTTGAGAAGTTTAATACTCGGTGGGAAGAACTTCAGCAGGAGGTATATTTAATGATCCTCCCATTAAGTAGAGGACAGTCTAACACCATTTTAAAAAAAAAAAAAAAAAGTAAAAAAAAGGGTTATTTTGTTAGTACAGTTCCTAAGCAGGTCACAAACAAAATTTTACATTAGAAGTGGTTTTGTGGGTGTGGTGGGTTAACTCCTGTAGGCAGCAAAACATCACAAGACTCCTCATCTCCTCATACTTTGGTGGAGATTATAGAAAAGGCAAAAGGGACAAAACTCATGGATTGAGGTTTGGATGATATTATAAATCAAAGAAAAAAGGAGTGAAAGCAAGTGATGCAGGAGAAATTATCTCCAGGAGACTAATATTCAACCAGTCCCCATGCAATGACAATTTTGGAAACCCTTTTCCCCACCTCTTTTTGTTGCTGAGCATGACCCTGTGTGGTGCTCAGGTCAGCTGTCCTGGCTGTGTCCTTTCAAAGCCCAGCCTGCTCGCTGGAAGGGCAGAGTGAGAGAGACAAGGCTGTGGAAGCCCTGCTCAGCAATGGCTGAAACATCCCTGGGTTACCAACACTTTTTTTGGCCACCAGTGCAAACCACTGAACCATACATGGTGCTGTGAAGAAAATTAACTCAGTCCCAGGCAGAATCAGCAAAATAGGTAACCCTAAAACTCCAAAATTGAAGTGACCATCTAGTGGATTATATTTTTAATTGCATATCTTTGACAAAACTCTTATCAAGAAGCAAATTATTTTCAAAATTAAACATGAGTAATATTTCCCACAGAAACATTTTATATTAAACAATAAATAAGTGTATCAATAAAAGGTTTAAAAAGACACTTCAATATAGTAATGTGTAACACAAGGAGAGCCAAATCTAGCAGTATGCTATAAATATGATGAAAATATCAGCTCAGTAGTGAAGTTTCTGAAGATCAGAAAGAATTATTAGGGAAAGACCTAGCAAAGGATGTAGACAGCCCCTTTATGACTGTAACCAGAACACACTCGAAGACAAGCTACAAATACTGTCAAAAATTACTTGGTTACCATGATAGAAATGATGCACAATTGCAGATTTTTGGACAGCAGCTCTATGAAAAGGATGACAATCTACCATTACAACGAAAAAAATTTTATTCCTTTCAGGGTGCTAGAAATATTCTTGTTTTTGAAAACAGGGGAAGTACTAACACTACTATAAAAATTATAGGAAGGTACTCAGCTGTTCTGAGAATAAACTTGAAGGATGGGGAGGGAAAGAACATGGTGGTAGTTCTGGTGCAGTGCAGGCATTCACATAATTCTGTGTCGCTGGACGGTGTCATAACAGAAAAGTCTGTATGAATTTCTATATATCTTCTCTTTTTGTAGCCCTTTTATTTTTATTTTTTTATTTTTTATTTTTTTTATCTCACTTCTGTTTGAAAGCAGATACACTCTGGAATTCTGCTTCTTGGTATTTGCTATTTTTTTACTGACTAGAAAACTAGGGATATGCAGAAAGTTTCTGGGGTGTGAGAACAGCATTTTCAAATAGTCTTTTTTGAGTGATTGTTGAATACTATTCAGTCACCACTAATAGATATTAAATCAAAATTCATAAAAGCTGCAGAGATTTAATTGCAAAGGCACATAATGAAGATGTTGTTTGAAATTCTGGAAATAATTTGGATGAGTATATAGGCAAAATACATTAGAAATTTATTCACTGCTATCCAATTTCTTTCAAAGATAGAAAAAATAATTGGGGTGGAAGGCTTCTTTAAAAGCTTCTTTGAAAGCTTGATCAGATAATAAGTACTTAAATACTAATGGTGAGATTTAACTCTGAAGTGGAAAAACAAACTTTTTTTTTTTTATAGATTTCTGATAATGAATTGTCTGTGCTGTTTCTGTAGTCTCTTGAAATGCAAGCTGCATTCCCCTTGTATAAAAATATATTACAGGCACATAGCACAAGTCAGCTCATGTTCAAGGTCACTTCTTCAGACAGGCTAATTGGCAATCCTAAAGTGGTGAGGTTATTTGTTTTTATTTGAATAATTGTGTGGGTAATTACCAAGACAATAAACTTATGTGGGCAGAAACTGATACGTGAAATATTTATTCACTACTAATAGAGCAACCAAACCAACCCTCTTCTGTATGAATGATGCTGCAAGACAATGCAGCTTTGCTACTGAGATAGAGATTCACTTTTAAAGGCAGATAATGGCTTTATGTTTGTGTGCCTTATCTTCTTTAGTTAACAAAGACTGAGCGTGTTTAGTTTGCTTTTGAACATTTGGGGTTGACTGATAAGCAAGGTATACCCTATCCTTACTTTTCAAGGACTGATTCACTTACAAATCTATATTTGGGATTTAAGAAACACTAAAGAGTTTGAAGCTAATATTGCAAGCAACTGTCAATGCTAAAAGTGATTTACATCCTGTCCAGCAAACTTCAGAAATGTCAATCAGATATTCTTGAGACCGTGCTTGCAAAAAACTGTACAAAACATTATTGTTCACATGGGCTTTGCAATAGACTCAATTATTCTTATTGGGCCCTTTCTCATAATTCATTTTGGGACTCCCCTGAAGATTACTTTTGGTTTCTTTCAAAGAGCACACATTCATCATTTGACACAATTTTTCTGTTTTTCTCTCCTCTCCAGAGGAGAAAGAGTATTTCAGGCCCCAGCTCCACATGATTGCTTTAAAGGCTGCTAAGAGGGCTGTTTCTACAAGTTCTGAGGCATTATCTGCCTGCAGTGATAACCTAAAGAGATAGAAGAGCCTTCATTGGTATAGTTTGCAGTTTTGGAATTCAGTTGATCAAAGTTAAATATCACTTAATGGCTAGGAGGTCAAATATTTGAAGCTGCTTACTCTGTAAGCACACTGGGTAGAACTTGCAGAAGAATTAGTTCTAGGTTGGAAGGTATCAAAAATTCATGGGTCCAAAGATAAAGTTTTGAATTTTACAAAAAAAATTCTAATTAAAGTTTAAACACAAACATTAATCCACTCTGAGATTAAGTGGAGATTAACATGTTTGGACTTCGATGCAAGGGATAGAGAGAAGTTGTGGTATATCTCAGTCAGAAACATTATAACACCAAGACTCAGGCTAAAATTTAATTTTAAACAAGTTAGGAAGAAATTTTAAAATTTGCTTGCTTTATGTTTATGTTGCCTCTGGCAACATTTCTTAATGAGCCAAGAGTTTAACTGGGACAAAAAAAACCCCAGCAAGCTACGATTTCTGCCTTTCTTAGCAGACCTTTTTCCATGAGCTGTAACTTATAAGCGTAAAGAATTAAATTCTGCATTTTAAATAAGTGTATCCTGTAGTAAATATGCTATAATTTTCAAAAGGTTTTGTTCTATTATTTTCCCACAGCCCAGCTACTGAGTACTGCCACAACAACATTATTTGGTTTTAACCTTAAAACTCTAACCAACATCTTAATAACTGTGTGTGTGACTGATGTCATTAAATAGATTAAAGGTATTACTTAAGCAAAAAGTGGCAATATCCATAAATACAACATTATAACATTCAACATCACAAAATTAACTGTGGTCCTTTCCCTTAATACTGCATTTTATATGGATGATATGCAATGTTGCTGTTTCCTGGATTTATTGTTGCCCTTTGGTAAATCAAAAACAGTTTTATGCAAGACATCATATCATAAAAAGTGTTATGTTTATCATGAAACCACTAAAAATCTTTAAAAACCCATAAAGTCTTAAAAAAATATTCTTTCCTTTCTTTGTGCTTCTCTTACATTATGTTAGTACCAAACAGCAGATTTTTTTTTTCTTTGAATTAGTTTTCCATGACAGCTGTCAACATTTTATTGGCTCAGAAATAATAAAACAGTATTTTCCAGAGATTTCCTATTTAGCAATTAACTGTCAAGCACTTCTCTTAAGAGACCAAAGCTTCCAGCTTTATTGATTATGATCTGATAGCAAAGCTGGAGCTTCTTGTTATGTTCTCAGACCCATTTGCACACTACAATGTTAAGCTATCTATTTCTTTTTTCACAATGGAATAGAAAACCCATAATATTTCAGGAAACAAACAAATGAACCACCCAGAACATCATAAATTAAAATAAATTTATATCATGAATATTTAAAATTTCAGCTCTCAGCTCTCATATGCCTTTAAAGAAAAAGGCCCATATAGATTTTCACAAAGACAGACATGAGTTCTAAGGACAAATTTGAAATTCAGGTCCACAGATTTAAATGTGTAGTAGGACTATTCCTCTTTGTAAAGCATTCTAATGCTTGTGCCTACCAACAATTCTTTTCTACTGAAAGACAAGGAGGTGGCATCTCAATATTGTGGCATTCCCCTTGATTGAATTTATTCAATATTCTGCAATGCCAGTGGTAGAACCAGGGATCTACTTAGTGAAAAAGATTAGCTTTTTGAATCAACTGTTGCGTACCGGAGAAATATGTTATGTTACTTGGGTGTATACAGTACAAAGTATAAAAGGTGTATACCTTTTATAAGGTTACTGTAAAGATTTTCATTCCATTTGTTGTGGGAATTAAACAGGGTCAGCTATGGGATTGACTTTAGATGAACATGCAGGGCAGGGTCTGTTTCCAATAAGCAATGCAGACAAAAAAATTAAAGTAGCACTGATTCATATCTGAGAAAAATATCACAACTCTGAAAGTAATATTTCCCAGAATTCAACTGTGTGCCTCTTCTCCCATTGCCAATATAATTCCTCTCTTTTACTGCTGCATTCATGTCTTGGTCTGACATCATTCATTCACTCACCTAAACTGTTGGCTTGGGGAAAAGTACTCAGCTCACTTGGAAGAGGCAAAATGTCACACAGCTTCTCAGGCTGTAATCAGATTCTCTCTGAGGACAGTTTTTGTTTGTTTTGGTGTGTGTGTTGTGTGCACATAAGGACATCATAGGCATGAATATATATCTATCTGACTTCATGTTTGCTTGAGATACAAATGTAAAAATTCAGTCACGCTCATGCAAGGATTTATTGGGTTTTTTTTCTTAAATTTATCTGCTATAATATTTGACCAATGAGTCTTCAATTTTTTTCTATTTGTATTCTAACACTGAATTTTGGTATACACAGTTTCTGATCATATAAGCACAGAGATGAATTTTTTTTCCATAACTTCTTATTTTTCGTGGAATTTTAAGACTGTGAATTTGCTTCATTTTGCTGCTTCATTGTGTGGTGGTGTTTTTCCCCCACTCTTTTTTACGTGCATACAGTGTGCTTCTCAGGCTGGCAGCAAATGTATCTGTATTTAAACAAGTCCCTAATTCCAAATAGTAGCTAGCATGGGACAGCATTTTACATATGTTCAAAGCTTCAGGTGCTGCTATAAAACTAGTTTATCAGATAGATGTAACACCAGATTTGTGTCCAGTATTTTAAATTCTCCAGAAAGTGCAAACACTTATTTGGATGAATCATAAGAATGGAGCTTTATCAGTGTCTTATTTGAAGTGGTGAGCTTTTCTGCACAAAAGGGCACTGCAGCCCTCAGGAGGAGTGGATGTGTGTTAGTACAAACAGTTAAACCACAGAGATCAGTAAAATCAGGGAAGTTCTTCCATGATTCTTCCATGCTTCCAGGAGGATGGCCTTACCCATCAGGGTACTTAAAAAGCTACTTATCCTGTTTCTGATCAAATCTGTCTTTCAGTCTAGCCCACAGTGACGCAAATTGATTGATAGAGAGTGTGTCTTAGCCAGGCTTACAAATCAGTAGTAAGTAGTGAGAAGGTAAATGGAAAAGGTGGTCTGTGGGTTTTAAACTCACTGCTTTGAACAGGCCAAGAAGATTTTTATGTTAAAATCTCAAACCAGATGAAGCTAAAAGTCATTTAAGTAGCAGCCTTAGCACTGCAGTAGGGTAATAATACCTTGGTGGTTTAGGTGCTCCCATTTACACTGACAGCATGAGTCTGATATGTAAAGCTGCTCAGTTCCAGAGAAGGTTCCTGGAACTTGCAGTGATACAAGATTATCTGATCAGTTGTTTTGAAATAGCACAGAGCAGCTTACAAAAACAAATATAGAAAATACTGGTTGGATCTCCCTATCCTTTAACTAAGTCAAACAGCTAGCAAGAATGCTCACAAGAAATAATCTTCTTCATTTGTTATATGTGAAGCTCTGCAAGAATCTGAGATCCATGAAGAAGGTGCAGATATATCAAATATTTTCACTGAATTGCTGACAGATATTTTTGTCCAAGGACAGAGTGTTGTAATGGGTATGAAATCAAATTAAAGTATAACTGGCTTTCCAGAGAGAAAAAGTGTGATTTGACTAGAAAAATGGCAAGGTATCTAGCAATGTATTTAAAGGGTGCTTGCTTTCACCTTTGGTTCATGTCAAATTAAGTTAGTCACCTTATTCTCGGGGCAGCAATATGGCTTGACTTGTACACAGACAAACTATGTTGTATTTGAAGTTACTGGTAATTATTGTGTGTTTTGTATAAAGCAGAAACTCTGCTAGGCAGTGGCTGGGGTCCCAATAAAATATGAGTCTGTGGGTAGACACAATGACAGATGGAAGAATGTACCGGGTTATTTATTACCTGATAAAGTATTGGAAATAATATTTAAAGCTGACTCATTTATGTGAAGTGTTTAATATATGTGTGTTTTAAGGACAACTTGGTTGGAGAATTTATTGTCCTGATTTGTTAAACAATAAACTCAGCTCCTTTGAAAGGGAAACAGCCTTCTCCAAAAAAGGGTTGTGTAAAAAGCCATGGTGGCACTACTGGTGGAATAGAAGCAGGATTCAACTTTTTAATTTTTTTTTTCCTACAGGAGGAAGAAAGTAGGCATTGCCTATTCCAAGCAGCTATTTATGCTTCATATAAGAGAAATCCAGCTCAACAGAGTCTTTATCCCTCTCACTTACTGAGGTGGATTGCTTTGGATAGGATTGTGATGACAGTAACCCTATTCTCAGTAAACAAAGTCTCCTGAGTTACATAATAAGATCAGGAGGACCTCTCTGCCTCAGAGAGAAAGACAGCACTGCCAGGATGGTTTGCTTATGAAGCTTTGCCATCTTGCACTCTGAATAGCAATCCTCAGTTTACACAGTTTTGGTTTTTTTTGGGATCCTTCTCTTTTTAGAACTTGTCTGTGGAATCTGGGTGTTGTTTCTTAGCGAGAAATCTGAATGGGTGGCAGTAAGATGCGCAATTTATCCTACAAAAAGGTGGATGAGCGCAAGTCAGGAGCCTTCTGTCTGATTCTTTGCCTGAATTTCTTGGGGGAAAAAAAAAGTGTGGAAGAAAATGTATTATATGCATTATTACTGTGAATGCTGATAATGTTGTCATTGTTTCTAGGCTGTGAGAAGGCAGAAAAGTCTTGAACAGAGTATTCAATCTGCACAGGAGACTGACAAAACCCTGCGCTTGATCCAAGAGTCTCTGGCTGTTATTGACAAACAGTTAACAGCCTACACTGCAGACAGAGTGGATGCAGCACAGGTCCCTCAGGAAGCACAGGTAAGTTAAACACAGGTTGAGCTTATGTGTTGACTGGTTTTCCTAATCAACCAAAGAGTGTTTGGTTGTCCCTCAGCCTCTCATTAAAGAGGATTTGCAACATGATCAGCATGAAAGTGCAAGCAAATTTTGTGTAGGATTACTTTGAGATGTTTAAGCTACTCTCCTAGTAAAGTCATATTTTCCTTCTGATTTATATTATATACCAGTCCAGAAGATGTACAGAACTTTAAATGTCACAGAAGACTATGCAGTAATTTTAAAAAGGCAAGGATAAACAACGTCATTCTTTAAAATCCAGCTCCCATCCTAGAAAGAAGAAATTCATCATCCTCACTACACTTAGATTACTCTTTTGCAAAGTCAATTATGTGGTTTGTTACTAAATTATTGAAACATAGACAACATTGTTAATTATTTCATAACATGCACATCAATGTACTTATATTTAAATTTTTACAGCTCATGTAAGTTCAATAGAAAAAGCTTTTCCCAATCTTCACACATGGTTTATTTAGCCTTTGAAATAAAAATGTGCATCTAATTATCATTTTTACTCCTTCCTTCTTCCTTTCTTTCTTCTGTAAGGTCTGCTTTACTGCAGCATTAAGAGGGTAAGAATATTAATGAAATAAAACCAAATATCTCTGCAATAAAAATATCAATCCTCTATAATGTTGTATACCTAAACTTCTACGTTAATAATTCAGTCTAAATTTAGGCAGTCAGATTATGAAAGTAAACAGGGAAAAAAACCTAGAGGGAAGTTGAAAATGAGAGCTTTTATAATTAATAGAGATACTCAATTATGGGTTTCTTTGGCATGCCTGTAGAGTTATAAGTAATTCTAAATAATAATAATCTTGTATGGAGTACCTTAGATGATCTTAAATATATTCAGATCTGAAAATATGCAGCCCTGAAAATAATTTTTTCTCTCCTTTAAGAAATAAACTTTATTATGTCTTTTGAATTAACATGTAGATGGATGTACCGTTCAGTTACTTTTTGTGAGTGGGCACTTGTAAGTACACACAGATATTTTTATGTGTATGTTGGGACTATAAATGCTGTATTTGAAAAGTAGGATCACATCTGGATTCAGTCTTATTTTTTAAATAGTTTTTATCCTACTTTATTTTCTTCTAATTTTTTTCAGTATAATATCAGATTTGGAAAACCTTTTTCAGTTTGAATCATAAACAATGTTAACTATCTGTTGACTCCCTTGAATTATTTTTCTTCTTCCTAGAAATAGGATTGATGTAAAAAAAATTTAATGAGATAAAAATTAGCATTTTTTTAAAGATGCATCAGTTTAAGTTCTCATCTTGTAATTATATGAAGTGAATACATAAGAAAAAAATTATATGAAAATGTACTTTTTTTTTGTTGTGTTGGACCCTCCTTACATGTTTCACATGTCCCATGGATGCATCTGACTTATGTGCATCATCAGGTACCATATTGGGAATTACTGCAGACTGTGTGAAAGGAAGTAATTCAGAACTTCAAAAACTGAAGCAGGACAAAACCCAACCAACCTTAATTAGCACACTTTCACGACAAAATTTCAGCTCAGTGCTTTTGCAGAACTTGTTATTTTTCTGGAGATTTTATTGTTTAATGTCAGGTCCACCTGATTGTATTATATCCACTATGGGAAAACCAGCATAGAGGCTGATGATTTTTTCCCTTTCATGTTTTTATTTTATGGTGCCAGTGAGACCTAATGAAAAAAAACTTAATTAACAACTGAACAGGTCTAATGCAAATATTGACGTTCTCTGAAGTTCAGTTGTGAATCTCTTTGAAATCCTTAGAGGGAAAGGGAATAAACAATGATTTTTATGTGGATAGATAGACTGAGTCATTCCTCCAGCAAGCAGCCACCCCAGCCAGTGGCAGAGCAGGCACATCCTGAATGGCCACGTCTCCTGTGGAGCTTCTGCTGGCACCATTTGGTGGAGCTGAAAGCAGTTCATTCATATAAGATACCTACAATAGTGTCTGCACAGCTGGAATGGGAATCTTTCAGTCAGTGATGTTGCTTTCTGGCCAGGGATCAGTTTATCCATGCTGAGGGATTTAGCAGCCCATTCAGCAATATGTGTTGCACTTCTGAAAGAACATATGGGGGAATTTATAATCAGAAAGCTGCTGAGCTTGGGAGCTCTGTGTGTTTGCTTTAAAAAATTCAAATCCATTTAGAGCATTGATAGGAGGAATAATCTTTGTTTCATCTGATCAGAAATTAACTTGAGAAAACAAAATTATATTTAGCTCCTCTTTTTAAGTGAAATGGTCAGTTTAGTTTATTCAGAAACTGGGCAGAAAGAAAGGGAGTCAAAAGTGTGCAGTTCAACTTATTCTTAGGATCACTTTTTGAATGTAAATTCCATGTGCTTCTTACTCCACCATGTGGCACTGAGACTTTAATGCTAGAGAGCCAAAGTTACTTGAATTGTTTGGGGTACAACTGAAGATGATGTATTCAGACCAAAAAACCTAACAGCAGACCACACAGATAAATCGATTCAGATTCCTCAAGGCCCAATTATGACAAAACCATGAGTGAGGAAAATTCTAGGGCAGTATTTCAAAAGGAAACATTATTTGTTTGTATGCTTGGTATCTCAAGATCCCAGTGAAAAAATTTTTTGTACTTCTAAACTTACCAAAAAAATACAGAGAATTACATCATCATCACAATAATTTGCAGTTGGTGACTTTTTTAAAATTATTCTTTAACTGATGGGACAAAAATAAACCTGTACCAAAAATATTACATTTATATGTTGAAATATTTTTCAAATAATAATTTGTAGCTTTGTTAATCAACAACTTTTGATGGAAGAATTTCTACAGTGTATTTCTGCGTAGTCTGAGTGACTACATGAATATTTTTACATTGAGGGAAAGAAAATCGACTTATTTAATTTCTCACCTGTGTATGTCAAATCACTTGTCTCTTGTTCTCCCCAGTCAAACTATTTAAATTGTGGTGTGGAGAATAATTCAATACTGTGTTTTTTGAAAAGTGAAGAAATAATCTACCTTTTCAATAAAATGCTTGGATAATTTCAGTTCTGTAGTGATAAGTACTACATGCCTGACTGTTTCCTAATTGAAGGTGCCTTTTAATTTTTTTTAATAATAACTTTGTGCTTTGTTCAAAACTAAAGTTAATGGGATGATACAATGGCAGAATGGTTCAGTTGTACAAGATGTTACTGGACAAGATGATGCCATGCCTCATTGCCTTCAGACTAACGTTTTGGGACAAAGAACTCACAGTTGCCTACTGAGGAAAATGTTTAAATTACCTACACTTACCTTTCCTCTGCTGGAAATTGTGAGGATTGTTTTGTTCAGCCATGTGTGGGTCAGAGGGAAGAGCTGATAAGTGTTATTCAGAAGTGTAAGCTTACATTCTGTTATATATTAAGTTTGATTATCTATGCAGATTTCTGTACTACACGTGTTGTCCCCCTCTGCACGTCTCCATAGCATCTGAACACCGTGTTTTAACTGCATTTGTCATGTCCAAATTGCTCAGTATTGCCTTGTCAGTCATGGTTCAAGCCTATTCTGCCTTTCTTTTCTCATTTGGACTCTACAGTTAATATTTCTTTTGTGAAAGTTAGCGTCCATAACAAAGCATGCAGTTTGAGTTAAGAACTACCTGTTTGTTCTTTGTGCTGTATCATCCTCTATTTATATGTTTTTATATGTATATATATGAATAAAAGTTTTGCAAATTTTCTGAAAGATTGCCAGTGATGTCAAATGAGAATCCTTAACCTTTGTTGCATTCATCTATTGTTGGACACAATAGTTTATGCACAGTACATTGTATTCTGATGTTCTAGAAATTAAGTGAAGGCAGGTTTTGCTCTTTATTAAAAAAAATAGAAAAGAAATAGACAAAAACCAATGAGAAAAGAAGAGATGGGGATAATACAAGAAAAAAATAGTGTTTTCTTATGGATGTTAAGAAGTTCATACAATAAATTTGTGAGTCAGAAGAGACACAAGAGTCAAAGTGGTCATTTAAAAATTGAACGATAATGGACATCACAGGCAGGTGCTATAAATTTTTTCATAGCTGTTCATGACTGATTTATTTTTTCTGCCTGTCAACAGCAGTAGCAAATAAAAAAAAGAAAAAAAGAAAAAATGGCTTAACTGGCTATAAGCCTTACTAACTTTTCTTTTAATCTTTTGTCTAATGTGTTTGTTCTCTTCCAATTCCACATTTTGATGTCAGAGAAGATGATGCTTCATCTCTCTCCTGCAGAGCAATTTAAAACAGTAAGATAGAACAATCTCTATGCAATGTCCCATAATACCTAATTGCTTAAACACTCCTCTTATCTGTGCTGTGTTGTTCTGACCTATTCAGATAAGAATGGTTATGTGCTTTCCAGAGTGACTCCGAGGTTGAACAAAGTAAATTGGAAAATGAAACCAAAAACCAATTTGTTGATGAGGTGGGGAAACAAACTGTTGAAATACCAGGTGTGGTACAGTATATTTTTTAACATTCAGACTCTCTTCTTCCTTTCATATGCAATTCCAGCATTCAAGATGAAGAAATTATTTGGCTTCAAGTACTAAATAAATGCAAAACTATTACAACTCAAACACACTTCAGAAGGAAATTTTAAACTTACACGAGGACAAAATAAATGCTCAACAATTAAATAAACCTTCCTTTTCTTGATGGAATCATTCTTTTAATTGACCATTTTTGTTTGCTCAAAATTTAATATCATATTTAGAAAAATTCTATTATTTGCTCCAGATGTTTCTGGCCATTCATTAAATAGCCCTGTCAAGGAGAACTCAAAATATGAAAAAAACAAAAATGTATAATTATGATAATTTTAGAAGAAAAAAAATAATCTAAATTTGGAGCTTTCTGCTAGTCATTTTGCTTTTACAAATACTTTGCTTTAGAAAAATATTTTAATTCTCTAAATAGTACTGACTAAGTTAGAGTCATAAATACAATCTTGCAGTTAAACTTAGTAAAGACTTTATGGTTTCATGTATTTTTCCCCTAAAATTTAATTTAATACATATTCAGTACAACTTGTGAAAATCTGCTTTCAGTTAAGTGTTGAAATACATATGACATTATAATGGTATACAAGTCATTATAAACATGTAATAGCCACAAAAAGTAGGCAGCATATGTTGTACACAGCTTTGTATTTCATAACCTATAAAAATGTGATTAAAAATACATGGATATTATTTTTACTATTAAAGTTGCTGTAGTGTAAGATAAATTTATGTACATATATTTCAAATTATAGCTGGTCTTCAGGGCATCTGAAAAATGCTATATTCCATTAAAAAAAAAGATTAAATGAAAAATCACTTTCTAATGCAGGAGTAATGGTCTCAAATGCATCTCATGATGGGAACATAGCTTTGTGTCTTTATTTCATAGGGTAATTTTTTTTCTGTAGTCCTGTCTAGAAATTCTGCTAGTAACAGTTTCTTATTTTCTAACAATTTAAACATAATTATATGCAAATCTTCCTGAAGTATAACATATCAATATATTTTCTGGGAATTCTTTTCCATTACATTGCACTGCTTAAGTTAATTTTGTCTTGTAAGGTTGATTAATGGTGACCCAAAAAAAGCTGATGTTTTTCTTTGGACCACACTCTGATTTTGCAGACAGACATAACAAGCAATATTTGTTACAAAATGCATTGTTAGTATATTAATGAACTGTGTGTCATTGTGCATTTAGCTACAGAAAACTGACATTGAGCTTAGGTTCTGGTCAGTAGAATGCCAAAAATTGTGTACTGTTTTAGATATAGCACAGCTCTCTAAGATGAAGACGATGTTATACTTGCAGGATATCTCAATTAGTTTTCTCTCAACTTGCCTTGTGATGCTGTGAAAATGAGTGATAAGAGTGAAGCAAATAACTTTCCTATTCTTTTTTCTATGGTTATTTTTTAATGTTCTTACCAATGAAAACTGTTGTTTTCCTTCAGAAAAAAAGTAAATCCACATTCAGTCCCTTAATCATCTGTGTCTCCCTCTGCTGGAGCTGCTGCAGGATTTGCATGTTTCTCTTGCACTGGGAAGCCCAGAGCTGGACACAGAGCTCCAGATTCAGGACTGAGCTGAGGGGCAGGGTCACGTCCCTCGTGCTGCAGGCAGGGCTGTGCAGGCTGGTACTGCTCTTCTATGTGCTTCAGATCAACTGCTCCAAATAATTTAAACATCATACAATTGTCCCTCAAACCTTGCTGACTGCTGGCTTTGTTTTCCAACAGAAAATACAATCTGAATTAACAAGCCACGAGATTAGTTTGGAAGAAATGAAGAAACGAAATCGGGGTAAAGATGCTGCCAAAAGAGTGCTTTCCCAAATTGATGTGGCACAGGTAGGCAAATTTTATTTCCACCATTTTTCCTTCATTTAAATGAGTAGTATGAGTGGTACTCTGTCATGGAGTGTTATTGAGTTATCTCTTCTGCTTTAGCCAGAAAATCAGAGAGGATAAAGCATACCATCCATATCTTCTTCCTGCTCACTTTTTCATTCCAGCCTTCTTGATCACTGGCAGCAGTTCTAGGTTGTGCAGGACTGGTGTAACCAACTGGTAGGGACTCTGTATAATAGGGGGTGCATTGAATGTGCTGAAGTTTCAAGAGATAGAATTACAGTGGGTCTTTTTTGATGTAAGTTTTGAGGTATTGGAAAATATTTACTGTCAAAAATAGGTTAAAATATTTGGAGGTCTTTAGTAGAACTGCATTTGAAATACAAATTATGCTGAGCTGTGCAATTCAGACATCAGTCTGAAATATTAGATAATGCATTAATTCAGCTAGCTTAACAGATACAGAGGGACCTTCTTGAAAATGAAGAAGACTGAATAAACAACAGAGAAAAGCTATTTTGCTGGTTTGGGGTTTTTTTGTTGTTGTTGTTCTGTTGTTTGGTTTTTTTGTTTGTATTTTTTGGTAGGTGGAAAAAAAAAAAATCATAATTTATTAGAAAGACAAATAATTTAATTATTGCCTTCTTTGATTCATCCCTCTCAGGTATTTCTAGGCACCTCAGTTTGGGTTTTAGTTCTTATTATGGGTATCATTAATTGCTTTTTAGAAGTTAATTAATTTGAAATTAACAAATTGACTTTTTAAACTGTTTCATCTTTTGTACAGGACTAGATTTATTTGTTGAGAATATTTATGTTTCCTTATTTTTCTGCTTTTCTTCATACTAACTCACCTCTGATGGTCTCCATGGCAGCTGTGAAGTTTCCCATATTTCATCAGTGAAATGCAGGCATCAGATGGTTGTGTAAATAAATGTTTGTGAATTCAACAACATGCAAGGGAGCACAACCCTTTCTGTGTGCCTTTTTTATTAATCCACCTCTGTGCAGACATTTTTCTCTTTGTAAGGTTTCTCTAGTTGATGATGTGCACCAGTTTGAGTTTTGAAAAATGGGTGGAGGTCATCTTGAGACACTGCTTTGTTGACTTTAGATGAAAGATAAACAAAAAAGTAGTAATTTACATGCATAATGTAAATATCAACTACCAAACCAGGTAGAAGCTGAGCCCTTTGTTACACATATTTATGACTATATTTGATTTTAGGCCACTGAACTCTCATGAACTCCTTTCCATCATTGTGTTACCTTGAGTGGTAAAACACATTTCATGAGATCAGTCTTCACTTACTTTTTGATGAAGCTCATTCTCACTTAAATTATTTCCTCTTTTATTTTTGGACTAAGTAATATTTCTAATATGACATATTTCTTCTGTTATTAGTTCTAGTGCCTGGGCAGAAAGTCAAAAACTATACAAATGAATAAATGCATTGAGATTGTGAAACAACTGTTAACTGTGGCCAAATTTATCCTGCCTTTTTGGATTATTGTAGGCTGAGGCCTAAATTCTGATTTCTAAATTTAAGGGGAAATGTATGATTAGCAAGATAAAATTCTGTGTCTGCCATTGTGATATAATACCTAGTTACTCCTAACAGTCTGAGAATTGTTATATGAATGTAAAATCTTTTCTAAAGAATGGTTATTTTTCAAAGTTCAGTACTGAATGCTTTTCTGGTCAACTTTTTTGAATACATTCTCTATTGTCTCTTTTCTAAACTGAATAATATCTAAAGCATACTGAGACTTTTAGATAAACAGCTTTCATTTTGCTGTCATTCTTTATAAATTTTCAATTTTAAAAATAACTTTTTGAAACAAGGTGATCAAAAATGAGCGTTCAGGTACAAAACGGCTTCCTACAATGTCTTTTATACTTTGACAGGTACCTCATTTTTGTTTTTTTCATGTTCCAAATTGCTCCAAATACCCACTTTGCTTGTTTTGCTGCTTTTAAGCACTGAGATTATATTATTTTAAAACTGTTGGAGATATAAGCATATAATATAGCTGTTATTGTTATCTGGCAGAACCTGAGTGAGAGTGCTAAGATAATTCAGATCCCACTGGTATGTCAAGCTTAGTGTTTCTCTGCATTGCTTAGTTTTTGGGTGAATTAAAAATAATTTGCCTTTGTTTCCCCCTACAGATCCTCAGTATTTTTTAATCCTTCAGTGACTCTTTGCAGATGGTTTTGATTCTCTCTGCTATTAATACTGTCATTCTCTCACTGTCTAAATATCTTTTAATGTGTTGACCAACACAAATGGTAACTGATACAGATGTGGCAGTGGAAGATTCCCACAGGATTTGAACTTGATCAAATTGAAGTGTCAGAGAATGAAAAACTAATTCCAAACAAATTCAGTGCATGCAAGCAGTGAAGAAAAATAAGACCTCTTATTCCTACCCTTGTTTCCTACTTTTATTTAATTATCCACTTATTTATTGTCAAAAATACTTCATTTCTTATCTCATTGGATGTCAATTTCATAAAAAATATTTAATGAGGAAAGTTATTGAAAGGAGTTGCTGGATATTTGCATACTTTTCTGTGGTACCCCAGGTTGGCTGCTGCTCATGATTCCTGCCTCCTTTTCAGAAAGCGGATAGATGTAGGAAGGGTTTTTGCCAATGCCTATTTATAGACCAATTCTATGCTTTATTACAGTTTTTCCTCAAATCTTTATGGCACAGACCACATTGTAGTGTAATAAAATGTCTAAGATTTGAAGAAAAAAAAAATCAGAAGTCTGTTTGCAGATGCTGAGTTCCTATTTAATTACTTAGCTATTTCTTAGTGACATTTATTATTTCTTTTTGCTCCCCAGAGAGTTGAAAATAGTACTTTGCTCTGTACTTCTATAGAGAAATTATTTCTTATTCAAGTATATAATTAAAATTCCTTTTCTTTATTTTTAATTATTTCCCCTCCCCCTGAGGTGTGGGTCATGTGAGCAAGCAGTCTAATTAATGCACAAATATAGAAAATTCTGAAAATGGTGAAATTAGAAGCCAAGCTTGTTATAGATTTTTTTTCTGCCTTCAAATTGCTTTCTTTTTACTCTAGGTTATACTTTTTGTAAATTTAAATATAAATCAATTTTACAGCCTAAATCTTGGGGTTTGTGCTAGACCTGCTTACTGCCATTTAAGTTTCTTTGAAGGACTAAAAGATTCGTTCCTTGTACCAAGAAGCAGCAACTGAGTTGTGCAATGTGGATGGCTTATCCTCAAGCCATTAAATCTGTCTTTTCCCCATGCCCACAAGCATTTTGCATATTGAAAAATACAAAATATCTCCCTTTCTTTATGTGTGTATGCAGGCTCTTTTGCCACAGGCTCTGCTGCATCCAGTGCCCTGGATGATGATCCTCCAGTGCAGACCCAAGATTCTCTGCCACTGGCATTTTCCCCAAAAGTTTTATATTCTTTTAATGAGAAATTGCTGATTGACAATGTAATCTAAGTATTCTGTAACAGGACTAAGACTTGTCTTCAGCACTGATTTGATTTCACACTTTGTACTCACCCATGATTACTTTTCAGAAAAAGCTGCAGGATGTGTCGATGAAGTTTCGCTTGTTTCAGAAGCCAGCCAACTTTGAACAGCGCCTCCAGGAATGTAAAAGAATTCTAGATGAAGTGAAATTGCAGGTGCCCAAGCTGGAGATGAAGAGTGTTGAGCAGGAAGTAGTACAATCACAGCTGGATCATTGCATGGTGAATATTTAAGATGCTGTCTTTCTATCGGCTTTATATAGAGAAAGAGAAAAAACAGAGATTATTGTCCTTAATTCAGATGAGAAACAAAATATCAGTTACACAAAAAAATCCAAAACCCAAACCAACAAAAACCACAGAAAAACAACAAAACCCCCTTCAAAACTCTAGACATGCACTTTGACTATTTGAGAATACCAGCTAGGATCCCTTTTTAATTCCCAGTTCCTGTCCTGCCATTGAATTCACCTCCCCGTATTGGCTCTATTTTCTGCAATATTCTACATGTTCAGTGTAGATATCATGTAGAGTCATGGAACTCTTATGACATAACTGAAAGAGGTGTTACAGAACACAAGTCTATTCTAGCCAGGAAACACAAAGCATAATGGAAACCCATATATTAAAACTTCCATGAGATGGCATGCTATGGCTTTCTTTCAGTTCAAGAGCAAAAGATGACCTGAATAGATTCTAAAGAGTATGAGGAAAATCTGTACATTTCTCTTTAATATCACTATAATCCTGTTCCCCTTTACACTTGAAGGGAAATAAAGCTAAACACTGTGTTCTTGATGATCATGAAAAGATTGTAACAGCAAAACTAGATGGATTATCTTTTTTGTTGTTCTTGTTCAGATTTATTTTGTTTGTTGGGGTTTTTTTGGTTTTTTGGTGTTTTTTGGCATGCCTGAAGATTTCCCCCTCCCGACCTTTTTCAGCATTAAATGCAGAAAGAATTTAAATTAAAATAAAAAACATGGGGCAAGTCAGTGTTGTTGCTTTACATCTTTTGTTTTTCTTAAACAAAATTGCTCTTAAATTCATATTCTTGTGAGAATGACATTCTTATTAGAATGATGTGGTCGTTAGAAGCTCTGTACTGAATTAAAGTGTCTTCACTCAGCAGCCAGTTTATGCAGTGCTGATGTATTTTGTGGAAGACTTAAAGTGATTTTAAAGTCTCTTTAACTGGAAGGATTCTCATAAAGTTCCTGTTTTTCAAAATCTAGTTGTAATTCATCAGGATTTAGACAGTGTGCATCATACAACAGCTTACTAATTTGTTGATAGGTTTCAAGGAATGAAGAATTTGTCATCATATTAAGCACCTAGAAAGGACTTGGACTATATACATACTGCTTTAAGTAAATACAGTAGTAATAATTTAAGTAAATACAGTAGGTCCACCTCATTTTTTTACTTTTTTTATGTAGGTTTTTTAATTAAGTCAATTCTTCAGTGTATGGCACTTATTAAATATAGGGGTAATCCTCTGTCCTTCCATTGTCTAGATTTAGCAGTATGAAAAAATGACAGATTTTAAAAACTAGTGGCTATTTGTAGTTCAAATCTATCCAATATTCTGTATGAGTTGACAGAAGACATCTGTTGTTGTTTTAAATACTACATTATCCAAGTTTGAGAACAGCCTCAGTCACAGCCTAAAACAATTAATGGTGATGTTTACTTTCTAATGTATAACATTTCTAACATTGGTTTTAGTGACATAGCTTTGAGGTCACTGTGAAGATGGGCTGTTCTGAATTTGTTTGGATTCTGAATGCTTCCAATGGTCTTTCCTAGTTTTCAAGTTTTAATGGTGGTGTTTCGCTTTTATATTTCTATTTGATTAGAAATTATATAAAAACCTGAGTGAGGTGAAGTCTGAAGTGGAAACAGTGATAAAAACTGGGAGGCAGATTGTTCAGAAGCAGCAGACAGAGAACCCAAAGGAACTGGATGAAAGGCTTACGGCTTTGAAGCTGCAATATAATGAATTGGGTGCAAAGGTAAGTTCTGTGTTTTTAATATAAAACCATGTGTTGGCAAGATGAAAACTAACCTCAGTGTGGTAAGTAAATGGGGTTTTTTACTGGTTCCTTTTAAGATTCTTCCAGTGGGACTGAAGGAATGGAGGCAAAGGCAATCACCAGCATGGTTACTCAGTTTCTCTGAAGAGTAAAAGCAACCACCTAAGAAAATAAAAAAAATCTTTCATGACAATTCAAAATTTTACTTTTTTAATATATTTTTTTCCTGCTGGTTCCTTGTGAGTTCCTTTAGAGTTCAGATGGGGGATTTTTATTTTTTATTCTGATGCCTCAAAGTGTCACTTCAGATTAAGAAATTACTTAGATCAAGTTTTACTTATAGGGTTGCTTCATAAAGGAGATAATTCTACCTTTTAAATTACTTCTGCCTCTGACTGTACAGATCTTAAAGTATATAATGTCCATTTCTTGCTGTTCAAAAATCTGTTGAACAAAAAGCTCTTGCCACTTAAGCTTTCCTCAAGAGGAAAGTGTACCACAGTGTACCACTGTGCTTTGTGACTTCTGCACTTGCATGTGGTCAGTTTTTGTCATAACCATTCCCTGATTTAATTTTAAGATTCCCTGATTAAATTTTAAGAACCCTGACTTGCATTTTCATTGTGTCTTAATATGTTAGCCACTTCCCAATAGGACACTGTTTAGTTTACTCAATTTTCCCTAAAAGTCAACTAGGAAGAGTAGGATGGACAGGCTCCTAACCAACATTAACATGACTCAGAAGATACATTGTGGCAGGAAGGAAGACTTCATTTAAATAATTCAGTTAACACATATCCTTCATTACTCTGTTTTTTTTCCTCTTGCCCTCATTAGAACTATTCAAAGAACTTCTGAAAACTGTAGGATTAGAGTGAATTTGGTGCTGTGACTGGATGACTGAAAATTGTGAATGACAGATAATACCTGTCTGTTTATTTCTAAAATTTATACACTTGGAAAACACAAAACATGACAAAAAGAGAATTCTAGATTATAAATTATTCAAATCATAAATTATTAATATCTAGGAAAATGAGCCCATGGTAATACTGAGTGCCCGTATGTGGTTTAAACAGGTAATGAGAATCAAGCCCTGCTAACTACAGTATGATAAAACAGTAAGAGTTGTGTTACTTTTAACAGAGATAATACTAATTAGGGAATCTTAATTAAAACAGTTCTATCTTGCTAGAAAGTAAGGGTGTTAAGAGACATCAATCTTTTGAGTGTCAGGAAAACGTGTTTGCTTCAGTATGTGTGGATAGCTGCCATTTGGGATTGAATAATACGTTTGACTTCTCCATTATTTTAGAAAGAACTGTGGCATTTATTCCTGCATTATGTTTAACTTAACAGCAAACAGGTGCCATTATTGTAGGAAACCTCTCTTATCTAATGAAGGGATAAAAGTGTGCCATTAGGGTGCCATTAGTGAGTTGAAGTGAGCAATATTGCAAACTGATGTGTCTCAAAAATTTGCGATGCTGGTCTTAGCTCTTCTGCCCTAGATGGAATTTCTCACATTTACTTTTACACAGCATGGTAATTAACAGTTTAAGAGAAAGTCACAGAAGCCCAGATATATAGAAATAAAAGAATTGAATAGCCATTATCAGCACTAATTGATTGCATTGAGAAGAAGACTTATTAAGAGAAAACTATCCGTAGTTATAACTAATAGTAAGTCTCAGGATTGACATGTATGGTCTGAGGGAAAAATACATATTCAAGCATAGATTCACTTGTGTGACTTTGTAGGTGCTGTTTCAAGAGGTGCCCTCATGTATAAAGTAATTCACATTTTCTGACCTAAAAGGCCTTTAGAGGGCACTGTTTCCTATTTTTCTGTTGAAAATGCATCTTTACATTTGAAGTACTAACAAACTGATTAATCAGTAACCTCTGGATATATGCAATGTATTTGGAGATATTGTTGTATTATTTATATAATAATCACATTTTAGAGATGTATATAGGAACACAAATATTTTCTCTCTGTTTTGACAAGTATCAGTAACTTCATGTTAAAATATACCAGGTATTGAAAATTCTTAAACAGGCAATCCAGCTCAAGGTAGTACACTTTGCACTGTATTGCTGCTAAGTAATGTTATTTACAATTGCTATTACACTCTTCAGAAGAAGAGGTGGAAAACCTGGCTCCACATGTGAATGGAGCTCTAAAAAGCTGAGTTTTATGGTCCTTCCCAGGGATTTACCTCTTGGCCTGACTGTAAGTTCTGTGGTCTCATTTAATAAATTTGGCATGCAAGAAAGCACATAAAGCACACTCAGTGAAAAATGTTATGAGATTTCAGTAGTAAGCCTCTACAGAGTGATAATAAATCATGAGGAACGCTTTATAGCTTATTCCCTAGGCAAATCTCATCTCCTTACTCAGGGATAGCAAAAGCCATGTACCTAACCTTGTAACATCCTATTACATTTTAAAACCTCGAATTCTCCTTGGCAGTTGATCTACGAATCAATATGATCATTTTGCCACTACTTGTTCTTAGTAGCAAAGTACAAAATGGTTTTAGTAGATGCTGATACCAGTTTTCTGCTGCTGCTGTAGAAGGGTTTTTTCTATTTAAAAATACTTAAATACAAATCAGAGGCTACAGTCTTAATGTGATTACTATTTGACATTTAAGCTAATTAGGAATTTCTTTTAAATATTAGTGATCTCTGGGGCACTTCTACTCCTCTGTCTCTGATTGGGTTTTTTAAACTTCATCACAGCATGTATTAATAATATATATAATATAATTTATTAATTTGTATTTTGTGCTACTAGTTGCCTAATGTCTATTGTAGTGTAGTCTCCCATCTAAGATTTCTTAATTTACTTTTCTGCTTTCTCTACTAATTATGTAAAACCTTTTCTTCCTCTCCCTGAAGAGTATCAAGGGCTTGCAAGAAAGGTTGTGTTTGCCCTGTTCTTTCAAAATGCAATGTGACAGTCAAGGCAACAGAAATACTCAGCTTTCCTTCCAGGTGCCATGTACCAAGCTTCAAAGAACTTTACAACTAAAGCAGAGGTCATCCCTGGTACTTCACATCCAAACCATTCAGAAAATTAAAAACTCGAAGTTAAATGTGCTGCTTTAGTTTGACATTATTCAGTGACCTTTGTGTTTCAAAATTTGAGGCTTTCTTTGACTGCTATTTTTTTTTCTTCCATGTAACTTAGCTACACATTAAAAAACCTTGCAGAATCCCAGTTCCTATATTACCTCTTTTATTAAAATATGTCCTGTGAAGGGTTTTGACATCTATTTTGTTTCTCTAGGAAAGCCTGTTAGTTCAGTTGTTCCAAATTAATTTGGTGTGCATGACTTCAAAACAGAGAAGGAGGTTTTTGGAGCTCTAGTTGCTAGTTCAAACTCAGTGCATCTTTACACACATAATTTTCTTGTAGGTGTTAGCATTCTAGCAGCAAAATTCCTGGTACTGAGAGAACAAATCAAGATACTCCTATTCTAAAAGTGCAGCTTCACCTGTGGAATCCCAAGTCTAGTTTGTATAGAAAAGTGGCCTACTGAAAATGTGATGTAAAAACCATCAGAACTGTTTCAGTTAAGGGCTAATAACCACAAGTTTTCTTTCTGCAGGTGACAGAAAAAAAGCAAGAGTTAGAGAAATGCTTGAAATTGTCCAGGAAACTACGGAAAGAGATCAATGCTCTGACAGAGTGGCTGGCAGTGACAGACGCAGAACTGACAAAGAGATCGGCTGCGCAGGGGATGCCGAGCAATTTGGATGCTGAAATTGCCTGGGGCAAGGTAACAATGTAACACACACATGTGAATATTACAGAAAGATAGATTTCTTTCACAAAAGAAGAAGTATTAACAATTCTGGCATTTTAGTTAGCGGTACTCTGTGAATGTTTTGGCATTATCCCACCTTAGCATTAACACTCAGGAAAGTTTAAACTGTCTTGTCTCTGCAGAGATCAATGGCACAATTCACCCTAACATTTCAGTAAGCTTCACTGAGATGAACTTGAAGTTAGAATTTCATTTTTTGGAGTACTATAAATCAACCACCCAGTATCCATGTACATAGAGATTTCTTACACCGTTCTACTCATGGTTAGAAAGGTATTAAATAGTAGATGAAAGATTAAAGGTGCCAGAACACTGTATATTCCACATGTTCAGAGAGCAGCCAGGATATTTGTTTTCTTACTCTTAGATTTGTAGCTCATTCCTTTGCATTCTGGGGGCTTCCTACTTCCATGGAACTTCACCTTGAACTCATCTTTCAGGTTAAAACTCAAAGCCTAAATCAAAACTTTCCTCAAAATCACAGTTTAGATAAACATCTTACAGAAACTGAAGAATGCAAGAGGTCTGTATAAAACAGAGTATTTCTGTGTGATGTAAAATCTTGGCACATTATCACTTAACACTAGCTAATCTATTTCATTTTCTGCACATGTAATGAAAGTTCAGTCTAGCTGAGGACATAAACCACATATCAAAATCTGTATTTTAGAGCACACTGTGCTCATCATTATCCAAAATCTCAAAATTTCAAATACCTGTGTGCGGCCAGCAGCATTTTCAACAAGTGTTTCTATATAATTTCAAAATCAACAAAAATCCTCTTAAAGAGTATTGGAGATCAAAAAATCCAGTTCTGCTTTGTTTAATGGGAGAAATCCTCTTAACATTTTACTAGTTTCACTATGCATTATAGAAATAGTCATGAATTATGCACAGGCAATCTTCCTCATATTTTTAATGGCAGTGAAGATTCAAGGCACTTGAGTAAAATTTATTTCATGCTTTTTTTTGTTTGTTTGTTTTTAACTAACCCTTTCAAGTTTCTGGGATTGATAAAGTGTCTTTAGCCTTAGAATACATTGGTGATTTACAAACCAATAATAGTACTGGAATAACAATAACAACAATTAAGAAAAATTGCAGTCTACACATCTTTTGTTAGGTTTGGAGTTCTTTCAGTCTCTAAGAATAACAATATTTTAAAAGTGATATGCAAAATAGCAACTTTCTCCTTTATTAACTTACTGCTTTGACTATTACAGTTTTCACTTTCAAATCAAATCCTAAATCCCTGCAACCCTCATTGTTCCCTCCTGTTGTTGCTGGATGTTTCCTCATTTTCACTTGCTGCTTTTTCTGCACTAAATTTTGTGCAGTTCCTCTCATTTCTTTGGACTAATATTGTGATCTTAGAATCATAGAATCATGAAAGCTGGAAAGACCAAGATCCTGGAGTTCCGCTTTTGGCTGAACACCACCATGGCAGTAAACCACAGCACTGTGTGCCGTGTCCAGCTTTTCTTCAACACTTCCAGGGATGGTGACTCCGACACTTCCCTGGACATCCCTTTCCAGTGCTGAAATAGCCACTTTTAACACCCCCAGCTCCCTCAGCTGCTCCTCACCACACCTGTGCTCCAGACCCTTCCCCAGCTCCGCTGCCCTTCTCTGGACTCGCTCCAGACCCTCAGAGCCTTTCTTGTAGTGAGAGGCCCAAAACTGGACACAGCATTTGAGGTGTGGCCTCAGCAGTGCCGAGTCCAGGGGGACAATCCCTGCCCTGCTGCTGCTGCCACACCATTGCTGATCCAGCCCAGCTGCCTTTGGCCTTCCTGGCCCCTGGGCACACCTGCCTCATGTTCACACCTGTCACCCCCAGCTTCTTTTCTGCTGTGCAGCTTTCCAGTGACCCTTTAACTCCCTTTACAAAGGAGTATGATTTTTAAGATTTTTAAGAGACAAATGTCAGATTTTTAAGAGACAAATTAAGAAATCTTCATGTTTTAACATCCCCAAACTAACCTGCTAGGAAGTTAGGCCATTCACCCAGTAAAATAAAAATAATCTTCACTGCTGACTACATAGTTCAGTTCCACTGAACTAGAAATGTGCACTTCATGTTCCTGTTGATCCAGATGCATGTAGCTTCTCAGGGCTTTAAAGAGAAAGATTTGTCTTTAATATCACTTTATTGTTAGATATGAAACTTAATGCTTCAGAAATTGCGTAATTAGGACATAAAACCTGATGATTAGTGCAGCTGCACAGTGGGAAGCCTTTGTTATGTCTTAAGCTTGCTACAAAAAGTACAACATATTTTTATCTGAAGACAATCAAAAAAGGTAACAAGAGCTAATTAAAATAGAAACTATTTACATGAAAAAAATATGTCAGACAGGAACCATTCTACCTTCTAGTTTTGAAGAGTACCACTGAGTATTGTGAATTCTCACAGGGAATTCATACATAAAGTTTTGAAGGAGAAACTGGTAGAAAGGATGTTTTGGCTTCAAATACTCCCCAAAGCCTTCACTACAATCTAAATTCATTTAGCACCTCAGCTCTTTCCCTTCAGTCAGTTCATGACTAAAATAAGAACAAACAACTTTGGGTGAGAGCAGCTGCCGCTTGGCAAAATATATATGTACTGAGTGGCTTTCAAAATTCCATTTTAAGATTGCCTTTTAGAAAATATAAACAAATATTCACACATATATAAGACTTTTAATGTGGAATAATCCAACAGGTAGTATATGTGTAAGTCGAAATCCTACACTTTCAAGTGTAAATATTTGCAGAAATTATGTGGATTATATTTTTTCCTAAAGAATCTGATCCCACTAGGAGGCAGTGCTGCATTTTTTCCTGGACACTTTAAAATTCTTTTGGGGCCTTCATAAATAAGTACGATGTTGATACTCTTATGTGGATTTCATTGAGGCATCACACAAAATTGTACATCAATAATTCAGTCCCCAGAACCAGAGCCTCACAGTATCTGATTAATGTCACAGCTCTGGGCTTTGGACTTCCTGGGTAAGTAGGCTGCCAAAGACACTAACCAACCTAATGAAATGCACCGGGAGATGAATTAAGCCCAGCAGATTCCCATTGTGACAAAAGTCTGCAGAAAAACTAAGATGGAAAATGGAGATGGGGTGAGGAGAATTCAATAGTGCAAATGAACTGAAAATTGGATGTGTGCTGCTGTCGATATATCTAAGCTGAGAGCTAATAATCTTTTTTTCTTTACAGGACAAGGAAGCAGTCATATTTATTAGTGCACTTATTTCTAATTCTTTTTCAGCACCCAAGTCTTCTTACAAGTGAAAATAACCCAGAGGGTTACAAAGATAATTATAGAGTTGACACTAAAAGAAATCATACATTTAAACATTGTCTTCCAGGTATAAATACCTAGAAATAAAAAGAAATGTCCATCTTGAATGGGAAATGAAGCTAATGAAAAATAGCATTAATCTGGACATCAAGGGAAATGTGTTATTTGTTCCTGTGTAGAATTTTTCAAGGAGTGGAACAAAAACTTGGTTGAGTTATGTGAAATGAGATGGGCAATATACTGAAGACTGTAAATCCTGCCTTTCTGCTCAGTAGAGACAAGTTAAATATTTCCATTTGAATTCAGCTCTGTTATAATAGATAAGAAAAATGACATGCGGGTGCAAAGATAGTCATTAAACATTGTATATTAGAAATCCGTTTATAATTAGAAGTATGATTTAGGGAACATATTTATCACTGAAGACATTAACAACTGCAGGGTTTATTTGTCTTTTAATCAGGACCTGGACTGATAAGAATTTGATTGCCAGGAAACCATGTTCTTAAAAAGGAAATGGCAGATGGTATTACCAGGAAAATTCTGTATCACTCCCTACTATCAGCAGTATGACTCTTCCAATGCTTTAATCTGATTTTTTAACACAGTGTATAATACCAGTGAGTATAAAGTTGACTTGAAGTACTTAGAATTACATTTAGCAACATATTTCCTGTCAGTAATATCCGTAAAAGAAGACAAACTGTAAATTGTGTCAACTGATGCATAATCACTGGCCAAAATGCAATAAAAATAAAAGATGTGCTGTGAATAAACAAATAAATATGTATAATCAACCACTGAGAAGACCATAATGTCAGCTTCTGATTAATTCTGCAATCCCACCTGTGAGAACTGAGCCACCTAATTTATTTTAGAAAGACTCAAAGACTCAAATTGCAAAGAGTATTTTCAAGTAATCCACAGCACACAGGCAGTGTGAAGGCACACAGAACTTTTCTTCACTCACTCGTTGCTGTTGTGTTTTTTAACCTGGAGATGTTAATGATCATCATGACTAAATATTCTATCCCTTGCATTTACTTATAATTCTAATTTGTTTGGAAAAAAAAATCATAAGTTCATCTTGGCACGTGGTAGTTTTATCATTATAAAATATAGCTCAGAAGACTTTTTTACCACATCTTTACAAAAACAAAATAACAAAATAATAAATAATAATTTTTTTAAAATAACAAAAAAAACCCCAAACAAACAAAAAAACCCAAACTGGTTCCATGTAACTTCTCTTTTCTGATATAATTAATTCCTGGTTGGTATTTGGCGATGGTAGGGGTTTATGAAAAACATCACAGTAAACAAAAACCATCAAGTAAAACAAAAACCAAAACAAAACAATTGTAACAAAAACTCCTTTAAGTATTTTTTTAGTAAACTGAAAGATGAAGAGTATGTCACAGCACAGTGGGATCAGAGACAGAAATGTGAACACCACTCAAAGTGTAAATTTCTGCACAGGGAACTGCAATTATTTCTTCTAACATGATTCATCTTGTCATCCTATGGATCCTTATGCAAAGTAGGTAAATTATTATTGTATGCAGCTACAAGCCACTTATAAATTCTCAGCAAAGCTCATCCCTATAACTTTACGTGCTGCAGCATGATTTGCCTTCTGCACAGGTTTCAACCCACCCAAAGTTGTTTTTTAAACAGAAATTTTATTTTGTACTGCAGCTCTTTTCCTGAGGTTTTGATGAATGAAACTGGTGCAGGGGAAGCTCAGATTCTCCCTCTCCTCATTCTGATGTTTCTGGGAAGAGGATTAGAAACTAATCCCCTGAGACATGCTCTGCCTGCAGAGTTGCACCAGGGTCTTTCCAAATGTTTTAATTACCTGGATGCCAGGAACCTAGATGCCATTTCTCTTGGAAATGTTCAGGTCCTGGGAGTTCCTGGTGGTGTAATCCCCCAGTTTTGACTAAAGCAGGCTACCAACATTTTTCTTATGACCATGAGTGAGTAAAAAGAATAACAGTTCATTAAAAAGCAAAGGAAACATTTCAGTCAGTGAAATACAAATTAATTTTTCGGGTCAGAGAATTTCCATTGTGGTCTTTAGTACCAAATAGCCATAACTGGTACTTCAGAAAAGGAAGTAAAGAAGTTTCCTCCAAAGAGGCCCTTCAGAATTCAGTCTAACCAAGTAACTGAAATTTGAATGGGGAGAGATTCACATCATCTTAACTCTTGCATCTGCTAGTAGATGTGATCCTAAATAATGGCATGGGTAAGGAAATGTTGACTATATATGTGTATATGTATATCTTTAATATAATCTGCATAATTTGTATACGTATTTTATATGGAGATATTTTTCCTGGAAGTATTTGTGGAGGCTTTCTCTTCCAGCAGGTAGTACACTCTTGAATAAGATTTTGTTTTATAAATAAATATATTAGTCTTAAGAGGGAAAAAAAGTAAATTTTACTATAGTGATAAACAGCAGAATTAATATAATCTGTTTTGGAATTGTTCAGCATTGCTGGTAAATTTTCACAGCTTTAAGTGAATGCTCAGTGATAGGATGTTTAGTTCAATCTTGTTTACATGTTTTTGTTTCCCCAAGATGCCATGATTATATCAGGAAAATAGCTTCTTCACAACTCCTACATTTCTGTGTTTTATTTATGTTACATAGTTTCACTCTGATAAGCTTACAAAATCAAAATGTATAAATTTCCTAGTCCTTCTGGAAAGAGTTTTACCACTCTATTTGTTAATATTTCATATTGTACACATTGTGGTGGTGTTTGGAACTTGGGGGTTTGGGAATTTTTTAAGGTGCTAGGTGTTTTAAATGTCATTCTTAACTTGCAGAGCTAATTCTATTAATTCTGTTGTTTAAGTTCTACAACTTTCTTTTATATTTTCAAATAAAGTACACAACTGGGATGCAATTTCATGTTATGGCAACCAGAAGGGAGTTAAACCCAGCAAGTCTTTGTGGAACTCGTTCTTTAAAAATTAGGAGAATTTAAAAGCCACTATCTGAGTTTTACTGAAATAATTGTAGTTAAATCCTGGCATCACGACATATTCTTTCTTTGTTTTATATAATGGTGTTGAATTCATAGCAGTACTTTTGAGTTTTGTCTTACAGAAAATTTACCAGTGCTGTCTGTTATATTGCAGCGAGCAAAGTATGTGTACCACTTTTTAGTAATACTGGGAAGAAAAATAGGAAAATCTCAGGAATATAATGCAGACATGACAAATTAAGAATAAAATAAACCAAAAATATCTTACTGAAGTTGTGAAAGAAAGTTTACATCATAACCTACAGAGGAAGTCGTAGCTGATAATGCAACGTGGAATTCCACTGGCTTTACAGACCCTGATAGTTTTTCAATTGTATTTAGTGGGTCCAGTATTTTATACATAAGGATTTGTAATAATGGAGATTTAAAGGATTGAGGAAGATACTTTTGTCACTTCAATGTTATGTTGAAGGCCACAATGGTTTTTTCTTGGACAATGAGGGGAAGTGTGATTTACTTGGTTCATGTCCCTTACTTGAAATTATGCAGGGGAATTAAAATTCGTATTTTTTTTTTTATTATTTACATTGTGTCTTTACTTTGAAAGGAATAACTCATTTCTTACACATGCAGAATTACACATCTGATTTTTCGGAAGAAGTTTTGTTAAATAGACATTTAATTGTTAGATCCATCTGTTTATTAGTTAGGATTAATATCTATTTATATAGCCCAAGATTGGTTGGCATTTTCATAAATGTAAAATACAAAAGAAAACACAGCCCCTGGTAAATACACTTCAAAGAGTCTTTTCCAAATGAAAGTAAATAATTTAGAAAAAGAAATAATGCTCATCAAAATTTTCCATCCTCAGTTGAAAGTAAATTATATCCTTTGTTTTATTCTTTTTCCATTATGACACTTTGCACCTACTGTGAAACAGATAAAACAGTGCTAGAAGAGGGCATGTTTTTCCTTTAATCTGACAAGGACCTGCTGAAATTTTAAACTCTCCTATTCAAATTCTATAATTATACAGTATATTGTTAATAATTTGCATTAATCATGCCTTGGTTCTATTGTATATCCTCTGTATTTAAGAAAATTAATAAAATGGGGAAAATTTCTCATACTTACATAAAAAACAAATGTAAGACTGTAAGAGACTGTAATGTAAGAGAAATATTATTCTCTGAAATAACATTGCAAATGAGATCCTGAATTCTGTTAAGCACAGGAAGTGAGCTGCTGCTTTAAACATGACACACCAAATAAATTGAAGGTACTATTAAGGTTATTTTTTTACCCAAAAGAATAATTTTATACTGTCTTTATTGAAAAAAAATAACATTCTACTTTCAATTCACTATCAATACATTATCAACAAAGTTATAGTGATCTGTGACCATGAGAGATGTGATAGTGTGGAGGTCATAAAGGTGGGATTTTACTGCATAACAGCATTCATCCTGAGATGGAAGTATTGTGTTTGCCTTTTGTTTGACGTGGTTTTTTTTTTTCTTTTACTGTATTCAAGTTTCTGTGAGAAATCCATGTCTCTGAAGACTAGTGCTTCTTCCTAAGTTCTGTTTGTGTTCATCTTGGAACATTTTGTTTCTGTTTGCAGTTTTATTTTATAAGCAGAGATTTATATGCTTGCATCACTGCTATCAGGTGCCAAGGATCTCAGATAAATTTCTCTCATAAAGCTGGTTATATGTGAAATTGGATGTAAGGAGTTTGTGCATCTCCTGGAGTATTCAGCAAGACTGCTGTACTTTGCACTGTGTCATCTTGCTGTTTACTATTTAAACACCTGCTTTTTTACATGTTGTCTAAATATGTTGGGATTTGTTCCTTTTGTTAGACTTCTTGCAGGTTGCAATGAATATTAAGACATGAATAATGAGTAAATTATGTAACCTAACATATCAGATATATAAGGTAAGAGATAAGTGGGAAGAGATGTTGGAGATCTGACTTTATAGCACTGCATATGTGTTGTAGTTATTCAGGCTTAGAAATGCTATGGGCAATAGCTTATTTTAGTATTTTGGTTTGCAGAATGAAATCCCAAGTGAATATAATGAAAATATTCATTTCTACAATTAGGAAACAAGTTTAACAGAAGAAAATAAAATGATTTCTTCTGAGAAAAGATTTCATTGACAAATGTTAAAGTAATAAAATATTCACTAGACTATTTTTTATGGAATTTTCTGTGTTAAGATGTCATCAGGATGGTGTATTATTGTCCCAATTATTATGTAATATTTATGTGCTATTTGATAACTTTTTAATTTTATTATATGAAAAGCAACTTTAAACATTTCTATATAAATATTATAAATTGTGGATTCATTTTTAATAATTAAGTATTGAAACTATATTTTGAACACTGAAAGAAAGATAATTCAAATAAAACACCTTTTTAGAATTAAGTTATTGCAAGAAGAAGAATATATACAATTTTATCAGAGCACAAGAGAAACAGTTTGCTTTGTATTTGCTGCTCTTCACAGGATGCCTTCCCTTCATGTAGAAAGCAAGGCTGTGTGTTCTAGTATAAACTTGCTGTCTGATTTAATATTTCATGTTCTTAGTGTGGATAATTTTTAAGTCCCAGAAATTTTATTTCTTGTCATGCTCATATAGGCAACACGGAAGGAAATTGAGAAACGCCAGGTCCAGCTTAAGAGCATCAGTGATTTAGGAGAGAACTTGAAGACGGTGATGAAAGGAAAGGAAAGTCTCGTGGACGATAAACTCAGCCTCCTGAACAGTAATTGGAAAGCAGTAACTTCACGTGCTGAGGAATGGTTCAATCTCTTACTGGTAAGGAAAATGCATTTCTTCACACAGAGGAAATGGAGGGTTGGTTTCCAGCTGTACAATCCAGCCTTACAGAAGAGCTTTTTCTGGTGCCTTGGACCTGTACTTAAACACAGTACACAGACAATCTGAATGATTGTTGTTTACTGCATTGTGTATGTTTGGAGAATCTGATCGATTACTGAGTAGAATCTTGACTATTAGCAGTTTGCAATCCTGTCTGTCTCAATAGTTTTTGGTTTGGGATTTTTTCCTAATAAATGAAATGCAGTTTCAAGGACAGAGACTACTCTAATAGTCAAGAAAAAAAAATAGTCAAATAAATTGAGAAAGTCTTACTATTGTTACCAACAGTATCAGCTACTTTTGGCTGCATTAGCATTTCTGTTTAGAAAAGTACAATTAGGAAATAAGTTTCCACTTGCAAGTTGGTGTGGCTCACAGGGTAGTTTTGGTGTGTGTGAATTTGATTAATTTCAGAGGCAACTACATCATGAGCTCTTTCCAGAGTGCACACCTGATGTGCTGAAGTACTATGATTTGGTCTTTCAGAACTTCATGATCCTATTTTGGATAGTTTTATAGGGCATCTTTAGATGGGGATTATTCCTTAAGAGGACCAGATAAAGCCTAGTAGACAGTAAAATCCCTAATACACATTTCATACAGATTCAGGAGCCTCATCCCCAGCTGCCTCAAACCACGAATAGTCACATAACTTTATTCTGCCTTCAAATTCATTCTGTCACGAAGAGGTGACAGCTTGAAGCCTTAACTACAGAAGGTTCTTAACCACTGGGCTGTCAGAATGCTTTGGGAAATCTTGCATGCTGTTTCTGTTCCTGAGAGCATGGGAATGCAGTTTCACCCCAGAGAAATGGAAGTTATTTTTAAGGGTGCATTGGCCTTTGTCATGACTTTTCAGGGCTCGATGTGCTTGATCTCCACTAGAGGCTGTATGGCTGCATTACAAATACTTTGGCAATTGGTATACAGCACCACTACAGGGCTTCCCCAGCTGAGTACAGTACCCAGGTGAAAGTATCTGTAAAACTTGAGCATTTCATTCAGAATCATGTAGGTGTGCAGATTTAATGTGGAACTGATTAGAAGAGGCATATAATGGAGTTTACAAGTTAATGTGGTTATGTATTCTTATACATCCTCTCTTTCTCTGCTTTGGATTCTGTGGTTACTATTTGATAAAAAAATGACAAAAATATCTAGATATTTAGAGATAGTTGACATTTCTCTTACCAATTTTAGAAGTATAAAATAAAGGTAGGTACATTTGGGGGACCAAAAGAACTAATAATACCTTTGATTCTGGATGTGTGGTCTACATATGTATTGTGTGGGATATGCATAGGCCACATTTTAGTGAGCTCACCCGAAAACACAGAGTTTTAAATGAGGTAGAGAAATGAAGATTTATCAGAATATCAACTAGAATAGCTTTTAAAAAGCAAAGTCTTGAAGCAGAGAAGTTAGATGAAATGTCCATATGAGGTTTAGATACAAAGCTCCCAGTCTTGATTGTGATTTTTCAAGTGCAGCCATGTGAGTTTCAGCCAATTTACTGGCTTTCCAAAATGAATTCTGTACCTTGTTCTTGGGAACTACTCCTTTGCACCTCCAGTAGGTTTGGCTACCAGCTTCCTGTTCCTCTCAGCAGCCTCACTGAGCTGCTGACACCTGTGTCTTGCTGTGATTTATTATCCTGCTGCCTGTCACTTTGTAAACTGCTCTCTCTCTCCTAGAATGTCTTTTTAAAGAAACTTAACATGCAAAGTGAAGCAAACAAACAGCAGATTCCATCCTTCAGAAAACAAGAAGTTACCATGTAAAATAAACAAGTTTTCATAATGTGATAATGTGTGCATGTTTGCCACAGTTGGCATAAATGTAGCTGTTACTTCAGTTCTGATTACATTTTTTGTATGCAGTATTTACCTTTTCCACATACAGGAATATCAAAAGCACATGGAGGCTTTTGATCAGAATGTAGCTAATGTCACTACTTGGATGTATCGTGCTGAAATACTGTTGGATGAATCTGACAAACAAAAGCCCCAGCAAAAAGAGGAAATTCTTAAGGTAAAAAAATGTGATTTTCTGGAAAGCATTAATTTTATTCTAAAAAGGACTGTGTCAAAACTAGCATATTTCAAAAGGTATCACAAATGGATTAAAATCCTTTCTTCTGTGATAAAGCTACCCTCTGGCAGCTTGTAGATTACTTAATAAATTTTATCTGTATTACCAAAATTAAATCCGTGCAGAAATAAAACCAGATTGTTATTATAATTCTTGGGAACTTCCTGGTGAGTAGAACAGCAGCTTATTAAACATAAGTCTGCTGGAAAATACTCCTTTAACATGAGGTTTTGTTTTGTTTGAATAATTTATTTTTTTTTCCATGTCCCCTTCGTTTTTAATTGTATTTCTGTTTTTCTGTGGCACTTTTCCAATATGTATGATATTTCTGTCATATGACTGTCTTAATTCTACAAACACTGCTTGCATTGAGACCAGATCAACAACACAGACAAAAATATTAGATGGTGAACTAGCTGTAGAATCAGGGAATAGTGTGTTGAGCAGAAGGTTTTACTTGGCCAATTGCATCATTTGACCAGCTGATGAAAAATTAGCTTGTAATATGGATGTGTATGTTAAAATATCTCATTTAAAACACCTTCTTCAGGAACATCAAATTATTATCTATAGGGTCTTTTTCTTCTGAAGTCAAAGTGAAATTTTACTTTGTAAAATTTGTATTGAACTTCATGGTCAGTACATAATATCTGAGTAAGAGTTTGAAAATCAAAATCAGGATTGTATTGCTGACACTAACATAATGATGCCATTTACTATGGTAAAAAATTTAAAATTTCAAGGCAGAGAATAAATCAATGCCTCATTGATCTCAGCAGGATTATATATCTGGCTTTTGAAGATGAATGAACAATTTTGCTGCAATCAGATACAAAGTAAAATTATCAATGCCTGTATATATGTGTGCATTGCACAAAGACATTTCATGCAGACAGTAAAACGTCATTTTTAATGCCCAACTCTGATTCCCAAATGCCTTGCTATCTATTTTTGGCCTCTGCCTCAACTGGGATCTACTGTTAAGATTAGTATTGCGGAGGATAAAGGCTTTTGCCTTTCTTTTTTTTTAATTTTTTTTTTTTTAATTTTTGACAGATTTATAGAAAGAATTAGGACTTTTTTTTCTTTTTTAATCTTGTCATTTTTACTTAACGATGCCCCTGAGCAGTAATGAAAGCAACAATTATACATCCAGATCTATAATACATGAATTAGCAGCTCTTCCTAGGTTTAGGAACATAGAATTATTTAGTGCATCCTGAAATAAGCTACAATAGTATTGCAGATAAGAATCTGCCTAGAAATAATGATCACCATTAATTTCCTCTAGGAGATGTTAAAACAGACATGTAGATACATTCCTGCTGTAAATTTGAGGGATATGAGTGGGAACATTATCTAAGGTATTTCTACTGGATTTACACACTCATGCATAATTATCTGAATTTGCTTTGTGGTTTTGCTCCCTATTCCTTTGCACACTTTCTCTCTCTCTCTCTTTCTCTCTCTTTGCATTTATTACTAACTTCAAGCCCTGTCTCTTGCTCACGGACTGTAGCGCTTAAAGGCTGAGCTGAATGACATTCACCCCAAGGTGGAGTCTGTGCGTGACCAGGCCAGAGACCTGATGACAAACCGTGGGGATCACTGCAGGAAAGTAGTAGAGCCTAAACTCTCTGAGCTCAACCAGCGATTTGCAGCTATATCACAGAGAATTAAGAGTGTAAAGGTAGGAGGACTTGCTTCCATAAGGAGATGCATAAAAAACGGTGTTTGTGTAAGGTGCACAACTGCAGCTGCATAGTGGGCCACAGTTCCTCAAAAAGCTTAGCTTTTAAAGGAAAACAATGTAGAACCTAAGGATTTATTTTTTATTAAGTGTGAAGATTTGGGGATTTTCTCATTAAGGTCTTTTTTCACTGTTTCACAATTAAAAGTACTCACTGATTTTATTTGAATGCAACAATGAGTATGTCATTAATTCACAAAAAATGAACATCTGAGAACTAGTAAGTCTCTAACTTTGCAAAGTATGACTAACCTTTTTTCATATAGATTGGGTTTTGAGAGCTAACTTTTCTTCTAAGTGCATTTAGTATTTTCCTATGAGTCTGGGATTCACCAATGCTTGAGATAGAAATACACAGGTAGAGATTATATAAATTTTACTTCAGCTACTCATCTGTATGACCACCTTGACTATTAAATCTTAATTCAGAGTGGATTAAGTAATTTTTAGCCAAGTTGTGCCTTCTGAATTGGAATAAGCCACCCACTTTCTCCACCGTATTTTCTGACTTTATTCCAAAGAGCTATTTAGCAGATTAAATGAGGCAACCATGCAGGTTGGTATATAGGATAACGGGAATGCATGGATCCTGATCTAAACTATTATTGCTGGTCACTGTGCTAACCCTATGAATGCAGACAGTGAAACTGTAATGATATGCACAGAGTAATGAATGCACAGAGGATCCATGGCAAAGCAGGAAATAAGCTTTGCAAAAAGCATAAGCAAGGAGACATGGTTTCATGAGTTGCTGGGGTCTGTGCAGAGCTCAATATCCTGCCTAACTAGCACATCATTGTGGATATTGCTTTTTTTTTCTTTCCTAATGGCCACCCAGTAGTGTTTCAGCCATTCCAGCCTCTTGCCTACTTACACATGTATAAACTGTAGACTGAGGACATCTTTGTAAGAACTGTGTTGTCTGATGTTTTCACTCTGGATACCTGCTGTCTGCAGTCTGGATTTCCATCTCAATTTTATTTTCCACTTCCGCGTTGTAAACTTGCAGAGCTGAGGCAGCCTTTGGTTGGATCCTGTGAAATTATTGCTTATCCTAGGGAAAAATGAAACTGCCTGTAGATGGCTTGTTGGGGGTTTGCACTCTGTGTTGTGGGCTCACTCAAAGAGACAAAAGATTCTTATCAAGATGAAGTGTCTTCAGCAAACAGCCTGCAAATGTCTTCCACCTGCAGCCTCCTCTCTCAGGTTTTCTTCCACTTCTGAAGGCAAGGTGGGCTGGAGTTGGCAGAACCACACTAAGATTTAGAGAACAAGTGTCCAACAAATGAGAGGAATTACTACAGCACACAAATTAGAATGGTAAAGTAGAATTTAGGGGACCTTTTCCAGGACCTTGGAAAATGCACAAGTAGAATATGATTCACAAAGGATACTTACTATTACAAGTATTGCATCAGATAGAGAGGTAAAAAATGGTCTGAATTATTGGCTATTCTACTGACTCTCTATATGGACTTGGATAAAGGACCAAATTGCTGGGTACTTAATTTTGTCTACCTGTATAATGCAGGTAATTATACTTTCCTTATTATTTCAACTTCATGAGCTGTAAAATTATTATTATTATGAGGTCATATGCTTCCTAAGCGTTTTTAATATTTTTACCCATATTTAGGTAAAAGTATTCACTCTGTGGAAGATTAAAACATAAATTTAAAAGGACTGATAGCTCTCATAACCTATTTTCAATACTTACATCTGTCCTCAAATTAGTTATATTTTTTCAAATACTAACAATGATCAGTACAACAGTGAAGTAAATAAGAAATGATAGATTAAGTCAGTGAATGGTAGTATATAATTGTCATATCCAGAACTAACAAAATGTTCATAGCATACTGAAATGAGTCTTAGCATTTTCAAATAGTCTTTGAACATCATTCAATTACTGGAATTCATTTAGTGTTTTTCTTTCCACTTTCCTCTTTGTTATTGTTTTTTAGCCTTTTTCAGAGACTATGAATTTTATATTCTAATTTTATTAGTTGGTTTGTCTTTTAATGAGATTTAAGTACTTTAGAAAATATTCTTTAGAGCATTGGAGAAGAAATTACTGTGTAGTTTTCTATTATTTCTAACAGCTGAAGTGCAAGATGAGTGTAATTCTGAGCCTCTTAATGAAAATTTGTGAGCACAGTATTATTCTCTATAAATATTGTACATTATTATATGCCCATTAATGTTTGTAAATGTGCAAAATCTTTGTTGTTAAAATAATCAAGCAGATACAATTAGGGCTTTTTTTACCTTGACTCTTCCAGGTCATCTGAGAACAGATTTCATTTGACATCCAGTCTCTCGTGTTTTAACCGTTTCATTTTTATTGTTGCTGTCTTCATTACAAATTTTGTATATAATAATAACTAATTGTACCAGAGGAGAGAGTAAAAGGGAACTAGTTAGGATATAATGTGCTCATGTCTTTAGCAAGAAAGTCAGGTGCACATCCAGGAGTTCCTAGAATGTCAAATAGCATTAATTACCTTTAAGTCTAAATTCTATGCAAGAACCACTGAGATTTTCTTTCTTTTTGTGTTTAAAGCTTTGAAAGAATAAAAAAATTTCTGTTAATCACTTTCAATGCACTTAATAAATACACTGTATATTGTACATAGAACTATTCACAGGCACTCGTGTGAGATGGACAAAAGGTGGTGCGTTGTTGTTAATAAGTAGCACTTGTTGGAGAGTTCAGAACTGAATACTAAACTAAAGCACCATAATTATACTGTGATTTATTTTGGAGGAATACAGTCTGTTTTGTTTGGTTGAATTTTTTCTTCATCCAGATTTTTTATTGAGTCTTTTTGAAACAAAAACTGAGCTTTTATTGATTTTTTCCCAATATGTTACAAAATGCCATTAGGGGAATAACTTACACAAAGATTTTTGTGTCCTTTTTTGTGTAGCATTCACCTGACATTTCTGCTATTCTGTGTGAGAGAATAATGATTTCAAAACTGAACCAGATTAACATTAAAATTTTCTCAATTATTAATAGTAGGGGTTCTTTTTTTGTATAAATGGACTTCTTGTTGCTGTATGAATAATTTCTGAAAAAACAGATTTAACCAAATAGTGTAAACATTTAGTTTTTTTAAAAACTAAAATACTAAAAATACTATTTCTTTGGCCTTATTCTTACACAAAAAAATAAGGGAAAGTATTTTTTTTTTCCTTTTCAATTTACACTGATTTTAAAATTCTTTTGTTTATTTACATTGTATTTCTACATAAATTTGTATATTTATTTGTATCATTGTGTACTTAGAGTCTAGTGTAGATATTTTTCAACATGATGGAAAGTCTACCATTGTTTTAGCAATAGAGAGTAACACAGGTATCTCTTTTCATTTCTGTTTCTAATGAAACTATGAAATATGTCCTTTAAATATGTAATCTTTGTATTCCTCCCATTTTAGCCCTTCATTCCTTTGAAAGAATTGGAGCAATTTGACTTCGATATACAAAAAATGCTTGAACCACTGGAGGTTGAAATTCAGCAGGGAGTGAATCTGAAAGAGGAGGACTTCAATAAAGATATGGTAATTTGGTTGAAATGGAAGTCTGAGAAAAATAAGCAGGGAGATGAAAAAAACCTTAGGGAAAATCAGAAACCCATATTTGCTTTAGGATCTTTAGATATAACTTGGGCAAAATTTTGCTCTGTTAATATATTATAAAATCAAAAGTCCCAAATTAGCACTAAATTTTTTTGTGCTAACTTAATTTTTAGTTTATCAGAAGAGCATTTCTTGTCCCTTATGAAAACACTAAGCAGACCAGGAATGTGATCCATGGGTTCTGTACTACTACCAGCAGTATTACAGAACATGGAATGAATATTAAAATACCTGTAGTCATATGAAGACCAGGAAAAGTCAGAATGATGTATCAAAATGGGCACTATAGTGAAAGAATACATTCACTAAAAATAAATGCTCATGAGAAGAAATGCCAATTGCCAATTTGTTCTTAACCAATCTGCTTATAGCATTTAATGTAAATAGGTTTTTGGCTGTGGTAAGCTTTATTACTTATGTTTTATTGTTGTGAGTCATAAAACCATTTATTCGTATTTGCTGAGGGGTGGAAAGGAAAAAGAGGAGTAAAATACTGCAGTGCTTTGCTACTATTGAGATTGTGGTGTGTGTTCTTCTGAGTGATTTTAAGAGGGACATTTTTTGGCTGGGCAAAAAGGGAGATTCATCTTTAGAACCCTCTCTTCCTGAGTCCTCAGCAAGATCAAATATATATTTGTTCACAACCTAAAAAGACTCAATGTTATTTTACTTTTAAGGAATTCTTCAAAGGTGTCTATTTCATATCAGTGCTGGAAGGAATCTTTACAGGACCCTTTTTCCTTTTTTGCAGGAAAAATAAAAATTTAAGGCTCAATGTGCTGCATACAAAATTTATTGTGTGTATGTCGTGACAAATTCAAAGTTAATCAAGTTTGACGGGAAAGTTTCCACTACCTGAGCATATTTGGTTCCCTTGCTTTGCATCAAATGCTTAGAGTGGCACTCTAAGACACACAAGACACTGCCAGAAGCTGCAACATAGATTCAGCTTCAAAGATTCAAAGATTCATAGGTGGCTTCTACATAAAAAAAATGCTTAGTGATAGCATTTTCCCTATCAGAATAGTTGGTTATCAATGTGATGATTCAGTAATTGCATGTTCTGCCAACATACTGGCAATTTCAATCTCTACTGACAGTGATTTAGACTATTTTACATATATCTATTCTTTTTGTTTGAAAGTAAAATATATTTCAAGTTTTTTCCTCTAATGTTTTTATGCTGTTATCCTACATAAGATCTAAAATCAAAAATCTGTCGATTTGCAGGTGCTGTCTTACTTTTATCCCTCTACATATATTGTAGAAAACAAGTAAAAGTTTCCTGATCATCAGGATACAACTGCAAGCAGCTGTTACATGATTACTTTAGCATAGTCTGTATTTACTAGTACTTGAGTAATAATTAGCTTAAAATGCACATTATATTGGTTATTTTTTTTTTTAAATCAGAGTGAAGAGGATGAAAGCACAGTGAAAGAATTGCTGCAAAGGGGCGACAGGCTTCAAAAGGGAGTCACAGATGAGAAAAAACGTGAGGAAATAAAGACAAAACAACAGCTGTTGCGGACTAAACATAATGCTCTCAAGGTATAGGAGCTACAGTTATAAGCACATGCTATTAAACCCATTCTTTTCTTCATTTCAGGGCATTTTTTTTTATTAAATGAATTGTCATTATGATTTAGAGATGGCTAATTTAAGACTATTTGGCTATAGATGTATTTTTTTATACAGTTCTCTTGGTGCCTTTCAAAAGGTATTTTACAATCTCCAGCTTGAGAAGTACTGTCTCATCCTCAGCATTACAACTGCATGATTGCCAATTGGACAACACAGATTTCTTTGATAATTCATTTTTAACATATTGTGTATGTTTTCTATTTCTTCAACAGCAGTCAAGGCCTTAGAATCAGGTCCCTCAAACTTCTATTCTCAATTGATTAACTTCTAACCTTGAATAAATTGTTTCTCCTTCAGTAAAAGACTTACACACTACAGTCCTGTTACAAGAGTGGCTCCAGCCTCTCTAGAATAGGACAGGTGGTAGTACCAATAGACACAGCAGCTAAGAGGCTGAAACCTAAAGTTTCATATGAAAATTTGAAATTTCATATGAAATACATATGAAATATGAAAATATTCTGAGTTGACACAACTGGGAGATAAAACTGCATGATATTGTTCCTAGAAATGTACACAGTGGTGCTTCCATGCCATGCCAGCTAACAGATATAATTGAAAATGTCATCTTTCTAGGCAAATAAAAGCGATGAAAGATCAAATCTTACATCAGTTACAGTCACCTTGGTCACCTACCTGGAGCTATAGGCTCTGGCTACTACAGGAGAATTTTTATCTCGTTGGCAAGCAGAATTTTTCTTTCTTTGGATAATTTTGATTAAGTTATCTCTGGTTTGGGGAACATGGCATGTTTAGATTTTACTGTTACTTATTTTTATGCATGCTCTTTCCTTTCATGTCGATTTAATTCTAATTTATACAATTTTGCAGATCTGTGTGAATTCAGGAGAAAGATAGCTAGAATATACTGTTGTTTTGTCCACATTTTAAAGAAGCTGGAAATCTATTAGGTGTATCTTTGACTGTTCCAAGCTAAATGGAAGCAATTCATAATTTTTATGTTGGAGAAACAAGAACAGTGTTTATTGCACTGTGCTATTGACCAGATCCTCCCTGGCTGTTTTTTATGGTATAGTGATACATTTTCCTTTGGGTGACTCAGTTGAGGCATTCACCCTGGTGAAAAAAAGTTTAAAAATGGTTGAGGCAAATTAATCTGAGTATTTTTATATAACATATACCAGTAGTTTTTTAATTTTCTTCCTAATAAGAAATTATAGTAATTAAAATATTTTCTGAAGTCTGCATGAGTGAAGTTAAGCAGTTAAGCAAATGTATATTTAATAACATTTCTAAGGGAAAAAGACAAACATTTTATACCTTCCTGCTAAAGAGAAGTTTCAATCCTTTATAAAACAGAGTTATAAACACAAGACATTTGTTATGTATGTGGTATTTAATTTAGATAAAGGAAATCTGTCTTTGCAAACATTTCTGCATTGCAGTGTTTTTCATTTGAATAGCTACAGAATTTTCATGCAGGCTAGAAATTCACAGGAGTCCACAGAATACAGAAGTCCCACTTTTGGCTAGATACTAAGTGGGCTGTGTTTCCATCTGTCCAGTAAGTATTCTGAGCAGAAGTGTTTTATATAAAATATTGACATTTATGTAAGAGTCTTAATTCTCTGAATATTGGTGACTGTCTCAGTGGTTTATTCAACATGTGAACAACACTGAAATAGGTAACCTCCTTTCAAACAAACAAAAAAATGGTTAAACTGATGTAAATATGTTCACTTACTCAAATACTTGCTTTAAATATCAACATTTAATTAAAAATCTAGCAGCCTTGTGCACTTTTTTTCCCTTCAGTGTGCACACATGCCAGTTCATGTTTTATAAGCCTTTAATTCATATTTTAATAATGTCTGCACTGTGAACAGGACTTGAGAGCTCAAAGAAGAAAAAAGGCTTTAGAGATTTCTCATCAATGGTATCAGTACAAGAGGCAGGCTGATGACCTAATGACATGGCTGGATGACATTGAGAAAAAGTTAGCCGGTCTGCCAGACCACAAAGATGAGCAGAAGCTAAAGGTAATGTTGTTTTGGGTTGGCAATGATAGATCTTTTTGAGTGATAGTTTATCAGTTGAACAGACAGCAAATGCAACAAACAATTCTATCTTATAGCTACAGAAAATTAGTTCAGTTCTTTCTTTCTATTAATAGTAAAACAAACCCTAATTATCTGTGTTCAAAGTGACATTTCTTTGTTGTACTATAGTTTGTATTTGTTTCTTATACAGAATGATATATAAATAATTTGAAACACAATAAATATAATGTTTTGTCAATAGTACAGAAAGTGTGCAATGTATTAAGAAGTATCAAATGTTTTCTAGTAAAAATTGTAATTGATTTTATGTATCTTTGTTCCAGATGAACAAATGACTTACCAATATATGGATGACCTCTATCTCATGTTAGCACATTCATTTTCATCAGAACATATTCATATGTCACTGTCAAACTCTATAGATTTATTTACATACTGTCAAAGGTTTTCCTGGTTTATTTTACATCGTCTTTCTTTGCTTCATTCTCTGTTGAGTTTCCCACGGAGTAAAATAGGACTTAACTAGTACATTAAAGAGTCCAATAGTATATTTGTAAGCTGTTCAAACACCTTTTGTCCTGAATATGCTGACCCTTACTGAGAAAATAATTTCTCCAGTTGCCCATCCCAGTGTACTAGCAAGAATCCGAACATGGAAACTGTTGGCCTCTGCGAACAGTTTCAGAGTGTAGTAACTCTTAGGATCTCTACAGCCCATCTCCAAGAAGGTTCTTCAATTTCAGTTATTTTTGTTTTGTTTAAATGTAGAATAAGCTATGAATAATATGAAAATAAGCTGTAAATTTTACTTGTGACAATAAAATGGAAATGGATTTTCTGACGGAAGTATTTTGCTAATTTTAAGTTGATTGATCTAGTTAGCTAACTGTCCTGGGCCCTGTATTGGTTTTGCTCACTAGGAGATTGGTGGAGAATTGGAGAAGAAGAAGGAAGATCTGAATGCGGTGCACAGGCAGGCTGAACGCTTGTCTAAGGATGGGGCTGCAAAAGCAGTGGAGCCAACCCTGATACAGCTCAGCAAGCGCTGGCAAGATTTTGAGAGCAAATTTGCTCAGTTTCGAAGACTCAACTATGCACAAATTGTGAGTTGTTACTGGCAAACCCATATGTTTGCAACTGCTACTACTAACAGCATCCTACTAACAATGAGAGCGTCAGGGTCAGTGTCAACTCTTCAGATATTAATAAGAAAAGCCCTATTGTCTGCAACTGGGGGAAGCTATCTACTCTGATACAATAGTGATCTGCTTTGCTCTTAAAATTGCCCTTAAGTTAAATCAGTCAATTACAAAAAAACTCAGCAATGACAAATTTGTGTTTATTTCTGTTGCCTCATTATTTTTCCATAACATTTATCAGTTAAAAAACGTTAGTTTGCCATGCATCTATTTTTTTCACCGAACATGTAAAACACAAAAATTGTCTTTTCCAAACTACCCATCCCATGCCAATTTTAATTGGTTTTTTTATTTGTCCATAACATGTTATACTCACTTTAGGAAGTGATTGGAAAAATTTTTATGACTCTATATATACATATCCTCTTCTTCAAATGCTTGAACTCTCAAACAAGTTTTTGTAAGAAAATGTAACTTTAAATTTGACAGGATGAAAGCCTAATTTTACAAACCATCTTCATGTCTTCTGATTTTGAGTTGTTTAGTTGTACATAAAATACAATTATTCTTACTGGTTTATACATGCTGCAATAACTGGGTAAATAAAAGGGAAATAAACTGTCAGTATTCCAGATTTATGAAAAAAACCATGTATTGAGTGTTACCCATTTAGAAGACTATCAGAGTTTGCTTCTGCACTTACATGAGTTTTTTTCTTGCCATTCCTACTACTCTGCTCATTGTCTTCTGGGTTTTTGATTTTATATGAAGAAAAGATTTGTTTTTAAGGGAGTTGTTGCTTTATGTACTCTCTGTAATCTTAAAGTGCTGGTGGTAAAAGGGTGTTTCATCCAAATATACTTTTATTTATTTATTTTTAAATGCACCTAGATTGCAGAGGGAACATACTGATAGGATAATGAAAATTTAAATATGTGAAGTGTTATTTTTTTTTATTGATACATGGTAAACTATGTTTTAAAAAAGGAAAATATATTTCCAAAAATCAGAAATATGTATAAAATTTTGATAAATATAATCCTCTATATAATGTACCATATTGTGTATTTTTAACTTTTCTAATACTAAGTTACATAATGTATATGTAAAACTAATACTTTGGATAGTTATGCAGTTAATGGAAGCAATCAGAGAAACATTAACGTTGGTTTGTATGTTATTAAATCCTGTTCCATCTGATTACACAATTCAGATTACTATGGTTTATATTAAACTTGATGGATGTAATCAGTTGCAAATTGTTTATATTGACATGGAGCTAGAGCGAGAATCACTTTGTCTTGTAAATGAGTTGGCTTTTTTTAACGAATTTATTTGTTCCTTTGATAATCAAGTAAGAAATCAGATTGTGCATGCAATTTATATAAAAACATTCTGCTGTCACTGTGCTTTTTATGTCACCCACCACCTACCATGACAGGGGATGAATACATCCATTATAAAATTTTACTAGCAAATCAATAAACTTTATTTTAGCATATTTTTCTTTCACATATGCAAGGTAGATGCATCATCATATTTTTGAATTGTTCAGATGAATACACTCAACAACTTTTTAAATTCATGTAACTGCTACATATGTTTTTTATTCTTAAAATATATAATTATATACTACATTTATGACCTTGAAAGGTTATTTTTTTTAATATTCTCTAATATTTTATGCAGGAAGGCTACTTCTTATTCTTTACCTAGGTAATAAAGTCATTCAGTGAAATTTAAAAATACCTTGCTCTGTTGACAATGACTAAGGTGATATTAATATGAAATATTTCAGAATTTATACAGAAGCTAATGAGAGATGAGAGAGGCAGTATATTTTCATGTCCCAAATCATAAGTCAGAGAAGTGCAATGGCCTTGTTATTGTTACTGTTTTGACTTTGCTGAATTAGTAAAACAGAGTAAATTTCTAAAGGGGTTTTTTTCCTTTTTCTTAAACATTTTAAGTACCTACCTCACAGGGATGTTGTGAGGATGCATTAATTGTTTGTGCAAGACTTTACAAAAGAAAAATGAAAATTCAAACTATTCACTTGAACACATGCATATACCATCAAAAATAACTTCCACAGAGATTTTCTATGTTAACCAACAGCTGAATAAAGCCATACAATAAAAATACAAAATTGATTTTTTTCTTTAAAGAAAAAGAAATAGAAAACTGCTGTATTTTTTATTTATAATTTATGATGTATTCCATAATGGTTATTTAACAACTGAAAGTTGTTATTATAAATCAGTGAGGGTTTAGTTTTACTGTGTATCTTGCAATTCATTACGCTTCATTGAATAAACATAGCAAGACTGCACTGAAGGAAACCTTTAATTATGTTGCTTAATGGCAGATTTGCATTTCTTACCTTTGTTGGAGCTAATATATTTCTGATATCAAGTGTGAAATTAGAATTATCATGCTCCCCTGGATTTTACTTTTCCCCAGTATTTGTTGGGCAGAGCTGTCACAAGGATATAGGAGCTGTGATTTTAGAAGGATTTATTCTTTCTAGAATGGTAGATCCTTGTTAAATCCTCATTGTCTCACAAATACATAGCAGTAAATGTCCAGCAACTAATTGACAAATATATATTGGTGTACATTTAGAAAAAGGATTTTACTGATACCACTTTTGAGAATTGAGTATATTATATTTATATCACCTCAAACATGCGTGTTCTGCTTAGTAACATTTTTGAGATATTAATCAGTTTGGTATAGTGGTCCTCTATGTGAAAATTGTCAGCAAGTAACATATGATTTTTCTATAAGGAAAAAGGTGGGTTTATTCCAATTACAGATTAAACATGGTACACAAATACATAAATGCAACTGCACACAAGCTAAAATTACATTCAGCGTAAAAAAAAAAATGTGGCGTTCTTGTTGTCTTACAAGTTTCTTCTCTCACAGATTGTTGACTTTATTCATATGTGGCAGAATAAACAGTGGGCAGAAAATTAGTTGGTAGTAACACCAGTGGTGAAATCTGAATAACTTATAAAAAGGAGTGAATATTTCACTCTAATGTTTTAAAATAATAATTAACCACTAAATCTCATTGAAATTCATGATATTTTTAAGATACTCTTCAAAAAAACAAATCTTTCAAGTTTAATCCTAAAACAGTGTGCAATTTTTGAATATTAAAATTGCATGTATTTAAAAAAAAAAAAAAAAGTTAAAAAATAACATTAGAGAGGTTAAGGGACAATTATTTCTAAAGCACCTCTGAAGAATCTGTTATCATTAAGCCTTGGCAGTCACACAGTATTTTCAGAAAAGTTGTCAATTCCTCCTGCTACAGACTATGAATACAGACATGAATCTTCAGTTATACTGTTTTTCTGAAACAGTTTAACCACCAACCAGGGTGTTGAAAATAGTTGTCCATTGCAGAGAAAAGGGTAGATTTGGATCAATTAATTCAAGTAAGGATCAAAATCAGTTACCAATATATTGAGTTTAATTAAACTACCCTAATGTCTGTTTTCTAGATTTTTTTTCCCCCAGTGTTTTCATTTCAACAGTCTATGAGCATGTTTGTATCATGGCTCAGCTTAGATTTTTCTGAGCTGACTGAAATTACTCTGGGTGTAGAGGGCTGAAGGCCTTTATCATTAGAAAACATTTTCTAGATGAACACAGGTGCAGAGCCTACACTATAAATTCTCATCTCATATTTGTCCTATTACAATAATTTATCAAGATGCTCAACATTCTTTCTACAATTATATATGGTGGTCTTTCAACTTCCTCTGTTGCCTGAGCTGTACATGCTGGAAATAGTAAGACAGAGTATCTTTAGGACAAGAGAACCTCTTGCAATCTCAAAATTATGTGTCTACAATTGTATATACAAGCAAAAAAAAAAGCTTATCAATTTCAGTAATTTTATTGGTGACACTCACAACAAACATTCTGTTGAAATTTATGATCATTTTACTACTGAAATATTTAGGCCTGGATTTTGGCCATACAGAATTGATCAAGTGATAAAACAACAGAAGAAACTGTCTTTTTCATACCAATTAGACCAAGAATGACTAAGGAATGTAATTATACAAAGCTTGTATTTTTTTTATAAGGTAAGTGATTTAGTCTGAAAAGTTTGATAGTTACCTGCAACATGAAAAAATAACCACCACCCCTAGTATTTACTTCATTTTTCCAAATGAAAGACATTATTCTCTTTAAGACCCTTTAAAGCATTCAGAAATTCAAAATGCCTGTCTTCTAACTGGATAATCACTTCAGGTGAGCAAATATGTGATCAACTTCTTGGACCAGATTAAGGACTGATAAAATTTACATTTGAAATTCAAGACTTTGTTTATTTTCAGTCTTTAAGAGCATCTTGGAGTTTTCATTTAATATTTCCCTGTGGAGCTCTATTTAGTTAGTTTAATAAAATTTTAAATTTTTAATAAAATATAAATCTTTTTATTATCATTAAAATGTTTATATATCAAGATTTTTTTTTTAAAATATAAGTCAAACTAATTTAAATAAATATATCACCATTAGATAAACGGAGAACTTGGTGTCCTGATTGTCTGTCTGCATCAAAATAGCATGGACACTTTAATGGCAATGTGTTACCAATTTCCAGTTGTTTTCCACTGTTTTCACAAACACTGGCATTGGAATGAAGTGGTTTTCTTCTCTTACCCTTACTTAAACATTTCTTGGGTTAAATAAGCAAGTAATGATTGCCAAGAAGAAGGGGCAAACTAATTCTTCATTTGTTCTAGAATGAGTGGAGAGAGAGAGAAATGAGAGAGAGGAAGGATGTTAGAAAAAGCAGGAGAACACCTGCTGGACAGAGGAACTGTGCAGTGATGGATGAGTATCCAATTCACCTGTGCACTTTGGGTCCCTTAAGAACAGGACAGAGGTGATTCTGTGACACCATTTAACTTTTCTGACATTGGCAGAGGCTCCTT